ATGTGTGTAATTCTAACTTATGTCTCATTCGATTATGTTGTCTTGATGCTACAAACAGTTGTAAGGTTGTCTTGTGGTTATTAGCGATCAAACCTGAACAAGGTTTAAACATGGTGCATCGGCCGACAGATTCAGGTCGTCCCTACTAAAATGGGCATTCATTTTGAGTGTTCTTAAGTATTTTACGCGCGGAACTGGAACAAGGGAGAGAGAAGTCGGTAAGTGGAGCCTGATCAACTTTACTGTCTCCCTCAAGTTCTCCCTCTTCCAGAAATAAATAGCCGGCTACATACAAAGGTCATCAGTAACTGGAGTTGGTGGCTCGAAATAATCACCTAGAGTTGGTAGCTCGAAATAATACCTAGAGTTGGTGGCTCGAAATAATCACCTGGAGTAAATGGCTCGAAATAATCACCTGGAGATGATGTCCAGAAATGAGCACCAGTAATCATGGTCGTGAAAAAAGGTAACGTACTCTCTACTGATTGTTTTGCATCGTTGTACATTGATACGTTTTTTTATCAATTTTGCAACTGGAACTGCGCATCGATGAGTCATGCCAAAAAAAAGAAAACAAAACTTCCATTGTGAAGATAAATGCACTGATAAGGGAAAAATGTTTTGAGAAAGAGAGTAATGTTTATTGAGATAAAGACGTTCTCATAGAAGCAATGGAAACAAGCAAGCTTATCTCATTTATACGATCTGTCAAACGGCACGATATAAAAGGTGGTCCCACATGCCGTCCAACATCGTCATATTGCTTCGTGCATTGTACCACCGCGCTGAGATATGTCTTTTGAATTTACCATAAAATCGGTAAAACAAAAACTAACAAGGCAACTCAACGAGCTATTGACCATGCACGTTGAGGCAGAACAATTCAAAGAATTATGGAAGTTCCCAACTAATTGGGGACAGTTGGAAAACTACATCCTTTCCAACAAAGCAATATTATCAAATTTGATGGGGCAAATCAAAGAAAGGGAAGAAAAACTAGTGAATGACTACTCGACCTATGTTGCAGAGATAGAATCAATCAAAGGCGAAGACAAAGTAAGAGGCGAGACAACTGAAGCAGAATTTGATCATTACTGGAGGTCAAACAAGGAGATCAAGTATTGGATACGAGTAGTCAACTGAGGAGGAAACTAGAAATCCGCTTTGTCGAGTTTGAATGTCAGAAAAGAGCAGCAAAACGGGACGCTGATAAGGAAGCAAACATATCAGTATCCCAAGCAATAATATCACAACCGCAATCCAACATACTCTCATCTGCTTGAGCCTTTCCCTTCTTTCGTGCATGTTTTTGTACTTATCACAGTCTACGAACCTGTGTGCTCCGTTGCATCCGACACAATATAATGTCTGAGGTTTCGACTGAACGCTTAACGCTGTGAAATTTTCTTCCTGATTTCTACCGGTTTTGAATCCGACGTGAACTCGCCTTTTGACAAGAATATCAAGATTTTCCATGAGGTCGCTCCTGGACCAAATCTTTTTCGAATCATATTCTCGTTTTGCCGCTTCATCCTGAATACTTTTCGAAAATTTGCTAAGAACTGTTTGTAACAGACCGGTGTTGTCGACAGCCTCGTTTTGCTTTCTCATCTCGGCTACTAGGGCCAGGATGTCGTTGTAAGTATTTTGAAGTTTCTGGGATCTTCCGCTGCTCTTGGCAGGGCTTGCGCAGTTTGCGTAAAAGTATGGTTTTATTCCTGCGCTCATCACGAAATTGGGAGTTCAACTGCATAACTGCTAAGGCATATGAGTGCAAATTACGCGGAATCATTCGCAAAGCACGCTCTGCATCAACATCATCCACACATAACCAGAAAGTCTGAGGCAGTAAAATATCTTGCCGAAACAAATAACTACCTCACAAAGATGTGGACTATGTGGAGACAACAATATCTGCTAGAGCTCAGGAATTATCATGAAAAACGAATTCGCCAAAAAAGTTTCACGAGAAAATACCACACATTGGAGAAGTGGTACTTATCATGGACGATAAAATAACACGAGGATGCTGGTCAATGGGTCTGGTAACTCACATCGTGGAAGGACCCGACGGAGAAATACGTGAAGTCCGGCTACGCACTGCTTCTCAAAAAAGCATGACCCGCTCAATCAATACGCTTGTTCCAATGGAATTGGATGGCTCGTCTAACATGAGCGATTGCGAAAGGCTGATGGACGAGACAAAGTCGACACCATCAAAAATTGAAAGAAAAGAGAGCCACCTTCGCGAAAGATTGCCTAGGAAAGCAAAAGAAAATATACAGTATAAATCAAATTGCACATGTAACAATACAAAGGCAAAACAAAATGCGGTTTCCATTTACCATAGCATGCATGGCTTTACATTATGATTACGATGTTGCTATTTGCGCAAGCAAGCGCACGCAAAGAAACATTGTTGAAAACGGAGTGCATTCTCGGTGGAATCAAAATATACGGTCTCAATACACAAACGCTGCAAGTATGCGGAGAACATCATTGCTTGGAAATAAGAAATGCCGAGGAAAATGTCACAATACAATTTCCGCCAGAAGTGATACTATACAAACACAATGTTTTAATAAAAACTTTGTCGTCTGATGTCACACAAGCATCTCAATTCACATGCCCACCAAGTTTGCGAACAAATCAAATGCACATTTTGCTCCATCATGATCAACAACCCACACTGCTGGCCCAAAACTACCATTTTAGTCTTAGCAATCATTAGTTACACAATCATAATCACCTTGTTAGCTCTGTTATGTCTCAAGAAATTGAGACGATGTCTTCGTAGAAGTACTGTTAAACTCATTGCGCTAGGACTGAATATTCTCCACGCATGTTGCTCCACGATAGGCCGAAGGGACACAAAAAGTAATGAGGGCATTCCACTCGTAGAAGTGCGCGCAAGATCTCAGGAAAGATGGAAGCCGTCTACTCTCGTCAAAATTACCATATCATTGATACTACTGAATACCATTGCAAAAACAACAGCATGCCAGCAAACTATAGTAGTGCAAACAAACATAACACGATGCACAGCAGAAAGTGGTTGCAACACAAAAAAAGAATTACTGCTAAAACTGAACTCAATGCAGCCGGAAGCGTGTTTTCGCATGCGACATCGCAACAACACAATATCACAAACAAAGATAACACTCAAAGAAGTCATTCTGAGATGCAACAAAGAAATACTTTACTACATACGTAACACGGAAACGCGCGTACAACTCAGTAAGCGGTGCCCACATATGGGTACAGTCGCTTCATTTTATATGATCATGTGTGCCATTGCACACACAGTCCACTTTGGCGTCCTCATCCTGGATTGCAATCGCAGAACCGCAAGAGACTTACCGATTGTTATCGATTACATCAATTTGAGGTGACTAGTAACTAAAAAAGAAAGAAAATGCTAAGAACACCTTGGAAACACTTACCTGAAGGCTTGTTTCTCCCACGAATCCAGGATGGGGACGCCAAAGGTGAACTGTGTGTGCAATGACACACATGATCATATGAAATGAAGCGACTGTACGTGTTCAGGACTCAAGTGTGCAAAAATAACTCAAGAATCCAAAAAAAAGAAGAGTTAGCCATGTCAAACAGTTATACAGGCATTACATACTGCACAGAATCCTGTGACGGGCTAGGGTGCTCCTGCGGCTCTCCCTCGTCAGGATGCCTTTTTTATAGGATTTATCATGTCCCAATAGACAAGGAACTTTATGAAATCTTTCACTGCCCTACATGGCTAGTAAAAGTGGGGCTCTCAATTGAACAAACGATGTTCCGACAAAAACCGAAAAAGTACACGATAGAACTCAAACAAAATGTCAAGAAAAACTTTGAAAAAATGTCGGCAGAAGTGACATCGATCGAAACAAGACCCATGCCGTTCCTTGGAGATACCTTCATAAGGAACTCGAAAATGACAGCCCGCTTGAAAGAACATAATAGCTTTAGCTACGCATGTGTCAAAACTGAAAACAATACGACGTCGCCAGTGGAAAATTTAGAGTGCACAATTCGAGACACCTGCGACTGCAGGCCAGCAGAAGACAGTATCAACTGCTATCGCACACATAACAACATATCACAAACGATAGAACTGAATCAAATCCTCCCAATTCGCATACCCAATGCTCAAATCATTCCAGAAGGCAAGAACAGCATACTCACCGTGAGAACCTCGGAAGCCAGTTCAGAGTTAGCTTTGCTTCTGGATACAATCAGTTCAAACGTGCAATTCACATACGAGAAATTTCAGTGCCAAATCCCCAGCGCGACCATTTATGGTTGCTACAACTGCTTGAAGGGTGCGATAACGCACATATCCTGTATTTCGGACATCCCGGAGACAGTAGCAGATGTAAATTGCCAATCTCAATCGTTTATTCTCAACTGTTCTCCAAAAGGCTACCTCAATGAGATACATTTCTATTCCAACCATGCTGTTTTCGCGGAGACATGCCATGCATTTTTTAGCGAAAGCGAGCACATCTTCACAATAACCGGACAACTGCATTCTATTAAAACTTCCTTGCCATTTTACAAATTGATAGCGGCGAAAGATGATAAAACAAGCTTGACGAATACGCTCAAATTTGAGTTTCCAGATTTAGTGGAAGCGCTATCAATAATGAAGCGTTATGCAATATTTACCGCCTGCATGCTTCTCACGCTTATCGGGTCAGTAATCATCAGTATCCTCGCGTGCAGAACAACGCAATCAAGCTCAACGCGAAAAAACAGTTATCGCCGTAATATCTACAGAAACATAGCACGGCAAACACTATCAATGCCGCTGATGGGGGTATTCATGTCAGCAACATTCTTCAAGATAACTCTAAAAATCGTTTTGTTCTTCCTTCGTATCTTGCTCCATTTTCTCCGTGTTGTATTTCAAAGCGTTAGCTAGAATTTGAACTCCGCAGTTTTTCGTCAATTGGTAAACAATCAAGCAAATTTTCAAACAAAATCATTCTTTTTCAGGAATGGAAGAAGAAGGCCACAGAAGGGATAATGAAAATGAAACCAGTGGCGAAGCAGATATAAGCCAGTACGTCGCAATGGAGGTTGAACTCACAGGTGAAAAGGATAATCAACCCCAAGTAAAAGGAGAGCCACCCGCGCACATATGCACTCCCGAGTGCCAGGCAATGGAAAGCCTGCATGAATCTATCATGCCTCTCCACGAGGACGTGATTAACCTAAGGAAGGAAATAAAGATGCAAAAGGTAAGATGAATTGATTTTGAGTCAAACTAATTTATTCAAGTGTAACTGTTAAGAAGACCAAAAAACGCAAACACGAAAGCGACACTAACACAAAAACCAAGGCAAGCAAACAGCCCAAGGTAATATTCAAACCTTGTTGATAAATTCCAAACAATCAATTATTGTAGGAAATAGATTCATTAGCCGCGCACCTGCAAGTGTGCGCGGTAGAGGATAGGAAGCCCGATATGTTGCATGAGGCAGTCCAAACTGCAACACTTTACCAAGAAGATCACGAAATGCCACGCGGGGGACGAGGATTACTCCGAGATCGTGAAAGAAGTCTGTCAAGGCAACAAGCAGGAAGACGAGGAACAGAACAAGAAAGCGTTATGGCGGGAGATCCGTCATCGGGATGTTTGTTCTGTAACGGCCCCCATTGGGCAAGCAATTGCAACTACGCGAATACGCTTTCGTCGCGTCGGCAGATGCTAGCACGCCAAAATAGGTGGGAAAGATGCCTTGGCCCCGCGAATCACCTTGTTACCGCGTGCCAACCTAAAACCAATTGTTTTTATTGCAAACTTGCCAAGCGCTATGGCGAGATGACTCGTCATCACACGGTATTCTGCCACTACCAGTTCAAAATGTGAATAGATTCCAAAATGGTAACGGATTCCCCTCGGAGTTTGACAATACATATTTTCAAAAAAAAACTACCGCATAGCACCACAACGCCGACGAAACGAAAACGCGCCAATTTATCGCTTGAATGATTTCTGCTGTTCTATCAGTTATTCTTGCCAATAAATCATGATTGGTGACGTTCGTGTAAAAATTCGTGTTAGCAACACCTTGTTTGCTCTCCTTTTTTTTCCAAACCTCAACTGAACAAAAGTAACAACGTGGCAAATGAAACAAAAGTGGTGAATGTGGTAAAAAGGGAAAATAAGCAAGGTGTAGAGAAGTGAAGGCCGCAAAAAAATAAATAAATAAGTAAATAAATAAATAGAAAATAAAAGGGCGACATTGGCCATCACAAAATTACAAAAGCGGAAAATTTAAAAATTCATTGAAATTTCAGGTTTTCTATATAGATCATAGCAATGGAAGCCAGGACAGAAGAAAAAGAAATGGAACTTAATTGATAAGCGATAATAATCGTTCTTGATATTAGTCGTAAATGATAATCGTTGATAGTTGTGCTATTGCTTGTATGTTTTTGCCAATTTTTTTCATTCGCGCCGGGAGGGCGGTCAAAAACCGCGTCAACAAAACAGCGCCCCCGGAGTGTCGTGATAATCACGATTATCATGAGAGGCGGAGCGACGGGCAGAGGCGGCTGGGCGTACCGAGGGAGTGCTTCGGCATTCTCGCTCGTCGTTGTTCCTTCAAGCAAATCAACCTCCAAGCAAAGCGGCGCTTCAAACAAGCAATAATATGTGTAATTCTAACTTATGTCTCATTCGATTATGTTAACTTGACGCTATAAACGTTTGTAAGGTTGTCTTGTGGTTATTAGCGATTAAACCTGAACAAGGTTTAAACAGCATACCAGAGACTTGCAAATAACCTTTACAGGCTAAAGGACGTCAATAAGTCAGCAACCCGGGAACATAGTTGAGTATCGATCCAACAGTTTACCGTTTGAGATACATCCACTCCTGCATCTCGAACATGGCTAATCTAATCTATCTTAACTACAAAAATTCTCCACTTTCACTGGTAATTGCAGAAAACATCTACTTACAAGGAAAGGAAGGTTGGTCGAAGCGGCCTTTTGAAATCGGATACATACTGCCTTGTAGAGCTTGGAGCGCTGACCAAATCTACCTTTGCTATCTGCTGCGGGCTCCTGGGCGACGAGTTATAAAGGTTTTCGTAAGTAAAAATCTGAATACACGACTGGGCTAAAATCAGTCGTAACATTTTTTATAGGGCTTAATTGGTAGTCGGGTCACTCGGTGCAACAAATATTCTTGATTCAAATATACCAATTCGCTGCTGCCTCGTTTGAACATTGGGAAAAGGTTGCAATTGATTTTACCCTATTTTTTCACTCAGATTTTTACTCACAAAAACCTTCATAACTCGTCGCCCAGAAGCCCACAGCAGATAGCAGCGGTAGACTTGGAATCAGCGTTCCAAGCTCTACAAGGCAGTGTACACTTCATTTCAGAAGGCCACTTCGGCCAACCTTCCTTCCCTTGTTAGACGACATCTTTCTTCGCGGATAATGTTAAAGAAGCAATTAAGAAATACGCAGAATTTGCAGAAACTTCTTGAGATGACATGAATTTGCATGAATTTACATATTCAGCGAACATTAATGTTGTTATCCTAAAGCATGATAGAGCTCCGCCAGGAAACATGAAATTTCTGGGTGTCAAATTTGAAACTAAGCAATCGAACGAAACAATATCTCACTAAACGCTAGTCAGTCAAACAACTCGTTTACGATCCTCTTGGAAACCACGCCAATGCTAATGAAAATGAAATCTCTGATCAGAGAGATCTGAAAGGAAAAAGTACCTGAGTATTTCAGTCAAAAACCGAATTTAGCTCTTTATGAAATACATGTTTACATAAAGATTCCACGATATTGCATACCGCCTCCAAAGTCGATCTCTGGGTGTTCTGTATTGTGAGACTAGCAAAAGGCAATCGCAACGTGCGCGTATCTGCTGCGATCTGACAAGGTCAGCTAGCTGATCAGTGGAAAAGGTGAAGCAAGAATTGTTGCTTTTTAACAGGAGTTTTTTACAATTTATTTTTTTGTTTACAGTATGCTTTAGTTCAACGATTTCCAGCGTAGTAGAAATCGCTTGCCTAGTCAGGTACTGAAAAGTTTTTCAAAGATTGTTTTCCGGATTCAGCAAACCCTCCTTCACTTCCTAATTATGAACCGCGATTGAAGACACTCAACCTTGGATGCCATTTATATCGTAGAGTTTTCATAATCTTATACTAGCTTTCAGGATCTTTAGGGGTGAGACTGACTGGAGCCCTTCAAATACTGGGTGTTCATAACAGTCATGGAATAACTAACACATTTTCGGTTTACTTACTTCAATCAAATGGTGGGTAAAAACATTACCGTTTCTTGCTTGATCACGACTTTTTTGCCCGTACTTCAAAAATATGCAAAGTTTACCGCGTGAACTTTTGACTCGTGCTGATAACACTTCATTCAAACGAGAGCTTAGAAAAAGAAGATTAAATGAAATTTTTTCAGGATCGGTACAGTTGACATCATTGCGTGATGCTTTGCTATTGTGTTGCGTCCCTTTTTCGTTATTAATTACTTCTTTATGGGGAGGGGGGGGGGATTCGTCCTACTCCAAACTGACTTTCTGGATTGAACTTCAGATCAAGAATGATGTTTCTACTAGGTTGTGGATAATTTCTGTTACACTTCTTTCTAAAATTTCTAGGAAATTCCAGAAGCTTTCTGAAAACCCAAATTTGCAACACGCTTATGACATAGCAGGTCTACCCTCCAGCATGATTGATGCCGCAAGTGCACTAATGACCAACAAGTTTACGTCAGTTTTGCAAAACTCAAATTTTTGATTCTTGTCTGATTTTTTCTCTGCTCCTTCTTGCGCTTTTCCTCTTCTAGAATTTTTTTAGAACGACCTTGACATTTTCTCTTACATGGAGGCATTCCGGTGCCTCTAGCGTTTCAAAAACGAGGGGTAAAAAATTATCAAAAAAATTTTAAAAACTTTCCTAAATTCTTCTTTTCATGTGCATCGTGTAGAAATGAATAAAGAAAACATTAAAATGATTTTTTAAAATTTTTTGAAGACGTTTTCTTCGTAAAAATGCCGATGATTGCAAAGGTGGCACACACTGAGATTTGAACCGCTCAGAAAAACGTGAGCAGACATGTCTGCGTTACCCCCCCCCCCCATAGCTAAATGCTTTAGGCTATGCTCTACATGATTACCACATTGTCCGGTCTATAGCTAATCACCTGAGAGAACGTAGCTCTACGAAAATGGGAAGAAGCGGATTTTCAGCCACAAAGCGGGTGTTTTGCGCACGGATCGCGAATGTGACGGTACCCTTGTATGGGCCTTTTGACCCTGCCCAAAGGCCGTGAACATGGGATCTTTTCAAAGCTTCTGAGAATTTTATATTCGGACAAATACTTGAAAATTATCAGACCTGTTCAAGGCATGGGAAGTTAGGTTGGTGGATACCAGTAGCGGTCCTGATTTCCGTCCGAGGGGGGGGGGGGCGAAAAAAATTTTCGAGTGAAGGTGCGTGGCGTCAGCCACGCACTCCGAAGAAATTTTGGGGGTGCTTTCCAAAATTTTTGCGGGTCCAACCCCTGAAATCTGGAAAAAGGAGGCGTGGCGTCAACACGCCCCCGAAAGAAAATTTATTTACAAGGCTAGAATTTTTAGAAATTTTTAAAAATTATTTTAATTGTTTACAAGAATAAACAAGTCACTTGCGCATTTTAATAGCCCATATAAGTAATTTTCCAAAAAATTAGCGGGGTTGTCCCTCGGCCCCTCGGTACGCCACTGGTGGATACCTAGCTGAACCATTACCCTCGATTGAACCGCTCCGATTATCCTTGAGACCTGGCATCCCATCTCACATACAAGGGCTCTCAATCTGTATGTCACGGTCAACGTGGTGCAGGTCCTAGAGAGCCGCCTTTCTTGGATCTTTCACGTGGTACAATATCGCGTCCGCTAAAGCCTTCGCGGTATCCGATGCGGTATTGTACCACGTGAGAGACCCAAGCGAGGCGGCCTCGAGGACCTGCACCACGTCGACCGTGACACTCAGATTGAAGCCCCTATATAGAAGCATATAAGTTACTCGCATGTGGTCATATCTTTTTCGTGTGTTGGGTACCTCATCCTGTATGAGTAGTTGCTCAGTCATCAAAGTACGAGCATTCTCTTTTTGGTCCTCGAACGTTCAGGATGACTGGCCCCATACTAACGTATAAAGGTACACTTCAAGAGTAAAATTAAAGATAAAGATAAAGATAAAAATAAAAAGTGTGCAAAAGTGATTGGAGATGCAAGAGTGCAAGAGGGATGTTAGGCACCTCCAGCAAACCGCCGAGCCTTTGCTGTCCCCATTGTGAATATAATGTGCTCCACTCCCTCTCAAATTATTGTTTACGGTAGCTATGCGCGTGTGCACCACCCGCCCATGACGCGAACTGCACGCAAACTAGCAGAACTTTTATGACAAATCGCTTTCGAAAAACTTTTGTTCGTTTTTTTTTTGTGTTCCTCATTTCATACGTTTCGTATATGTACTTGTCTAGTATTATTCATGCGTTAATTTGGTTTCAGAGTCCTGAATCTCAGTCTTCGTCTGTCTTCTCGACTATCATAAAACTTCATGCTATTTGTCCCTCACGATGACCACCCTTGCTGAAAAGCGCAGTCTGGCGTTAGCTAAAGCTCAGGCATTTGTGCGGACAAGAAAGGTGTGACTTTTGTTTTATTTTTATGTTTACTCATCCGACTTTCAAAATAGTTTTGGAGTAATCACGCCTATGAACCGCTTCATCGAGTCCATAATTTATTCTAATTTTATTTCATTCCTTCCAATTCTTCATGTGTTTTTATTGTAGCCTGACCCTGCAACGGAAAATGCAGAAAATGGTGGAGAGAACACCGAAAATGCTGGAGATGAGAATAACCCCATACGGCCAAGCTCTTTTGGACTTCGAGCTCACTTTTCAACGTAACTTGTTTCATCTCCATCATTCTACATGTACTTTAGCAATGTTTCATGAGTGCTAATTTTACTCATCAGATGATTATTGATTACAATATCGTCATGTAGCCAGTTTTAGGGTCAACATCAATTGTGATAAGTGGTACCAAACCATGGATGAGAAAGCCCGCTTAAACCTCCAAGATCCGCCGTCTTTAGCTGACGGCATGGATCGAGAGACCGAAAAGGTATAGTTTATTAAGTTTTTTGAGCTGCGCATGGTGCGTGAAGGCAGACAATTCATACCGAAGTTTTTCGTAGTCCGAAAATAGAGCGCTCGTTGTAACTTTTTATCGCTGGCTGAATTTAAGCCGAAAAATTGTGAACGTTTGGCAAAGGCCGAGCTACTGCCAAAGAAAGAACTTCTCTATGCATGGTTACAGAACCTTCGCTTCTTCGGCTGCACTCTTATACAGGAAGGAGCTGTTATGTTGAAGCTTCCTCAGGTGGCTGCTGCAACTGGGCAAATACTTTTTCAAAGATTTTACTACCTAAAAAGCTTCTTGAAGTTTCGTTATGAGGTAAGAATTAGTCGATGTTAGAGATCGTAATCAAGATAATTCTTGTAGCATACTGTCATGGCTTGTTTGTTACTAGCCTCAAAAATCGAGGAAGAACCACGGCGTACTAGAGACGTTTACAACGTTTTTTATCGCCTTGAGCAGCTACACAAGCTCAGAGAATCGGGACGCTCCATCAACGAGTAAGTTTTGACTTTACTACTTTTAAACATTGAATTATGGGCAAGTTAGGTTTTTGGGACAAAGAAATTTCTATCAATGCAACAGTTGTGAGAAGATTATGCAAGCACTTTTTGTTGAGCTAGTCACAGTAGATGACATAGTCATTTTCTATCTTTTGTGGCGTCATTGAAACAGCACAAAAACTACATTTCCCTTCGTCTTTGCGCATTACGGGTTGTAGAGCACAAAGATTTATCCTGACTGAAGATGATGAAGGCAGTTAGTTTAGGTAGTTATGAGCAGTCTTATTGCGGGTGTTAAATGGCTTTGTTACAAACTCATTTTGGTGTACATCTTTTTGTTATCAGTGTTGTTCGAACAAAATTTCTCGTTATGATAGCATGCGTTTAATGATAGAACAAATGAGTGATATTGACAATTCAACCCTTTATAATCACCTCATAAGTTCGAAAATAGCTATTTTCAGATTGTTTCTTGTCAAGTTTTTGCACAAGTCTCTAATAGAACTACTCTTGATGCATGATCAACTTTCACCATCTATCTGCACAGCGTTTGCACAAAATATGGCATTCGTATGCGGATAGGTGGAAAATCTATTTTTCCGAGAGCAATGATGTCTGTCCCCGGGTGTTGATACACTGAAGCACTGAATACAATTCGTTCAATGCGCATCTGTATCGCGGACATGGGAAGTATTGCACGTCAAATTCTTAGGCTCAATGCAACAAAAAGGCTGTAATTGTGAGCTTTTCTATTGCGTAACAAATTTTAGCTGTTTTGTCGTTGTAAATGTAGGATGAGTTTGAAATTGTCTACCAGCTAGACAAGAGCAATATCAAGTCCAGCATGTTTGTAGCAAATCTCCGGATTGAGATCCTCACAGATTCTTCTGGTTTTGAAAACTATATATCATGGAAGGAGTTTTAGACTGAAGCAAATCAGGAGGTTTTAGGTGGTAGTCTTTCTTGGTGACAAGTCTCTTTACTCGCATCGTAAAGATGTATCACCTGCTATCTCCATTAGTATTGTGCAAGTTACAAATTTGCAATGAGGACATTATTAGAAATGATGGGTAGTGATCGTTGCACTACCATAAGTCATCTCAAATATTCCGCGACAGTAATCTGTTTATCCCAAAACTCGCATAGCATTTATTAAAACTCAGTCAAACGAACATAAGGAGTAAAACTCTTGTTTACATCGTCAAACTGAATTTGATTGGTTTTAGAGGAATGAAATTATCACAAATATACTGTTAGGGCCATGTTTTCATGTCTTGAGACATAGGGTTCGAATAATCACAGTTATTCAATTAACAAGTAGGGAATTTGCATATTCTCTTATTGCAATCGTTTTTATCTAGGTGATCTACCCACACTCAACCTGATGGAAGAGAGTGAGTGATATGGGAGCCAACACCGCGGGAGACAGTGGTCGCCTGCGTCTCCCATGTTGTTTCTATTTTCTGTTTTTGAAAATTTCTCATCTCGGTCTGTTGAGGAGTGCCTGAGCTTCACAAGGAGGAAGAAACGCATGAGGTTTGACAGTGTTTGAAATAATAGTGTTGCTATCAACAGATAAGATTTTATTTTGAGCTTTTTCAACATCAGGGATTTGGTGGCGTACGTTTAGTTAGCTTTTTTACCGATTTTTCCCAAACTTTCCAAAACTTCTTGATATCCTACGTATAAAATCTTGCCGCTGAGGAAGGCGAGTGTTTCGATTTGCGAATCGAGTGCGAACGCAGCGGTTGAACGCCTTTCATCAGTATAGCTATCAACGCTCACGGACGCCTCTAACCAGCTATGAAGACACGAATTAGTATATAGTCACTTCCGCTCCATGCTAACTGAGTTAAAACGGGTTTTTTTTTCATGGATGGAGGATGCATGCATGTTTTTAGGGAAAGATTGGGTTAGTGGGCTCCAAATTGAACAAGTTGTACGGTTAACACACTTCTGATTACTTTTGATCCGGCTGTTTCCCTCCATCACTACATTTTGTTAATACTTCACGGCAGTACAAAAAATTGCGGCGTTAATCTCCGAGTAGTGAATATATGCTCAAGCTGTACATCAACTTTCGTCTGTATCAGTGAGGTAGACATAGGAATAATTAATGCGTACTCGCAGCGCTCACAAGCTTACAGTCTGCCCCAATTCCAATCAGACCAAAATTGACATGGCGGGAGTCCGCGTCGCTAGGATTTCGCGGCCACGCCCATGTCTGCTTGTCTGCTCCCTCTTCGATCCTCTCGCTCCCTCTGACAGCGCGCATATGCAGCGCAAACGCTTAGCGCTGCGAGCGCGCAAATTTACGCCGACGGTTCGGCCTGATCCCTATTGGAGTAGACTGTACAAGGGAAGGATACGGATGACCGTGGCCATTCACAATGGATTTGTACATCAAAAAATGCGCCTTTCAATAGTGGTTTGATTACTGCCTTTCATATCTGCGAAACGATAACTTGGGTGCAGTTATGATTATTTTTCAAGAATGAATTGCGCTACTGCGGGGGGTCAAAATCATCATTGATTTCTTCCTCTCTAGATGTTGAATGTGATTTAGATAGATATATGCAACAATACTCTTCTTAAGATTCTCCTCAATAGCTTCAAACTGTAAACTAGAACGAATTTGGTTGGTTAAATACCCAAAGCACAAGTTCTCCGCGAAAAAAGTTCATAACTTCTTTAAAAGGATCGTTTCGCAGATCTTGAGTACAGATCTAAAATTAGCGTTTCCCCATAGCATTTCAAATGGTCGCGGTCACCAATATCCTTCCCTTGTTAGCTGTGGGTTTTCATTAACACTGGTATGCCACCACCCATTTTGTATGGTGGCTTAGTTTCGTTAGAAGAAGAGAAAAAGCAGTCGCTGAACGAGTACCGCCGGCATTCTGTTAACGCTGGAGTGGCGCTTGCAGAATTCGACACAGTCTTTGGTACATTCGTGATCTCGTTTGATAACAAGAACAGTTTTCACAGCCATGCCTAACATATGCATCAGAGGCGGTACAATCGAGAAGTTTTACCCTTTTGTCCAGAAATCGATTGGGATTTTCTTAGAGAACTGTATAAGCTAAGAAGATTGTGATTTTCTTGACAACGAGAAAATTATTCATTTGCTTCTGAATACAGGGCTAGTAAAAATGATGGGTCACATAGTGCCCGGTATACCCACAACATTTTTGCATGAAAAAGTTGCTGCTCTTGCAAAGCCAGCAATCGTGCCCGCCAGTGAATGATCAAATTCTACCAATAATGGCGGTCCCCATTGTTTTACCCTGCGTCGCTTCGAGCAGTTACTTGCTTGCCCAGCGAGTGCAGTGATCGGAGGCAAGTTCGACCGCGCCTTCTCTATAAAGGCACCGCTCACCCAAAATCTCGAATTCAATGTTATTGTTGCCTTCAGGCCTTCTGAAAGCCCTGATTCCGAATATGGAGTCGGAAATCCACGAAACTTCCAAAAATCTCTGTTTCGGGAACCCTCCGTAACAAGCGCAGGCGAGGTAAAGCATGCAAGTGGGCGGGGCAACCCCTTGGTCGCCCCGCTTACTTTGCTACTTCCGGAGCGGATTTCTCGCTCCAGGAGCAGTCTTTTGCGGCGAAGCTTGGGGATTTGCCTAGTGTGGGGGCCCACACTAGTATGCCATCATAATCTCGCCAACCTTCATTTGGGTGGACGGTGCCTATGAAGTCCAGGTGTACTTCACGCTATTTCAGTCGCGACGCGATTTGGCATTGCTCCATCTATTCACAACTCATCGTGAAGGTACTCCGATTGTGCGGAAGATATGGCATTTTGACAGCCTGCGAAAGTTCCACGTACTGTGTACTCGTAGTCTGCAAGTGTTGCATTTGAAGAACCTGGCAAGTTGCCAGATCGCGTGAAGTATGCTCGAAGTTCAGATAAGGATATGTGTGTAGACGTTGCTATGTAGGAGTACCCAAGCAGTTTTCGCGTAGGAAGCTCGGTTCTTCAACAATGATACATGGTTGCTTGGACCAATCGGATCCACAACGACCGCACCATGGGAGGAGAGGATAGATTCCGCCATTAGATGCCGCCTCTGCGGACTACACGTCCTGCGTAATTTATAATGTGTGCAGAAGAATTATTATAGTAGTCCAAGAAGGAGGCGCATATTGGTATGGTTTCTTCACCTACCGCAGCCATTATGTCTGTGACAGCTTTTTGCGCGCTGTCAAACTACGCAGTTGAAGATCTGGCTCGCTATTACACGGGCAGCCATAGGGCGCTGCAAGATCGCGAGAGTCGGTGAGTTTGCGGCCAGTGCCCACGCAGGATGCTTCAAGGCCTCAAACCACTCAAACAGTCCTGTACTTTTCGGAATCGCCTCAAACAATTGGAAGTCTGATAGCAGAAAAAGGTCCAAAAGGATAAAGAAAACCGAGAAAGCTCAATGCGCGAGCAGTGGCCGCAACCTCACCGACTCTCGCGATCCTGCAGGCCCCTATTTGAATGCACCCATTATTGCATAGGTGCGAATGCAAGGGCGATGATTTCTTCATTAGACTATTCGATGAAACCGTGATCGTAGCCGGCTTGCAGAGTTGCCCGCGACCTATCCCTATGCTGCAACGCTGCTTGCCCGTGGCCCATCCCTATGCTGCAACGCTGCATGTTGTCACGAAAAAGCGGATGATGCGCGATGTGCGGCGACTCCTTTGCCTTCTACCAGCACGCGGAGAATCGTGAACGCAGGCGGGTCGTAACGTAGTCGCAATTGTCATCCGGTGTGATCGAATCCCAGACTGGTTATTCGCATGCTTCTTGCTCATTTTTGAGACCTCTGCTTTCCCGTCGCCGTAACACGCTCAATATCTTAGATGATTGAATTAGAGGAACATGACAACATTCCTGGTACCACATTCTTTGGAGTTTCGATGTGCATGCATGGCATGCAGTGGTGGTCCATCGGTTCAGATCGCTTTTGGATTTTTATTTGGATTACAAGATAGTATAAACATACCCGCGGGCAAACGACTTCTTGCTTCTTATCACTATGACTGGATGTCTCAGCTTGGGAGTATCAAGTAAGCAGTTACCCTGCATCCGTATGCGTCATGGCATAAACTTTGAGAAGCCCTGCTGATCTGTACAAAGCTGCGATGGTTCTTTGCCGCGCGAGCAGATATAAGTGCTGCATGTTACCTCTTCCTAGCTTTTTGCTCCCGCTGACGATGCGTGCGTCAATCTCCGAGGATGGAAAAGTAGAGTAGCTTGCAGCTCATATATCTAACATGTTGCAAACATAAAGTTTCTCGTGCTTCCCGTTAGTGATTATTATCAAATGAACAAGTTATCACCTCTGGGCAACTTAGGTATGATGCAGATGCTTTTGATCACCACCTACCAAGTTAGATGCACAAACAATGCACAAAGAAAATCTGTCAAAACCAACTGGATCTTAATGGCATACTCTACTTCAGCGGCTTCTGTCTTCTTGTTGGGGTTATGATTATATATATTAACGTTTAGCGATAGATCCGTAGTAGATCTCCCGCTAACTGAACGGCGAATTTGACAGTGCCGAATTTGAAGTAGTGCATGGAGCAGTTTCCCACAATTAGACGTAGCAATCTGATGATTTCTAGTATTCCGAAATGGTTTTTTTCTTCGAAGTCACCAGTGCTTGTCAGTGCTCGTAGTACGCCCTCGCATTTTGTTCTGAATCAACCGGTGACTATCGAGATTTGATCCATTGAGTTTGAACTTACAATGTTAACCATATCCGCTTTCGATCACTAGAAGACATTAGACCACCCTATTGCGCCTGGTGTTAGACAGTGCGAAAGTGTCACCCGTCGTCTCAGTTATTTGCGTCCACTCATCTTTCCGTTGTGACTGTGTGGTGCAAAAGGAAACACGAACAGCTAGATAGGGTTCAAGCAAGAGCGGAACTAGAGTTTGGTCTCACGAGTGCAGTATATGATGCTTTATACATTACTGAGCCGAAGATGTAAAGCTGCGTTAGACATCTACTGTACTTATTCGAACGTAGACTTATATTGCCCAACATCCCTGGGAAAAGTTTACACATTCACTTATGATTTTTCTTTGCAAATCTATAGATAGGCTCATGCGTATTCCTCCTTGTGCTGCCCAGGTGATACGGTAGGTCCCATATATTGTGTCTTGATTCCACAATTGTTGCATTGATAGGGATACTTCTAAGAGTTTTTTTAAATGTAGTTTACCAGTTGTCAACGTTATTTTAGTGAGACCGCAGCTCGTTTGAAGCCGCCTCCCCTTGACATCAGCTATGTAAACACAAAGAATAATGTGAGTACATCGCATTAGATTTCAAGCATATGTGAATTTTGGTTGCATAATGAGCTTGAATCACGACTAGTCGGTCTATTTGCAGATAATAAAGGCAGAGCGACGTCTGCTCGCTACCCTTGGTTTCGTGGTTCACGTCAAGCATCCGCATAAGTTGATATGCGCTTACTGCTATGTTCTACGAGCTCATCACAGGACCGATCTCATTCAGAAAGCATGGTCAGACTTTCTCAAGTTTCCTCACCGCCAATTTATCTTCAAAATAAAGCTCACTATAAGGTTTGTTTTGCAGGACATACATGAATGACGGTTTGCGGACAGACATGTTTGTTCGTTATTCACCGGAAACGATTGCATGCGCCTGCATTTTCTTAGCTGCGCGAACGGTACAGCCACCAGTAGCTCTCCCACATCAACCTCGGAATTGGTCAGTTTCTCTCAATATAATGTGTTATTCATGCAGATAATCATTTCGTTCTGTACACGGCTTTTATATGTGATCAAGCATAAGAGCTCTTATACAGGTACGAACTATTCGACGCTTCTGATACTGATGTCCATACTATCGCAATGATGTTGCTGAATATGTACGCGAATCAGAAGGTACGATATATGTATATATATTAATTTATTTTGCTCTTACTCTGCTCTATTCTGCTCTTGACTACTTTCATGTAATCGCTGATTTTACGGTGAAACTGTGAGGACCTGTTTAATTGCCTATAGTATTATTTCCAGGCAGTAAGTTGGAGGGAAATGGACGATGTAATAGAAAAATTACGAGGGAAGATCGAGGCAGCGCAAAAAGCTGCCAAAGCGCAGCTTGTGGCGCAGAAGATTACAAATGATAAGAAGAAAGGTGATGAAGGTTAGTCAGAAATCATTTGCAAATTCTTTTTGCCACTTTTTTGATTCAGATTCTGACAAAGAGGACAGCCACAAACGTAAGGGTAAAAGTAGGAGTCGATCGCGATCTAGATCACGATCGAAAAGCCCGAAAAAGTGAGTCCACTCTTTTTGTTATGTGAATGGAGAGTGTTTGTATCAAATCATCACTTCTTTGTTTTACCAACAAATCTGCCTGCCGTGTGTTTCATGAAATCTTTTGAGGAAATATTCTCCGATACGTCGTAGGAGAGAGTCGCCTGAACGCAATGGTCGGAACAAAAATCGTGGTGGGAAAGGAGGACGAGATGATAGAAGAGATCGAGATAGAAGAGACGATCGCAGGGATGACAAAAGAAGGAGGAGCAGAAGTCGTAGCAAAAGCAGGGAGCGGTATCTGGATCGGGAGCGTGAGCGAGCTAAGGTGAGAATGTCGTAAAATCGATGCTTTCTTCTGAATATCTAGCTCAGGCTGGATGAAAAGTTTTCTGTTCAGTCAATTGTTGAATTGTCTTATATCACAGTACATGCGAGATTTCTGAGAGGATGGGTATAGCAAAATATCCTTTCTGTTTCAGGAACGGAGTAAGGCTCGAGAACGAGAAGTTTATCAATCCTTGGGAAAGCGTCCACGTCCAAAGACTCCAACCCCACCCGTTAGATTTCGAAAGTGATTTTGGTCTCGCCTTATTATTGTTTGTTTTCAAGATGTGACATACGTTCGAGAAGTTGTGGATGATTTTGGCAAAATTGCTCCGTAGTCCAAGAAATAGTTGCTGATGGCTGTAGTATCATATGTACTCTACGGTTAATTTTGAGCATAGCGAGAGTCCTTCGTTATAACTATTCTTTTAGCAATCCTACTTGAGCTGATGCAGGCCTTATTTCTGTTTGGCACATTGTTTCTTCTTTTTTATTCTAAATATTATCAGCTCTTTCCTCTGCTCGCATCTCGATATCTCGGTTGTACCTCCAATTCTTGCACTCGCAACAACACAAATTCAAGTAGCTTATACGACAGTTCTTTGTTTTTGTGTGAGTGCACATAGTCATTCTGTTTACATAAACGTTTCCGTTCATCTGTTGAATTGAGTATATGTTCAACGTTGTAATACTTTTCCAGGGCTTTTTGATTGATTACACTGTATTTGTATCCTTTTTGTATTTCAGCACTATGCCGCCACAAAAGCCTGTACATTCCGAAATGCCAGATCACAAGCCCACTGAGGAAGTAACAGAGGAACCTCAAGCAGAAGTCGTTGATCAGTTGACTTACTGGCGTGAAAAGTGCGCTGACCACGTTGAAAAACTCAAAGCTGTGTTGGAAGAATGCAATGATCGGGTGAATAGCAGAAGCAATACTGAGGAAACATGCCATCAGGCTAGGTTTTTTTCGTGTTGCTTCAATTTCTTCGCCACGTTTCTTCTCTAAAACTTCTAAGACTTCTACTTTGTAAATGTGTTACTAAGTTCCGTCACCGTCATTGCTAGAGTGGGATGCTGCAGCAGATCTCTTAGAATTTTGGTTCAGTTAATATAAGAGTATAGTATGTGCACATCGATTTATATGGTTGGGAGCACGCGACCATGCGGGTGGCTTTCCTCATTGATTTTGAACCCATCTAATCCCACTTGAGTGGAATTTACTACCAAGGAGAAGCAAACGAAAAAAATATTAGTGTATGTAGAGGCGCGTTGCATTGTTAACGCGGTAAAAAAAGGTAAAAATGTAAGCGCAGATTGAATGAATTCGAACTTTCTGTAATCCTTGTTTTTTCGCTGCTTCAGCGTCTTGCATAAGAGTTCGGAGACTGATTCGTCACTATGAAGCGATCATTAGATACGGGTTGGAACTTTGATATTAAAGGCAGCGTCCAGGCAAATCTGAACTTATGGGGCTCTCACGTGGAAAGTAATCTTGAGGCCCTAAATAAGACTCTACCCAAGCGGCAGTTCAGATAGTGCACTCACGGCTAAGATATTGGGCTCCAAGCTGTGCCTCGTGACCGTATTCGCAGCTTCGTGGCTTGGCACATCATTTTGGCGTGGATCCTCGCGCGAAAGCGCCACGAATCCACGCGAATACGATCACGGGCATAGTTTGGAGCCCAATATTTTAGCCGTGAGTGTACTATCTGAGCTGCCGCTTGGGCAGAGTCTTATTTACGGCCTCAAGATCACTTTCCAAGTGAGAGCCTCCAAGAAGTATTTTATTTACATAGCCCATTGAAGTCGCGAACATTTGTTTGAGCTTCATGTTTGGGACTAGCTTAGAGTGCGAGACTGACGTCAAATCGCTAGATGTTGAGTGATTTGTTAGATGATTTACGAGGTTCTAAGTTAATTAAATTACGCGTGACTAATTACTAATGACTCTCACTTTCGTGCAGCTGCTCGTCATTTGAGTCTATGCACTTACAGAGATTTGTACAGCAGCGTTGCAGAGCACATTCAAGAAGTAGTAGTTCTTCACATTTTCTCGGCATTAGCGGAGGTTTCTAGCAGATTTTCGTTGACATATGGTGCATCCCCCAGAATTGCTCCCATATGAACCATTAACGTGGATATCTTTCGATCATTTTAACATGTCAGCTTCGAATAAGCACCTTAAATTTGCTGGAGTTTATGTGTTAAAATCGTCGAAAGACAACTACGTTGACGCTTCATATGGGAATGCTGGGATGCACGATATAAAATGCTTTCGATCTGTGAATGCAAACATTGCCTTCACGCTTTAATTATGGTGCAATTTTTCTAAACCACATCTCATTTGGTATCACTCTATTGCTAATGACATCAGGAAATTTGTTTGATTTTTTATTGTTTTTGATAGATGTTTTAGCCTCAATAAAGTCCTATGAAATGTTGCAGTGAAATGACTTTGTTTCAGGAAATGATGGACTACGTACATCATCTCGACGAATGTGCAATGCCCAAGGCTTTTGCGCAGTTGAAGTAGGATTTCATTGATGATTAGTTAAATAGCGGCTTCATGTTTGTATTTCTACCTCGCCTTCATATTCTTGACAAGATTGTCGTTTCATTTTTCTATAAAGATAAATAGAGTAGAATAAACTTTATAGCGAAACTTAGAGGTATCAGAGAATTGCGCATGCTTTCGTCTTCAGTTTGGGGTCTATACGCAGTTGTTCGCATTTGCATCGTTCACTTGGCGTCGTCTAAAATAATTGATTGGAGATACATTTGCACAGAGGAAACAGGTGTTGCCATCAAAGCTAGAGGAGAGTGGATTTGCTAGAGTGTAATGTGGTCGATGAACAAATCTAAGGAGATATTGTTAGTATATTTCACTGAATGAAGTAGAGCAATCTAGTTTAGAGTGGAGCTCTTGCCATCAATACGTTATCTTTTTTATTTGAAGCTAAATTTCGTTGATGTAGATACCCTATCGGATATCAAGATCAGTCTAGTAGATCTGCTCAATATTGTGCGTTTGCGGTCTGAAATTCTGCGGTGAAATTGGCGTAAATACTAGCGTCACAAATGTCGGTATATTGCTCACGCTAGCGGCCGGTATCACGCGTCCGCAATGGCGCCCTGTTTCTACGTGCGATAAATCGCCTATACATGCTAGCAGATTTTTCGCTCAACATGGTGTGCTTGCGGTGACGAGATCCCGGTAGAGTGGAGTAGATTTTCCACTTGATATAGTGGGCTTGCGATGCCGTGATGACGCGGTGAAAGTTGCGCATGAACACATATTTAGTTATGCCTGTAATGACCACTTGATGCTCGCAAGCCCACTATATCAAGTGGAAATTTACTCCACTCTACCAGAATCTCGTCACCGCAAGCACACCATGTTGAGCGGAAAATCTGCTAGCCTGTATAGGCGATTTATCGCACGTAGAGACAGGGCGCCACTGCGGACGCTGTCAGCATCTCGAATCAAAAGAGCTCTTATCCCTTCAATCGTCTGCTGTCTCAACCGCACACGACTAGCTTAATCGGATGCAACGACATCTACTCTCTGCGTGTGCTGGATTGTCCATACCTTTTGCGATCGTCGACGTGTGCGTTCATCGTTGGTCCGTTTTGGCTTTTTCACTCTTCGGATCTGTAGTACCTGGAACATTGGATAGAATAACATGCAAAACACCTTTGAAAAGTGGTAGACAAGCATACACAACTGTATGGAAATTCATTTCAAGAAGGAAGCGTGATTTTTCTTGGCTGGCAGCTAGACACTGGAAATCGGTAAAAAAGAGATGTGAATGCCTAATATCAAGTTTCCATAAAATTTGTCCATAAGTCCTGGGGATCGAATGTGCGTGAAGGGTACTGCGGAGCAAAGGCGAAAATCCGGTGTCATTAGCCGTACTAGCGCATGAGGGGCAGGGTTTACGCTTCATCTCGTTGAGTGAGTTCAACGCCAGCGGCTCGAATCTGGTGCTATCGCTTCGCTTGGGCCGTGCATCCCCTTCGCGAGCTTGCCCTCCGACCATTTTCTAATTCATGATGAAAATGATTAAGAGAGCACGTTCGCGAATGAGGTGCAGAGCATAAGCGAGGCGGTCGAGCAAGATTCGAGCTACCCTTGTCGGGCTCACTCCAAAGAGACAGCGCATAACGGTGGAGATATGCGCGCGCCGCGTTCGCGCTAGCTCAACCAACGCTGCTTGATATTTCGTCCACCAAGCTTTAGTTGTGTCGCTGTGATATCTCGTTTTCGGCAAGCTGATTTGCACCAAGCTTGCTCCACGCTCGCGAACTTAAAGGCAGCTCCAAGCAAAATTTTGCCTCTCATGTTTCTGCCATTCTGGGGTCTTTCCGTGGCCCTGATCACAGTTGTAAAGTCCAAATTGCTCAAAACTCTCAAAAAATCCAGTTCTTGGGGACCCTCTCTTCAAGGAGCGGACGAGTTTCGAATTGCTCGTCCCCATCGTCATGCCAGCGGGAGAGGCTGCAACTGCACGGATGCAGTTGCTTTGCAGTGTGCAGTGCAACTGCAATGCAACTGCAATGCAACCGCACACCTGCATAAGCACTCGTCCTCAGGGGTGGTTTGTGATACGAAGGGGCGGCTTGTGTATGTATCACAGGCCCGTATCTCCTTTAAGAGGGCACGTCAAAGGATTGGACCAACGCAGATCGGATACTCATGGACCCCTCTTTACAACTATGTGCTAATCTGGATGGATGGATCTTGCCTGGACGCTGCCTTTAACCTAGGCAGCTCGCCAATTCTTGGCACGCAGCGCAGATCAGGCCCCTTTTGGACAGTCTGAGCTCAAACTGTGCCGTAAAACCTAAGACGTCTTCTTATGACGATCAGATAAACTCACTTCGAAGGGTTTTTGAAGACTGTTGTCTGTTTCTGAGTCGAAGTTGATTCTTCGTATGTGAGGTAGTGTAATATGTCCAGGTGGGATCTGCAAATGTCATAAATTTGCTTGAACAACTTCATTAATCTCTTTCAAAGGCAGATTACCTTGTCCGCTGGTTCGGCATCGAATGTCACAGGAGCTTCTGGTGTTTTCTTGCCGTATTCCTCCACATCATCCTCATCAAATTTTAGGTCTACTGCTTCCACGGTTTCCTCCGTGCCGTTTTCTTGAGAGTCCTCCTCTTCACAATGGGCACCGCTGTCACTGTCTTCTTCCTCCGAAAACGTAATCAACTATCAGTTTATAAGTGTTCACTGTAAATTTACGGAAGCAAATATTTTTTTTATTGAGGTCATGTTAAATCAATGCACTTCTATTCAAAGCTTTCTATGTGCTCTTTTGAAAAAGTAACTGTTGTAGTGACGACTTTTCTTTGCTTGGATTCAAAAGCTAGATGCGGAAATCCTCAAGAAAAATTTCTGTTGAAGAATCATGCTAGAGAACGCTTACTGCTTATAGAGAATCTTGTGTTATTTCCAGGCGAATATAGAGACGCTGTCTGCGCCGTATAAATATCTTTAGCACGGGCGATTACTAATTCTATATAGATTAGGACAATTATTATCAATGCAAAATTCATAATGCCCACTTCCGGCCAAGGACGAAAAATGAAGTTTCATGAGAAGCAATTTCCTGCGTCGTCGAAGAAGTCTGTTTCGATCTTCTTCGCAGAAAATTTTCACGAAATCTTGCGGCGCAACTATACCTCCGACATTAGCTATCAATGAATACACCAGCTTTTTACATTCCAAAGCTACCTATGCTCTTGCTCTTTTACGGTAGAAGTAAGTTTTCGAATTGATAATTGTCCTTGTGCTAAGAATCTTTCTCGATTTTGCTACAGTGATACAAAAATGCGTACTATATCACTAAAAGTTCGCTTATTCTGACTGATTATTCTCATTTTTTTCCGGATTACATCAGCATCAACTACAATGGAGTGGAGTACTACTGAGAAGGATAAGACTGTTTGCTTGTAGAACTATACAAAAGCTACATCGCAAAAATTTCTTTTCAATAAAAATCGAATTTCCACATTATTTCAATTACAGAAGTGTTCGCCTGTCCACTATCCGTCGATGATATATCATTTTTTTCGCATATTGGTGTGAAAATTCTTCACAGTAATACTAAAAAGAAAATTTCTCAGCATTCTTTTAAAAGGCAAGACCCAATGTTTGTTTTGCGCCGAGCGTGCGCTACAATCTACGCACTGTGTTGTTCAGAGCCTGTTAAATTTGTTCGGCTAAAGTGTTCCTGCGGTTATGATAGCACTTTCGCGAAAACAGCCATGGAGCGCGGGTGGATGCAAAACGGCTTTTTTGCGAAAGTGGTGCTATTGCAAGCGTTACTACTTATATCGCGCAAATGCTTTGCGAGCGCGCAGCGTCTCAGACAATCGACCGGACCCCGCCGGACAGTCCGAATCTGCCAGAGTCGCGCCGGACCCAGTTGGCCAATGAGAGAGGGGCAAATGGGCGGTCCGTCGCGGTGACATCACTGGCAGGCAAGTGGGAGGCTTCTCCGGCCCTGCTGCAAAGGTACGCCATTTCTCCGGCGCGACTCTGCCAGATTTGGAGGACTCGCGCCGGAGAAATTTGCCCGGCGCGAGTCCGCCAGATTTGGAAGAGCCGCGCCGGAGAAAATCGGAGGGGTCCGGAGCAGAAATGGGAGGCCTCCGGAGCAGAAAATGGGAGGTATCCGGAGCAGAAATGGGAGGGCTCCGGTGGACAAATGGGAGACCCACCGATGGGGAAACGCCGCGACCCTGCCATTTCTCCGGCGGAGGGGTCCTATCCGCTGCCTGAGGTGGTATTCTGTTATCTAAAGATCGAAGAAAACGAGTGGACGGAGATATTTCTAGCGTATGATCTTATATATAAAGCTGAATGTCTGTATGTATGTATGTATGTATGTCTGTCTGTATGTATGTGTGTACGTATGTTCCGAATAGAAAATTCCATTTCTGAACCGATCCGGACCAAACTTGGCACACATACACTACGGGCCCCGGCGGGTGTCATAGGCTACTTTTCGTCATCGATCGATATCGATTTTATCGATTTTTATCGATTTTTTTGCTGAGTTCACCTACGGGGCTGGGAGTTGGCACAGGGGGGTAATCGAGCATGGGGATTCCGAATACAATATTGGTTTTCAGGATTATCGATTACTTTTATCGATGTTATCGATTTTTTTGCAAAGTTTGAGCTACGGGGCTGGGAGTTGGCACAGGGGGGTAATCGAGCATGGGGATTCCGAATACAATATTGGTTTTCAGGATTATCGATTACTTTTATCGATTTTATCGATTTTTTTTGCAAAGTTTGAGCTACGGGGCTGGGAGTTCGCGCAGGGGGGTAATCGAGCATGGGGATTCCGAATACAATATTGGTTTTCGGGATTATCGATTACTTTTATCGATTTTATCGATTTTTTGCAAAGTTTGAGCTAGGGGGCTGGGAGTTGGCACAGGGGGGTAATCGAGCATGCTGATCATCCCCAAGGGGGTGATCAGCATGCTCGATTACACCCCTGTGCCAAATTCCAGCCCCCTAGCTCAAATTTTGCAAAATCGATAAAATCGATAGAAGTAATGGATAATCCCGAAAACCAATATTGTATTCGGAATCCCCATGCTCGATTACCCCCCTGCGCGAACTCCCAGCCCCGTAGCTCAAACTTTGCAAAAAAATCGATAAAATCGATAAAAGTAATCGATAATCCTGAAAACTAATATTGTGTTCGTAATCAGCATGCTCGATTACCCCCTGTGCAAAATCCCAGCCTCGCATGTCAAAATATACAAAAAATCGGTAAAATCAATAAAAGTAATCGATAATTCTGAAAACTAATATTGTATTCGGAATCCCCATGCTCACTTCCCCCCTGTGCCAACTCCTAGCCCTGTAGGTGAACTCTGCGAAAAAATCGATAAAAATCGGTAAGATCGACATCGATCGATAACGAAAAGTGGACTGTGACACGCGCCGGGGCCCGAAGTGTATGTGTGCCAAGTTTGGTCCGGATACGGCGGAGCCGGGTAAGCCAGCTAGTGTACTGTAAGCGCGAACTGCCGCCCGGCCATTTCTTTCGGCCTGAACTGGGTTCATACATACTGTGGAAACGTTTTCACTAACAACCAGGATTTCCATAAAAGAAACGTGAAACCAAGTTCAGCTGAGCAAGTTTAATTGTACGAAATGATGTCTGTCTTACCTGCTTTTCGCACTCTTGCAGAGTTTCCATCCGTATTACGCTTGCCATACTTCTTTCGTCATCGGCCATTGAGTCCGTAGGTTCCGTGATCGCTTGAATATTAAACACTGACCTTAGATCGTCATCGCTTCCAAGCGCGTCTAATTATGAGACATTTAGCATAGTGTACTATTCATTGTACATCATATTACCCTAATTTCACGCGTACAAGGCGCACCTTTTTCGATTTTTCAACTAAACCCCTCAGCCGCTTTAAATTATTTCGGAACGCGATCCTTATACCGATTCTCTTAAGCAATATACAGCAAGACATAGGGTTCTTTGGTTGCGAAGTTCTTTGGCGTATTTGGCCTGGTCGATTTTGGAAAAAAAATTCCCCGCGCCTTGTACGCGTGAAATTAGGGTACATAGTATTCACATCAGTCTCTCCATTTATATAGACTATGATATAACTCTAGGAAGCAGATCTTTTTTGCATTACGTCTAATGGTTGAGTTATTCATAGAAAAAATCTGAATGCACTAAACTAAATTTTCACACGTGTTGAACCTCGTGCAAGTACTCTGTTGCCTGAATCATCAAAAAATCTGATCTTTGATTCGAGACACCAAATCGAATTTTTGGAAGTGTCAACAAAGCTTTGTTGAGTAATCTACGATTTCGTTTTATTTGAATTCTTGATCCATTTGATATCACTTATTATGATGCTGTAACTAAAAAATATTGAGAGGTAGCCTAACTTTCAGCGGCGAAACCGGTACAAAGATGTCGCCAAGTTACAACTGCTGAGCTTTGCTGATGCATTCAATTTTCAAAATTTTCTACTTGCACATTTATCGTGGGTGAACTTTGAAAGAAGAGACTTTGCAAATTCAGGCCAACTTTATCAAAAATCATCCGGTTAATAAATAATGCAGCCAAGTGTTTAGTGTTGTCAACATAAGTCCTAGTTTTTCAAAGATTTAGTCCAAAAATTCCGGGCACAATTTCGCTAACAGGGTGCAACAAGCTAGTTTGCCTAAACTTGATAAGCTTGGAAAATCTTTTACAGTGTAGCAAAGACAATTGTGCTTACTTATGGATGGTTCCACATCCACCATCTTCGACCACGTCGACCTTAGTGAATCCGAATCTTCAGATTTTTGCGAAATTCTGAAAGGTAAATTAAGGGGAATCAAAGCGAACAGAAGTGAAATTAGGCTCGAAACAGAAATCTAGAAAAAAGTGACTAAGCTAGGCAAAACGCATGAGCAAGTGATACTGAGGAGCAGCCGCAGCGCAGGGTTTAGATGACATCCGGTGTTTTGTTTCCGGTGCGAATCTAATGATTACGTAGTTGACACAGGAGATGAGCGAATGACATACCCACGCATCCTAGAGGGATTATACCAATTTGAGCAACTTACGTCAAGAGTTCATTTAGCGCATGGTTGCATCCAAAAGCTTCTTCCTGTATGCAGTCCTTGGAAGATCTTCGTCGAAGTTGGATGGAATGTGGAAGATCTTCGTCAAAGTTGGATGGAATGCCCTATAATAGTGTCATAAGACGGAGACTATTAATTATAAGAGAGTCAAATAAGGCGAGGCACCTGAAAATTAGTGCATTATTTATTTCGAACTTATATAAATACTTTACATAAATAGACTCAAATTTTGGTCTTCCTATATATCGCACCTAAAGGTCCAACTTCTATAAGAATTTAGAATTTCCTTCAATCTTTTTGCTCGCTGCCTGCAAATTTGGTGAAGAGGTTCGAGCAAGAAAAAAAAGGAACGAAAAAGCTAAGTGTGTACAAGGACAAAACTCAACCTGTTCTTGTTAAGTAATCAGCGAGTTTGATTGAGTGTAATTTTCTTTATTTCCGGCTACCGATAAAGATGGTTGAAGTTCTGTTATCACTCGAGAAAGGAAAATTGTGGACAACTTTATCGAAATGCATTCAAACATAGAAGTCAGTGCTTTGCACTGCGCCCCTTTAAATGTACTTAGTTTTTTTTTGTGATGTATGTTAAATCTATGAACTGTAGACATCACAAAATTGATCCTGTTTGATGAAATGTTGCTTTCACTTGGGTCTTATCTCGAACGTCTCAACTAGGCCACAATAGCGGCCTGAAAAAAAATTAAGGAGGAGCGAAACTCTGAAGATGAAAGTGATTGTAGTAGCCCTACTCAAATTTTTGGTTCTACTCACAGCATTTGTGGAGAACTGTATTGCAAATGTAAATAAATACGTCCTGCCAATTATTATATCTTTGCTTTCCTAAACTAGACCATACCATTACACTTAAATCATGACAACCAAACTGAACTGAAACTCTTAGCATACTCTGACCGAGAAGAAACATCTGGATAAAGTCAAAAAACGTGAGTGTGCATTGCGTCCTACTCATGCTGGATAGCAATTGATAATTCATGCTCCCTAGCCAATGATTCATGGTCTTGAAACACGCAACATCTCCATTGGGGTCGATGTATACGCAAGTGAGTAATAGTATTAGGTTGTCAAGAAAATAATGTCCGTTTTTATTTGCTTGCTTTAACAAAGCAATCACACTCAACCCAACAAAGGGTAAGGGGTACTGTTCGATAGAGCAAAGCAAGCTCTACAAGATGGCACTCATGTCTTTGCGCCATGCTCGATTCACGGAGAGTTCGAACTCAAAATCGAAAGATTTCCAAATGCCCAAAAAATCGAAAAAAATCAGATCTTCGTCCAAATAATTTCTACGGAACTCCCACTCGCTCACATCAATACTATCGATATCTGGTATCCATACGTGCGATTGCCGTATTTTTTCCCTGACTAGAAACTGAGAAAACGAAAATTTCCCTGATTTTTTCAAAGCAATACTGAGCCGTTTTTGCATATGTAGTTCTATACTACAAGCCTAATAAGTATAACTGTAGGTTTTCAGCCTATTTCGAGCGGTACTTTTCGAGAAATGTCGATTTTAGCACTGAAACTGAAACGAAAAATCCGAATTCGTTATTTTTCGAAAACTACTGCTTGGAATGGGCTGAAAATCTACAGTTATACTTAACTAGGCTTGTAGTATAGAACTACATATGCAAAAACGGCTCAGCATTGCTTTGAGAAAATCAGGGAAATTTTCTTTTTCTCAGTTTCTAGTCAAGGAAAAAATACGGCAATCGCACGTATGGATATCAGATATCGATAGTATTGATGTGAGCGAGTGGGAGATCCGTAGAAATTATTTGGACGAAGATCTGATTTTTTCGATTTTTTGGGCATTTGGAAATCGTTAGATTTTGAGTTCGAATGCTCCGTGGATCGAACATGGTGCAAAGACATGAGTGCCATCTTGTAGAGCTTGCTTTGCTCTATCAAACAGTATCCCTTACACTTTGTTGGGTTGAGTCTGGTTGCTTTGTTAAAGCAAGCAAATAAAAACGGACATTATTTTCTTGACAACCTAATAGAATACGCGAGCACGACTCCATCACGTTAGATTTTCATAAATGCTCTGAAGAGAGGACAAGATAGATGAAGGGGGGGGGGGGGAGAGGAGAGGGGATAACTATGATGGGTGAAATGGATACGCACATTCAAACAAATAACACTTTTTAGCAGAACAGTGGAAATCCAAAGGAAAGTATTAGGTTGTAACGAAATTAATGCAGGTTTTCCAAATTTTAACTTTGGATTACTAAACTTTTCACAAAAATAGTTAATCCGTTTACAATAAAAGTTACTGCGATTAGCAAACCTTTGGCAATTTATCACGCACTATCTTATCGTTGTAACTTTTGACAAGGGAAGTTCACTTATTCGAAATGGCGATTCGGAAGGAGATCTATATCAGTGGATAGAGCTCAAAAAGCTGATCTCAGATATATTACCTTCGATATCTGCGATGCATCGTTCTGAAAAAAGTTATAAGCTTTTCTAAAGCCAAATTTTCGTGCATTCTGAGTCGCAAAATCATGATAATCGCTACACAAAAGTTTGCAAGCTGAAGCAAACCACCTAGTAAGCATTGTAGGTCTAATTCGAGTTATCCGAACGCTTTCGAGTGTTTTTCGACCAGGTTGTTCATCCACAGGTTTTCATTTCATTCCTAGATCACACTTCCATTATACAAAAAAGCCCATAACCTCCGTCTAGAAAAACGCGTCGCGTCGGAAACTTTTTGGAAACTACCAGTGGACAGAACGTAAAACGATCTTCGCAAATATATCTTCAATATCTGCGACGCGTTTTTCTAGACGGAGGTTATGGGCTTTTTTGTATACATAATGGAAGTGTGATCTAGGAATGAAATGAAAACCTGTGGATGAACAACCTTGTCGAAAAACACTCGAAAGCGTTCGGATGAACTCGAGTTAGACCTACAATGCTTACTAGGTGGTTTGCTTCAGCTTGCAAACTTTTGTGTAGCGATTATCATGATTTTGCGACTCAGAATGCACGAAAATTTGGCTTTAGAAAAGCTCATAACTTTTTTCAGAACGACGCATCGCAGATATCGAAGGTATATCTGAAATCAGGTTTTTGAGCTCTATCCACCCGTATAGATCTCCTTCCGAATCGCCACTTCGAATAAGTGAACTTCCCTTGTGAGAAAAATGACAGCCCGAATACTGCCAAGTTTCCTTGAAAAAACTTCAGTTTGAGAGACCATAACTCACTATACAATGTACTGAATTTTACAAAGTTCATTCACTGTGCAGATAATAGTTGTTTGTGCAGCAGCGTTAAAGTTGATTTACACGAAAAAATTTTGCTAGAAAATATTGCAAAAAATTTGTAATCACTCATTCTTCAGAAGTGCTTTCAAAAGACGAAGAGGTGCTTTTTTTGCTGTTTTTTGTATTTTCTCGCCGTCGAAGAGAACAACAGCGCTCCGTTTTTTGCTACCATGTGTCCTATGTCTGGTCTTTCTGCGCACGGCAAAAGCTCCACCATTGCTTCGCATTTAGGAGTTTTATACGCCGCAGAATGCAGCGGCTGTTTGGGTTTAAAATAAATTTTCTCAGTCTGGAAACTTTCGAGAAGTTTGCTTCAATGTGCATTGTAGCACAGATCACATACAAACATTACGCCAGCTTACAGAATATTCCGATTTTTCGCGGTAGATTTAGAGCAAAGAGGAAAAAATTTTCAAGATTTAGTCTCTTCATTTCAAAAGCATGTAATGAAAAAGAACTCATGTCAGTTCTCCTGAAACGAAAGCATGCTTAAGAAACTAGAAGAAGAATGCTTTCTAATGTTATGCATACTTTCCTGAGGCAATGGATTTTTGTTTTGAACGAACACTCTGAAAAAGAGTGTTTGTTCAAAACAAACACTGAAAAACCTGCATTAATTCTGTTACAACCAATGCATCCTTGAAATCGTTGAAAGAATGCGCCGTTCTCTTCATCACTAACGCAATATCTACGATTAGGTCGGTCTATAAGTTTGCATCAAAAACCTAATGTTCTCTAATTTGAAGGAGGCTTACATACATAGTTAGGAGGGAAAGTCTGCGTTCTCTAGCGGTGTTCAAAGCAAATATTGATATTGGCATGAAAAAGCGATACAATCTTGTTAACAGAAACACCCGAGTCGTATTCTCCGAATTATTTAAGCGGAAAAAGTTTAGAAGTTTGAATCTAATATTAGTATTAATAATGAATTACAACCTACTCTTTCGACTGGTTAAATTAACGTTGGACACCCCCCCTGAACTACACACTTAAGATAGTATTACTTGAAGGCCCTGTCAAACATAATGGGCAAAATATCCATAATTAGCATGTCAAATAACCCCTGTAGACAAAGTGTGAGCGAATTCTGAAGATTCAAGATACTAGGCTACCTAAGTGAAATGGTCAAATTCCAACATGGCTAACTTTGTTTCAAAGGTGAATTAGCTATCTGTTTTTGCACTCAAGACAAAGCACTACTCCTTTGTCCACCTCAAAAATCCCGATTCAAAAGACCCCCGAACTGTGGAATTAGAAGCCAACCAAAATCTCATTTTTCCCATTTTTCGCTTTTAATGGCTGTGCTTTCACCAAATATCACTCAGAGCAAAGAAAACGAATCAAGCTCAAATCGCTCCTGTGGAATCTACAAGGTTTAGGCTATCGATTCATGTAAGTACTGTCCGCTAAAAATGTTTTTTTGATATAGTTAATGGGGTGCGGCACACCCCCTTAAAAGCTGCGGCCGCCGCAGCTTTTAAGGGGGTGTGCCGCACCCCATTAACTATATCAAAAAACATTTTTAGCGAATGATATTTATATGAATCGATAGCCTAGATCTCCTAGTTTTCACAGGAGCGATTTGAGCTTGATTCGTTTTCTTTGCTCTGAGTGATATTTGGTGAAAGCATAGCCATTAAAAGCGAAAAATGGGAAAAATGAGATTTTGGTTGGCTTCTGAAGGAGTAGTGCTTTGTCTTTAGTGCAAAAACGGGTAGCTAATTCACCTTTGAAACAAAGTTAACCATGTTGGAATTTGACCATTTCACTTAGGTAGCCTAGTATCTTGAATCTTCAGAATTCGCTCACACTTTGTCTACAGAGGTTATTTGACATGCTAATTATGGATATGATACAAATATCATGTTATCACTATTATCAGATTACCCAACTACGACCCCCTCCCCTTTTGACTCCTCAATACGACCCCCCAGGTGTGGCGTGCCGCACCCCACGCTCGACCCTGCTGGTGACCTTTAGATCTTTAGTCTAACGCTCTCCCAACTGAGCTATCGAGGCTGCACGACCACCATTTTCATAGCCCTTTTAGAAGTTGTCATTTGCAAAATTTCACAAACTTCATCAAATCTATTGCACATGAAGTGCGATTACTATTGTTTAGAAAGTCTTAGCCTCAATCAATAGTAAGAAACACTTTAGTTTACACGAACATGAAACCATCACGAATCAATCGGGCAGAGAATAGTCCATAGCTTTCTGTGTACATACAGGGATGGCACAAACATGTCCGCACAAGTTCACATGAGCTACATGGTGCACCATGTCAGCGCACATCTTGCTTGGCAACATATTGAAAATAAAAATCATTTTCAATCCCTTCGTATCAAATCTTACACGATGCATACGATAAAACTTTTCATCTTTTGGTTCAATCTTACCCCTCGTTTTTTACATGCTAGCGGCACCAAAATGCTGCCGTAAAAGAGGCAGTGCAAAGAAATGCTTTAAAACATATAGGAGGAAAAACACAATTAGACGCAGAGAAATCGGAATGAAACGACAATTTTGAGTGTGGGGTGCCGTTGCGTCCGACGAAGATAGTTCGTGCATAGGAGAGGCAGCAGACGGTAAGAGGAACGAAAAAGCACTCGATCAAGGAGACGCCTATGTCTGCAGTCTTTGCGTGCCATGAACCGCCTATGCCTGTTGTGCCCTACATACTGAGGAAATTTGAGGATTCTAGAGAGCTTCTATTAAGAATTTTACAAAAAAAATTTAACAGAAAAACAGGAATTACCCGCCAACACGATACAACGTCTACTATTTTCTAGTAAAAGATGATCTTTGATAGCAGGCCACCTCATCGTTATTCACATTGATTTATCACAACGACGTTAGAATCTGCGCTGCTTAGTCACTCTAGGCGCAGGGTTTTCTGCTTGAAATTAGTTTTTAACATGCCAACCGAAATAGGAAGTATAAGCTTTCCTTTTGTACTTGTTACGAATTTTGTAATGACACAAACATGGCTGCAAGCTCTCCTCTAACAAGGGAAGGTATATGACTCGCAGTGGAGTTTCCCTATGAGGTGTATATCAGTCGAAAGGTCTTTGAGCGCTGATCTCAAAACAACCTTCCATATCTGCTTATCGGTTTACTAAACAAAGTTACAGGCATTTCTTTCGCATCAAAAGACACTGATTTTGGTTACTCATTGCAGGGCTAAGGCGGCAGAGTAACTCTAAAACTAATGTCATCAATTTTGCTATGCACAGTAAATATATCTCAGACATTTGGGCATGTAATTTTGGAACAAATTCGCATTGAATTTAGGTCATTTACAATGCACCTACCATGCAAACTGGACGCGGAAAAGTGCCTTTAGCTTTGTTCAGTAAACCGGTAAGCAGATATAAGCAGATATGGAATTGTTATGAAAACAGCGCTCAAATACCTTTCGAGTGATATACACCTCATAGGATAACTCCACTCGAGTCACATACCTTCCCTGTTAAGCCTACTTAGTCATTCTGTGCAATCAAATAGCTATATTTCCATACATGCATTTATGCAACACTTGCAGGAACATGATTTGAAAAGAATTGCTAGACAGAAGATTGTTCATGCTGCACTAGATTGCAGCAATTCTTACACTAGCTTGGTATTTTGACATATGCTACTCTGTCATTCATAGATTCTCATATTATCGTCATCTATATTCCCTATTATCTACGATTTTAAAAGCCATTCTATTACGCTAAGTGCATATTACTAATGAACTTGTTGCTAGAATCGCTATCACCACTAGTCTCACGATGCTTTAACCATTATTGGAATGCGTGGACCATAGCTTCACGACGGGATCCGAAGCCAGTTGGCTATCAGCATAATTTTTTGGAGCCCGTTTTGGTTACTATCAGGTTCAACTTCATCCTGTTCACATTCTTAGCGAGTGCTTTCTAAACCACGATGAAGATGAGTGAGAAAGGGAAACCATTACTGGTTCATTCTCTAGCTATGGAAAAACGAACACTTCAATGACCTGTGATTCGCTCAATCTTTTCTGAAGAGTTTTATTAAAGCCTAAAGTCTGCAGCGTACTGCAGACGTATAGGCATTTGTAACTGTATTATATGTTGGTCTCACGTTTGGTAAGTCGAACACTCTACTTCTCTCTTCTGTAACGCTGCAGAAAATGATGGAAAATGTCTTTTCCGCGGCATGCCTAAGTGTGCTTCAAAACTTGGCTTATTCAATAGTGCCCACTCGGCACTTCATGGAATTTTGTATATGCTATGTTGCTTCTGATGGTATTAAGAAATGAGCTCACGAACCTTAGTGAGCCATACGGTATCCACATAAGCTAGGCGAAGACTGTTGCTTTGCTTTTGTTCCAATGCAAGAGTATCAATCTTCGTCGCCTTGGGGTTATTCAAGTTTAAATCATTTGGCAAGCACGGTAGAATAGGCGATTCAACAAGAATCCAGACATCTGCAACCCTCCCTCCCCCCTCCATCCTCTCTACGACCATTCATGTGCGGTCGCAGTTCATCATAATCAACCATCCAAATACAAATTCTTGACAATTTTCGAAGACAAATCAAACTCTTCAAAAGGCAATTGACGAGACTTTTCGGTTTCCTTGGAAATATCAACATTACCGACTTCCCGTTAAAACATGATTCTGACTAACAGAACAACAAAAAGCTGGTCTTGAGCTTTGGGACACTTGTAAAAAGAAGAACTCGCTGATAGTATGTAATAGAATGGAAGCTTCACGATGGTGAATGATTCGCCTTGCGATCCATCACTTTTTGTAACTCTGCAAAATATTAGCTTCAGCATGTAAACAATAACAAACTGGAATGGCTATTCTGCGACTGTCTGAGACTCTACTCTCAATAATTATGATAATAATTTTTCTCATTGGTTTACAAATCTGCTACGTTGGTACTCATCTATATGCACTAACGTGCTCAGTGATGGACTGTTCATTAATGCACAAAAAACACGTATGGACACCCTCTTTATAAAAGACGCCAGTGCATCTACTTCTATTCCTTCGTTCATGCAATAAACCATTTTCTAATGTCTCGCTATCACGAGATCGAAACAATGATGATCACATGATAAGATATCGTCATCAGCTCCAAGTTGGCAAGTTGGCTTCTTTACAAAGTAGTCACAGCGATATCGCCGTGAATCGCCATTGTACGGAGTATCGCATACGACTACCAACACCTAACTATGCTTACTTAGATAATGACGACCTAGAAACTCTCCACCCTCACACTCGTATCCACCAAATCAATTTCCTGAAAACCTATAATAGGATCGTGAAAATCAATGATGAGTGGAAATTACTCCAGGTTTTCAGTCCAGCTGATTCGGATCTTTCGAGAGTACATAGCAGAATATAGTGACTATTAAGACAATATGATTACAGCCGGCACTAATCTGGAGCCGCTCTACGCTACGTTTGAATAGTGTTGACGACGAGTATGCGAGACGAAGTCTCGATCCACCTGCCCACGCATGTGACGAGGCTGTTGCAGTTGACGACAAATCACAGTATGACTTTAGAGATCAAAGATGACCTATATGTACAAAGCCTCCTGCATCAGACACATCTCCTAAATTTTACAGATGCCTCAGTTTACGAAATTGACTTGCCTACATTTGATGATAAATTGTTGGACTCCCTAAAATTCAACGCTCGATTCGCGATGCAGGTGGCTAATAGACAGCTTGATGATACGACAAAGCTTTCACTTTTTAAACTAAGTCTGTACGAAGAGCAGCAGTCCATTGGGGCTCGCAGTGACTGACGCAATCTATTACACTGTCTGGGAAAATTTAAAGACGCTCTATGGTGATAAGGTGACCGCAGACATACCCTGTTTACGAACGCACAACTTCCTCCATCTGGCCCTAAAGGTCATCACTTGCCCAGTCTCTATGCCACCATGTTTGGTTGTTCCGGCAATTTTCCTATGACCACGACATTCATCCAAGAAGGCCCTTGGAAGATCTCCTCTTCAACAAAGTCCCTCAACGAGTAAGAAATATTGTTTATGGTCGCACTTATAATGATCACCACGTCAATCCTTCGGAACTATTACATTTGCTGTCTTACACCGTAGAAAGATTCGAAGCCCTCTTCTTTCCACTGTTTGAGAGGGAATATTACCCGCGCCTTCTTACTCATCCGAGAAATTCAGTTTCGGTTTTACACAGGTCCCAACAAGTTTTTTGAAGCTCACAAAAATTACAGTGAAACAAAAAAATTTGTAGGTACTTGTTTTGCGTTTCTGCTCTCATATAACGAAGGAATGTGATATATATCCTACGCCGAAAGAGCGTATCAGGCAAGTATGAAGTTTTGTTTCAACAGCCTATCACACTCCGACAGCGCAAGAGAGTGCAAGTCAGAGTTTTTGCTGGATGTTCTGCTCCAAAAGGCATCACTCTTTGTTGTTTTTTGTAGCCGTCTACAAAAGCTTTCTTGTCAATTCGCATCTTCCCGCTTCATCAATATCCGTCAAACTCCATGGCTTCTTCACGTAGAGTAAGACCCGTACATGGGGAGATTCCAAGAAGAGCCCTTCGTATCATCCGTAAATTGAAACGAACCATTGATCTGAACATGAGGTGACCGACGTCTCTACAATCCAAATTCCAGGCATTTGTTCACTAGTGGCGTGCAGAAAGTGTCACAAGCCATCCTCATGAGCGCAAATGACCCTCTGCAACAATACTGGCTGTTCACATCACAATCCCGCCCTTTTGGAGTTTCAGCAAATTGTATGTTACTTATGAAGTACTTGCTAGATTTCATTTACCTAAAACAGAGACCGAAATACAAGTCTTTCCAGTTTTGGAAGCACACTTAGTTGCAGCGTCGAAGTCACGCGGTGTTTCTAAACACTGAAAAGTGTGTCAAATACCTTCAGGTAAAGTCTGTCTAAGGCTTAAAGAAATTTAGAAGTCATTAGAATCCAAGAATAGGTAAGTGACATCATACTCTCAACTTGCCTCTATACTACTGGAAACTTTACGTTATAAGAATCTTTCGAGATTATCGTATCCTACACATCATTGGGAACACTACTGTTGTCAGAGTTTTGAAAGCAAGAGTCGTGCTAATGCTGCTGTGGTGCCATTGACTTACATCGCGATGTACATCACTTCAATTTCTCCCAACCACAAGGACCTAGTTTTCAGAAACTTAGAACGAATGGGATTCTGGGCAACCCAAATCAAGATGATGAGGAATGTCACGTAATTCATGTAATCTACTGTGACACAAAAGAAATACGTCGTAAAGCTGCCAAAATGTATCAGTCTCAGCTACCAAATAGGTTTACTCTCACATTCTCGCGTTTACATCACAAGTCATTGCAACCAAAACTCTCTTACTTAAAATATCATGAGATTTTCGTAATCATCTCAAGAAGTGGATTGTTGAGCGACTACCAAATCGAAACTACGATCTGTCAGTATTTATCATGGAATTAACAAAGGAAGGGCGATAGCATAAAATTAAGATGCGTTTCCGATGGATTCGATAAGATCAAAAGGCACCTCAGTGAATTGTTCTTTACATCGCGGACCGGTGCTTTTATTAGGCCTCACCGCAGTTCTTCTTGGAGCCAGATTGTACATTATTAATTTCGAGTGATATCGAAAAGGCGTTTTATAGGGTTGGTTTGCGCGGCAACTCTCGCTTACGCGAATTTTCTGTGGTAATCCAAAAAATAGCCTTCAAGCTTAGAAAACCTGGTCACATATCGTTTCATTCGAGTTTTTATGGATTCGCTCCCGATTTCTTCTTGGTTGCTGTAATTCTACTCTCTAAGCTCTACTACAATAAACTTTAGCCTAGAACAGCTGCACATTCCGCAATCTAGATAATATTGCCTGGTGTTTTGAAAATATACTGTCACGCTATCACCTACCGATATTCACCTACCAATTATTTCTGATGTTTCTACGAGTAGCTATCAGTAATATCAGATCTATCAAACTCTTAACTGTAGCCTAGAGAATTGTAATGAGCCTTTTCGCCTCTCACGAGGCCTTTCACTCGGCGCGCATATAGAAGGAGCTGCTGTTTTTTCATGGGGTTTGGTAACAACAAATGGCTAAGCACAACTTCCCGTCGCGTAAACAAAACGGTCACTCCCAAACGAGTGGCGCTGGCAGGGCCACCTTGCCATTAGCAGATACAAGACCCTCCTTGATAAGTTTGATCAAAAGCGCGTTCTCTCCAGAGTTTAGTAATGTCCGATTTTGCTAGTATTCGACGCCAGATCGGGTTTTTCAGGAAACAATTGAGATATTATTGCTCAGCCCAGAATATTGCTCTGAAATCCATACGCCAGATGACGAAGCAAGCGTGATATTCCTGTTAGTCTGCGATACAATGATGTTCCCTATTGATTATTGTTGATGCCTCCCTCTCCAAACTACTTACTAATGGGAATCTTCTCATTATTTCGCATTCCATTCAGGTTCGCTATCTAAGTGGGAAACAAAGTCCATTGGATGAAACCGCCAAATTTTCTCTTCCAAATCATGTCTCCGTGAAAAGCACTGCAAATTATTCAAGGTTCATCCATGACTTCAGCACTTTCACGATAGATGATCAAGTCACACTGAAGCACATCCTGTACATGAGACCCGCTTCACTACCAGCGTGTGACGCGGAGGGCCGCAATCTTTTCCCTCTTTCTATTCAGATGTTTTCGCTTGTAGGCCATTTTTCTGAAGGCAGTGACATTAGCGGGGAAAGCCATCGGTGCTACTGGTGCCTTTTTCCAATTAGCTTCCTCATCCTGTGAAAAGTCAAGTTCCCAATCGAACTCAACATAACCACAATGTTAGAATTGCTTAGGCTACTCGTAAGCATCGTTCCAAAGAGCCCACCTCTTTAGAATGGAACACTATTAAAGATCATTTCTTTCTACCTAACTTCGCCCGTATCCATCATTCGCCGAAATTGTTCCTTTTGTGTTTCACAGTTTCACTCCGCCTTGAGCTGTGCTCCTTTTAAACAAAGCTTCGAACAAGCAAGAAAGCTTAGACGTGCTGCAACTGTTTATCTCTTCGTTATACCAAAGAATGTCCTTTAAAGTTTCATTACCATTTTGTTCAAAAGGCATCAAACATCTTTATGTTCACTTCAAAAAGTAAAATTTTTGATCACGACTCCATCCAAGTCTACCACTCACACTCAACATCGCAACCTTCAGCGAACCCATAGTTCTAACATCTTAGACTTTTCGATAGGAAATTGAGACCGAAGGGCAACAGATGTTCCACAAAATCTTTTCAAAAGCTTCCTCTTTACCAAATGGCGTGACGCTAGTAACTACAAAACCAAGGCTATCAACCTGTGACGACATGCATCCATAGTTGCTGATCGGAAACGATAACTTCTAAGATCTCGTAAACAACTTCTGCAAAAAGTATTACATAAAGATGTCGTCTCCTAAAAACTTACATTGGTGACATCATCTTGAAAAGAGCCTCGACACGAAATTGAAAGAATATAACGTTTCCATTGATAGCGATAATGAGGATGCTGCAAACCTCGCAGATCTTGATGTTTTTGTGAACCTTGGATGTTGAATAGAATCGATCGAAATCTTATACGACCCAGATCATACTAATGACGAAAAATACGTCAAGCAATTGGATCACCGTCTATTACGACTTCACTGAGAAGAGATATGTTGTCACGTGACTGTTCAAAAACCTCACAACAATTCCGTACAACTACGCTCTAGGCTTTCACGCATAAGCAATCAGTTGAGAAGCTTGCAAATCCCACATACCTGATTAAACACCATGCAGTTCTCGATCAACTTCAGAAGAGGATCACTAAACAGTTACCACTTGTAAAATTCACAGCATACCTTAAATAGATAGAGCCATGTACTATGGTGACCTTCACTTCGAGCGATATAGGTAAGAGAACACAACGTTTACCAGAAACAGAATCATTCGGGACAAATCCCAGTTATTAAGATCATAACTGTCTAAATCAGAATGAATGTGACTAAAGTAAATGTAGTGAGATATATCAACAACAAACCAACCAGAACCAACTGCGTGTATATGGCTCGTGCTCCGTCGGCTCTGGTCTTTCTCCTCTGCCTCTCCGCGCGTTGCGCGTACCCCGCTACTCCAAAAGCGGGGCACGGGGCATCTGGCGCTAATACCCCTTCTTTCATTAATATGAACTTAATTCTAGCAAACTGCATATCTTATTGAAGCTCTTGACCTCTACTTTCACGCTGACAACGTCACAGGGCCCCTTTTTTGATTTAAACGAGAAGTCTGGCAAAAAGCGTGTTTTCGAAAATGCCTTGTTTTTTCTCCAGCTGGGTTCTTTTCAAGCAAGTTTTTCGTGCTTGCTTTTGTTCATGAGGTAAACAACGTCGCGTGGTAATTTCTTTGAATGTGAAGGAATTCCTGGCAAAAAGCTGCAAAAATGCGCTTTTATTGGTGGACCTTTAATGGAGTTAGTAAGCAATCGTTTTACACGCCTGGGGGCGTTTTTCAGGATTATGAGCATAAGAGAGCTGACAAGGTTGCCAGAAACAGAAATTACGAGAAGGGAGTAAAGATCTAAAGGATGCATCAAAAGCTAGATTGTCTTTGACGTGCATATCAACTTAGGAAAAAAAACTTTCTTGCTAATCAACACTACCAAAATATGTTTTCAAAACGATCACAAAGAAGAAACTAGCTTTCCCTCGCTTTACCCGTGTTGCAGATTGCCTGGGGAGCGGAAATGGGCAACTGGAATTGCCGCCAGATGAAAGATTTCGAACTCATTGCAGCGCTTTCATCCGATTTTAGAGAGTTTCTTCTGATTCTGCCGTTTGTTTTCCATCTTTCTTTCTTCTCTGTTTTTCAAAAACAACTTCCTTTTTGGGGGGATCTTCAAATAACCTTCACTTCTGAGGCCCTGTCTCTAGACTATTGAAGGTATGTTGGCGCCATGACATGGCTTGTGTCATGGCGGGTTTTGGACGACATGACACAAGCCATGTCATGGCGTTCCAAAAATACTTCCGGCTGCGCGGCACTCTTCGTTTTTCCAGTGATATGGTTCCAACGTCCCTCTTGTGCTTTCTAAAGTTGGAATAGGTTATCATCTTCTACTTTTAGAGAATAAGTAGTTGGCTTTCCCGGTCCAGCCCGGGCCATGGTTCACCGCACCGCGACCCTTCCCCCCCCCCCCGCCCTATATGGTATGGATGACTTACCTTGAGACGTCCGCTTGGAAACCGCATCCTCGTGATCCTGAGGTGAAAATGAGCTTCACCGCCCTCCTTTACATGAGTATGGAAAATGCTTGATTGAACACGTAACCCTTCAACTCCTTAGGAAAATGTAAACAAATCAATAAATCGATAGAAGGACCCAACGAATCGCTGTAAAAAGTAGCCTATCATCTACGCAAGGGTCGAAAACATATGTGTGCAAAGTTTCAGCTGAACCGGTTGAGTGGCGCGCGTTTCTATAACGCACATACCCTCCAAACTAACAATTTTTGAGTTTTATATATATACCAGTGCGTCACCTCTGCTTCGCAGAGGCTCGCAGTGGTCTCACTTTATATGGGGAGACGGTCTTTTCGCACGGGCGGTCTCCAGAGTCTTTCTGATTTTGACCTGTCTTAACATGTAATGCACGCCGCAAACCTTTCCTCCCCCTGTTTTGCTTAGGCAAAAGCCGCCGCAGGGTGTGTCGCGCGCGGCGGTGGTCCTGTGTGGAAAGCATTACGGTCGTGCGTATCGTCCTACACCCCTTTATATGCTTTACTTGTTCCCGCCTAATGATGTCTTTGAAACTCACCGTGCAATGACGACTACCACGAATGAAATGTAAACAACTACTCATTTCAAAGGGTTTTCCATGTGAGATTGAGATCGGTAATTTCGCGTGGATGGAACTTTTCGCAGAAGAACAAATGCAAATTCGATTAGGTTTTTAAACTTCTTTTGGCTTAGTCGCCATAAGGACAACAATTACCGTGAGCTACATTTCTATGCAAAAATCCTCTCAAATGGTCAGGTAAAGCCACGGCGGATTGATCATTTGCGCAACCATTTCTTTTTGGCGTCGTTCTGGTATAGTAGTAGACCTTTGGTCACTTTTTCGCCTAAAGTCCATGTCTTGCACATCAACATGCCAAACTCATCCACGACTTTGCAAAAAGCGTTGATACAGACCCAATTTTGCGGGCCAGAAGCCAAGTGGATCCGTCTGACTCGCAAATTCTGATGGATCCACCCAACGAATCTGCTCGTGATTTTGTACGGTGGACTTCTACGCTGGTAGCATGCGCTGTGCAAAATTTGGGCTCAGGACATTGGCTGGAACTCGCTCTATGAATTTCGTTACACACACACACACACACACACACACACACACACACACACACACACACACACACACACACACACACACACACACACACACACACACACACACACACACACACACACACACACACACACACACACACACACACACACACACACACACACACACACACACACACACACACACACACACACACACACACACAAAGTCACGTAAACACGCTTAGCCCGTTATTATAAGTTATGATAAATGACAAGATCTAGAAGGCACAATCGGAAAAACGGGATTGCACGACTTATTCACTTTCCTGTGTTCTTCTGTTTTTGTTATAGGAAGTTTTGTCGTTGAGTTTCGTTCTAGAGTTTTGTTATGAAGTTCGTTACGTCAGTATATAGATAAATGAGTTTGTATAGGTTTAGATTTGTTGTTTGCATGTTGGTACACATGGGGTGTCGAAAAATTCGAAAGTTTGAACAGTGCTCTAGGAGGGAATTTACGCCCTATGTTCGCTTCAGCACTCCCGCATTCCGGAAATTCATCTGCGTTTGACATAAAACTTGTTGCAAGCAGCTCCAAAACCAAATTCAGGTTATATCTGCTTAGCCGGCATTTCCACGGCTCCGGAAGAACGACCTAATATAGCACTTATCTTGTCAGAAAGTATAAAATGCACTGACATACGTTTCGAATCTTTTCCAAATAAATACAAATATGCAACTTTTAAAATGTTTTTGCAAAGAATCACGTGCAATCGTAGTGATGCCAGATGCGTAACGACTTCGCCGAAGGTGCGGCGGAGACCTAGCTCATATCTCGCGTTCATGAGGCCCACTAAGCACATTAAAATGTCCTGCTACCTTCCTCTTAACTCTTCAAGTGAACGTGATGTGAAATCTTTATATCTCCAAATAGATACATACTCTTACTTTCATTGAGACATTCTAACATGAGTCTTAGGGAATGAACTACTATTTGATATTCAGATAAAACCTGCTGCTAAGGGGAAAATCTGATATAGATTAAAAAGTTTGGTGATTTTCCATGTCACTTCCTCTGGTTTTCAAAGTCTGTGTGACCCAAGACTTCAGAAACGTCATCAAATGACCATGGTTACTTTGAGGTAACCAGGATAATCATATCACTCAATGATAACCGGACTGATTTAACTTCGGTTCTCCCATGATCTACTCTTTCTGACTGAACTCGCTCAATTTGCATGCGGAGTACTTATATGCTTCTTGTATCTGACTCAACTGAAACCTCTGAGACACGTCAAGACAAGCACAACAAATATCAAAAATATAATGTGCTTGTTTATGTCTGTCTGCCATGAAACGCTTATAATCTGCTGCATCATTTTTTTGGCATTTTTGTACGACATACGCCACCAAAGCGTAGGCTCATTATGCACAAGGACAAGCCATTTGCTACAGGATTTTTTACACTTCTCGGTGGGTCCACGCGGCTTTCAATCGGAATAGTCTATTTAGACTGCACTAAGGCTTTTCACAAAACGTGGATTTGTTTCACGTAGAACTTCAAGCCACTAATTCTATCGCGAAGAATAGTTAAGAAGTCTTTAATGAGGAGACCAAAAAAGCGTAGATGTCGATTCATGATAATTTACGTAAGCTGTGAAGATTTTTGCACAGAGATATAGCTTATTGGTTACGGATTAGTTACAAATTATACGTCTTGAGGGAATTTTGAAAGGATTCAGAAGTTTGTTGCAAGACTTATGTTATGAAATGAAATCAAAACGTTTAGCAAAGCATCAAAGCTTGCTTGGTTTTTGGAGAGATCTTCGAGCAATTGTTATCAGGTTCTTCACTTGCTATTTTTTCATTCTTTTTTCTTATGCAGATTACCGGAAATTAGCAACAGATTCTAGACGTGTACAGCTTCTTCAAGCGTAGATGAAAGAGCTAAAATTAGACGGTCATACAACTTCACATAATTTGCTTTCTTCTGCACTAATAAGAATTTCAAAGTATTTATCTGCAGAACATTTCGTATTATACATTAATGTGCTTTTTCTTGTTTGTCTATATAACGAAAATTTTCTCATTCCTTTGACCCTTCTGCTGACATACGAACCACATTCTTCATAGGTTCTTCCTGAGGCACTCTTCTCTGGAAATTTTTGCTGGAACATTGCAAAAAACACGAGTAAGAAAAAAAACGTGCCTTCTTCGGTTCTCTGTTCTCTACGTCAAAAGTTGTGATCGAGATCGTGTTCGCCCATGTAACACATTTTTCGGCACTCATGGATGTGGTTTTAGCTTTCTTTTTCGTACTCCTCAAGTTTGTGAAATTAGACCATAAAAATTAAGTCGGAATGAACATCTTTACTTTCTCGCACTATCGGCGCAAAATAAATTCAGCACTGTTGTCACTGTATTACCAAAGATCAATTCTCTAAAATAAGTCTGGAAGTACCGAAAAACGGTGACATACTCTTACCTATCAAATAAAATATCGTCCTTCTTGAAAGTTTCCACATCAGCAGCGAAAACTTGGAAATCTTTTCGAACATATGGCGGCCGTTTCAGCTCAGCACCATTGACAACCTGAATAACTTTTGGTCGCATGCGTGGCGTTGATTACGAAAGGTATAATTAAGTACCTTTTCGATAGCCTCGATGTCCACAGGATAATCATCTTCTGCCATTTCCTCTTCATCACTAAAATAGGAAGTTGTTCTTGCCATTAACAATGTTAAAAGAGCAACTTACCCCGTCGCCACTGTCCAAAAGGGACATCCTTTTATGAACGGATTACTTGCATTGATCCCTTTCTTAGCTGAACGACGACTAAGATCCTCTGAAATAATGACATTGCAGGTATATGAATAATTCAGTTTTATTTGTCTTCCATCAAAGCATTAGTCTCACATATGAAAATTATACAAGGCATCATGGTTTGCAAATTTGCGCTAAATAACATGTCGCAAAAAATGACTTTGGAAATGGGAGATGGTGCCAATCAATGATGTGGATACATGTACTTTTTTCTTTCAGAATCTTGATAGATTACTTTGAAGTACTTATTCTAACGGCATTCTGGTGTCTCTAGGTTCTGGGAAATGGTGAAAGTATCAAAAACTTCAATAGTCACCATTTTTTGTCTATCCTATAGAAAATGAGCGGCAGCACACTATAATGAACTTTGATAATTTTTTTTTTCAAAAACGCTGCTTGACACTTACTTGCATTTGAGCAAACAAGTAAGTGTCACTCGCCAAACTCATTTTATTGCACACTAGCTGGCAAACCTGAGTCCGCACAGCTCCGTCAATAGTATTTTCGTAGTCACCATGCTCACTTACCCCCCCCCCCCCTTTGCGATCCCAGCCTCTCGTAGATATAGAGATGAATAGAGAGACATCCAGCTTTAGTATAAGGTTACTCAAGCGATTTCATCTCCCCGGCTCTAAGATTGGGACAATATCGGATTTTAGCGCAAGACTACCTTTTTTTTCGCAGTTTACATTTTGTGAGGGGATTCCTGTGGGACTTAACCACAAATGTCTGAGAAACGACCTACTACCGTTTTGCGTATTGCCTGGAATAACTTTCTTTTCTCGAAAGTTATGCCGCGAAGCGGCTGAGCGGCTCGCTTGGGGAATCAAAAAGGTACCCATTGTACTAGTGATCATAGGTGCGATAGGGGGAGCGGGGACCCTTCCCGGTGAGGGGGGTTTAGGCTTCTCCCGAAATAGAAAAGTGAAGGGAGTAACTGAGTTCTGAGATGAATACTGACGCAAGCTTACATGTCTGACGGGAGCGAGAGTGAAAAGAAGGAAAATAAGTGGTACAGAGGTGTAATACAAATATTTCTTTAGTGCTTAGGGTTTGGAAGGTTTTCCAACAGAGACTTTTCTGACCCAAAAAAGGTTTATGTTTCCAGTCGACATACCATTCGAAAGCTTGGAACATACAGAATCGACGTAAACCGTCCCTTTTTTTTTCAGCTCTCCTGTAAATTCAGATATAAAAAATCATATCTAGGCTCCAGCATCAGCTAATTTTATGCAATCACTCCATTTCTGAAAGAAAAAGGAAAGCTAGAAAAAAATAGACGGTCTACGTTTACCGGATGAATCTTGCTCTGTAATAGGGTCAGACAACTGGGCATCTTCATTCACTCTTCGCATAAAAAGTTCCTCACAAAAACACACAAGTTTTTGGCCAAATTGCCTGTATCTCTGAGTAGAGAAGAGCTAGAGAAAAAGAAACGGTTTACGTCGATCCCTGTTTCTTGAGCTTTCTAAAGGTTATGTAACTTTTGAGTGAAAAAACTCGTGACTTTTCAAAAGCGAGATGGAGGTATTTAGTATTGACTTGCTTCACCCCGCTCTTGCTTTCCATGGATCCTCGGGCCAGAAGACTTTTTTGGACTGGAAAAGCTTTGTGCAGCAACACTTTGTATACCATTCAATAGCTAAGAACTTTTTTCCTAGCTCCCTTGTAAAGCGAGATACGAGCAGCTTCATCTACAATACCGCCAATTCTGGGTAATTGTATTTTCAAATCGAGAAAGTTTTTTTTTTGAAGTTTTCCAAATATCTGCAAGCGGACCGCAGGAAATCAGCGGACTATTTCTCCGGTGTCCGCTTGCCTATAAATCGCCTGGCCGCCTACCCCCGGCGATTCTCTGAGCAATGCCGGCCCTAAAGTGAAGAGGGTTAGGGAAATTTCTCCACCTATCGCATCTATGCTCGTGATATTAGGGTAATCGTTTTCTATAGCATCCATATTTGGATGTGGAATGAGCTAAAAAGAGCAAAAATCGATGTTTCCCGGCCCGCACCCACCTTCGTCGTCTTCGTCGACAATCTGACTTTTTTCAATTACTGTTTGTCGAACTGGGGCTGGAGATATGGGCAGAAGTATTTTATTCTTGCTAAAATCAGTACTATTTAGTATCAACAGGAGTTTTATAGAAGTTGACAAACTTGTCTGCGGGTGGTTGGTGCTTCTTTTTTCCAAACCAAGTCGCGAACTTCGGATTTGGTCGTATCGACAAGAAATATGCTTTCCGCTCCCCAAAGCCCATAGAAACGCCACGTCTCCGACGAGGAAACGACTGCAAAATAGTGGTTTCAGTCTGCTCCAATCGGGGTCAGGCCGATCGTCGGCGTAAATTTGCGCGCTCGCAACGCTAAGCGTTTGCGCTGCATATCCGCGCTGTCGGAAAGAGCAAAATGATTGTAGAGAGAGCAGAGAAGTAGGTGGGCGTGACTGCGAAGCCTTAGCGACGCGGACTCCCGCCATGCCAATTTTGGCCTGGTTGGGATTGGGGCAAACTGTATGTTGTGCTGTTGATAAAGTGCGGTTCATAGTTATACGGACACCCTTTTGTGAGCTGTGAGAATTTTTCGAAGAAACTCAGAAGCTGTTGGTGCTACATGGAAGAGCATAGCCGAAAACAGTAGAGACACAAGACGAAATCGGTGTCAATCTTGGGAATCTTTTTGCTCCGAATACAAATTTTAGGTTTCGTATTTATGCGAACACCTCAAACAGGCTCTTTCTCCAATCACAAATGCAATCTTCCAAGCCTAGGATTTTTTGTAAAATTGCAGTAACAAAAGAGATATCTGCTACAATTGTACCTAGCGCAGTTGAAAAAGAAGAGCCTTACTCTTTTTACACGGCTCGGAATACTTTGGAGTCTTTGCGCTCCCTCCGTTGTTCTGTGACAAGCACTCTATAACTTCTATCAAGGCTATCAGATAAATCAAGCCTTCTTGAAAGATAACTTGTTTGACGCTTAGTAAATTGCTGCGTTTTCGTCGCGTTTTTCAGCACGTTTCAACGTTAATAGATTTAACATGATTTCAGGCCTCAAAACTCAGCTTCTGTTTCGCGCAAAGTATTGCGATGAAGCAGCTGTGTTTGCATGGTGATGTATCCCTGCTTAGTTTTTGGGTTTTTCTTGAGGAACTAATCTTGAGGCTACGAACTCAAAAAACCAAAACATGTGACTGCATTAGAAAAACAGTCGGTAAAGACGTCTGCTTGAATTTCTCGAATCAAGTACATAGTCTTAAGAACTTCTACTGTGCGCTTACTTCATCTGAGGATTTTAGAAGCTGAGCTCAAATTCGATGTCATGTTATATCTAAGGTAAGGTTGGAACTGAAAACGCGATGAAATTGCAGGGAATTTCCTAAGCGTCAAACTATTTATCTATCGAAAAGCTCAATCTATTCAACAGCCTTGGTAGAAGCTAATCAACTGTTTGAACCACTGACAAACGGACGTTTTGAGAGCGCAGTGAGTAACGCTCCTTTTTTTTACCTGAGCTGGATTCAATATGTACGCTTTGATTCAAGGAATTGGCGGATGGAAGGCGGGTCTTCGAGGCCTAATCAAGGATAGGCAACAGGGCCCGGCAGAGATTGCTTGGAAGCAGGCTGGACTTCTTTCCGAAGCAAACAGCAAAGGGGCTATCGTTTTTGAAGAGTCGGAACCGCGCACCAAAAATAAGCGCCATTTAGTCGAACACAAGCTTTTCGGACAGGTGATCACACGATTGACATGCCCTATCGTGCATGGCGAAAAATGCGCGCGATTTGAAAGCGGTTCAAATAAACAAATTGCTTGTTTACAGTGCACGTAGGAGCATATGACAATAAAAATTAAACTGTATGCATAGAAAATTATTTGCGAAAGGATTATGTAAAAGGATTTGAAAACTTATATGAAGCAATACCTTTTCCAAAATTAGATCGTCTCCAGACGGCCACCAGACAATCTGAGATTTTCTGGAGCATATATTTTCGTCACTTCACATAAGTTTCGGATCTTTCTAGCATGGACGGATTCCCCGGTTAAAAATCTATTCCTGAGCATGAAGACATTTTCATATCATTGCCTTTCCTTTGTTTTTTGCCTTCATTTCTTCTCGCTTTGTTAAATATCGCGCTCTAATGCCAAAGTCCTGTGCATGCGTAGTATTCAACGCCAATTTGGATTTTCACTCTTATCTTATGTGTTTTCTTCGAGACTAGTAAATCTTTCTTATTTCATCTTCTCTTAAGCAGGTAGGTCAAAGGGGGTAGAGGACTATATGTCGCCGAATTTGGAAGAGTCCCGCGCGGATTCTCTGCAGGAACGCATGCCCGCGCATGTACAAGGATGTGTATTTGTTGCAAATGACCGCGGAGACCGCCCTTTTTCGGCAACATATAGTCCTTTACCCGGTCAAGGGGAACTTTGTAAAACTTTCGGAAGTCAGGGGGACTTCGTTTTCAGAAACCCGAGAAACCGACTCGTGCCGGGCCCTGATAGGGAATGATGAATGATCAGTGAGCACGCTTACGAGACAGACGCATATTAGGTGGGTGCGAGCAGTTGCCTTCCAATCACCAATCCCGTTAGACCAGACGGTAACAGATATTTCAGACTCTGTCACTGTAACTTCACAAGAATTTTGACTCGAAAGATCACAGTTTTGAGTGAAGAATGAGTCTTGCTTGAGGTGTTCTAATAATTATAAATTAAATGAAAAATCAAATACTAATGCTGAATTTGTATTCGGCGCCGACTATGCTCTTTCACGCAGTATCAACGTTTCTTGAGTCCTTCCAAAAAGTCCCGAAACGAAAAAAAATATGGGGTGCTCGTTAGTAATGAACCGCATTTTAGTGGAAATGACAGGTTGAGAACAGCGTAGCAAGGTAGCAACCAATATTCCGTTTGAATGGCGCTCAATGCTAACCAGTGGTTCACCTCTGCTTCGCAGAAGCTCGTGCTGGTCATCATCGATAGTGTTTTAGTAAACTTGCGCTCTGTTAGCTTGTTTCTCAGATCAACCTACTTGCCTGCAAGTGACCTCTGGAAAATAAATCACCCTTGCTATCAGATATCACATGCTTGAAGTATGTAAGTCATCTAAATATTAGGCTGATTCATAACTAATGCACATTTTTCCTACCTCTTCTTCCAAGAGCTGGTATTTGATGTGTAATCAATTTCCTCAAAAGCTTTTTAAACTGTCTAAAAGAGCGTTTTTTATAGTTTCTTAAGCGGTCTTCGCTTTTGTAAATCTCCGCTCATCCCAAAGTCGTGAGCCTTTAAATGAAAGAGACTAAATCCCAAATTTTTGCTTTTCACTCTTTTTGCCCTAAATCCATGAGGAATAGCCGTATTAATTTCAAAAAATATGCATAAGGATTGGGAAACTTTGTGCTACAAGATGCTATTTTAGCAAAATTTTCCATGAATTCTGAGCCGAGAAATTCAATTACGAACTTGAATGATTGTCGCGGCCCTTCCGTGCCATATAAAACTTTGAAGCAAAAGGCGATTGCAGATCTTTCGCACTATCCAGCAAGGGTAGACCTAGCTCATTTGATGGTAGAAAAGCGTTAGGGTTTTCTCACTTTTCAGCGAAGAAAAATGAAATAATTTCATGACCGATTTTTGAACCCGCTGAGTGCCAGAAAAAAGTGAGTACTTTCGACTTTTTCGCGATATTTTCTTTCAAAAATTTTCCGTAAAATCAAACTTGGCATTACTGCTCAAGAGACCTTTGGTTACATGATGAGTGAAGTCTGCTTTATCCTACTTCATTTGAACATATGTTATGCTCTCCCAAAGTAGAGGCTTCTGAAAAAAGTTGTTGGCAATCTTCAGGTCAGAAATTATTTCTTGTAATAGATTAAAAGTATCTGTTTTATAGCCACTGATTTGATGGTTACAGTAGTTTTTATTGCGCCCAGAAATGTCTTTTGAAAAAAGAAATATCTCGGTTGAAAGTTGAAGTATAGAAAACGTGCATTAATTATGAATCAACCTAATATAAATAAGACTCAATCTCTATAAATTTGTTCGTTTGTAAGTATGTGGCTTATAAATTCTTTTGTGTAAACCAATAAGGCTAAAATTCGTCCCCCCATAAATAAGGCTCGGCGCAGAAGTTAGGCTACGTTCTGCAACGATTTGTTGGGCCCTTCAATTGATTTATTGATTTGTTTACTTAATCGAGGGTTCATAAACAATTGTTGGACCATTTTCTCAAAGTCATGTAAGTCGAGCTGTAAAGTTCATTTACATTTCTCGGCGAAAAGGATCTGGTGTCTCAAGCCAGCGAGGAATACATACAGTCCGCCTCAATCCTAGCCAGACCAAAATCAGCATGGCGGGAGTCCGCGCCGCGAGGGTTTTGCGCCACATCTGCGGCTAGCTAATCTGCTCTCTCCTCGATCTCTTGACTCTCTGCGATAGCGCGCGTTTGCAGCGCAATCCCATAGCGATGCGAGCGCGCAAATTCAGCCGACGGTTCGGCCTGATCCCGATTGGGGCAGACTGTATCATAATCGTCGCGGATATGGAGAAGAGCGGTAAGTCTCAACGCGTTTGGGATCAAGTAGCCCAATTCCCGGGCGGGAACGGGCACGCCATCTAGTAGTTCTTCACTATAATTTTGTACGAACAAACTCCACACAGCTTCGGATAAAGTGGCTTTTCATAAGTCATGATAGAGGTACTTCAAAACCAGAACAATCCTTCTTGCAGCAGCTGAGCACCTCACAGTTCGTGCTAGAGAGAGAGAAGAGAAGTGGTGAAATGTGCTATGAAATTAGTACAATTTCTGGCTAAATCATTTTTCGTTGTGGAGTTACACTGAGTTGGAATGTTTTGAAGAAAAACAGTTTCTGATGGACCTCCATAAAATTTCGATGTTTTGAGAAAGCGATCCTCTTCGAACATTGCAAAACTATGGCTCGCTTTTCAAGTGCATGAACTCAATTGAATCTGTGCTATAGTACCAATGTTTTTCCCACAGATACCTACTTGTTCATAAATAAGATCAAACTAACATCATCAGCATTTCTTGAAGCAGCAATTGATTTTGGACGAAATTGGTAAAGAATTTCCATTTTCCGAAATTCTACGTAGTTTCTTTCCTCTTCTCTCGCCAACTCTCTGAAAAACTCTCAGGAGTTTTTTTAGTAAAGTTTTCGTACATCTTTGAAAACTAATACGAAAAGTTCGTGTAGATGTTACAGCGGGTACAGCAGATCTGTTTCTTCAACTTACCTTGCATCTCTTTTCTTTTTTACTCGTTCACGTATTGCATCTGCTTGCTTTTTGTTGAGGCCGACCTGCTTTCCACCTGGATGTGATTTGGGTTAGGCTATGGATTCAACGCAAATTTATGGAAATTACCTTTGAAAGGTAATGACAGGCTCATAAGTCAAGTCGATTACAGTCTGTAATGCGGGAATTCTTATGTACGGAGCAAGGTGTAAGGTCTATTGCCGAACGGAGGCGGTTGGCCCAAAGAAGCGATGCGGCTCTGAGGGCTATGTTGTTGGGATATGCGCTATTTAGGTAGGCCTCGAGGAGTATAGCATGGAGACGATCGATATACATCAAGTACATGTAAAACCGGCGATTTTTGTCGCCGATATTGGTGATCGCCAATCGCCAAACCAAACAAGTTACCACACGTCAAATCGATATATCATAACTTATAATAATGGGCTAAGGATGTTTACGTGACTTTGTGTGTCTGTGTGTCTGTGTGTCTGTGTGAGAGTGTGTCTGTTACGAAATTCGTAGAGAGTGTTCCAGCCAACCTCCTGGGCTCAAATTTTGCACAGCGCATGCTAGGTAGGTGCCAGAGTAAGCGAATATTTTGTTCAAGTTGGGGTCCCGCGCAGAACTGGCATCACTAATCATTGTGGCATAATGCCAACTTGGCGTTGTGCCACAATGATTAGTAACGCCAGTTCTGCGCGGGACCCCAACTTGAACAAAATATTCGCTTACTCTGGCACCTACCCTACCCGCATGAAAGTCCAACATGCAAAAGCACGAGCAGATTCGTTGAGTGGATCCCTCAGAAACTGCGCGTCAAACGGATCCACTTTGCATTTGAGCCGCATAATTGGGTTCATAATTCCACTTTTCGCAAAGTAGTGGATGTTTATGCCAAGTAAAAGTGCAAACCATGAACTTAGACCCAAAAAGTGATCAAAAGTGTACTACTTCAGAGAAAAGGCGCCAAAAAGTATTGGTTGCATAAATGGTCAATTTGCCAACGTTTTACCGGAGCATTTAACGAGATTTTTGCACAAAGGCCTAGCACACGGTGACTGCCGTTCTTATTGCAACTGTCAAGTCCATGGGAAAATCAAAAACCTGTAAAAATTTGCGTTTGTTCTCCTGCAAAAAGTCTCATCCATGCGAAATCACCGATTTTACATAAAAAGCTTTCGGAATGAGTAGTTGTTTACATTTTGTTCGTGATAGTCGGCATTGCTCGGTGAGTTCCAATGCCATCATTATGCGAGAATGAGTAGGGCCTAGATAGTGGAGCCAGTGCGGGCCTCTGCGAAGCAGAGGTGACGCACTGGTATATATATATCAAACGTGTAGTCGCCGAAAACTGGCGATCGCCAACCGCTGCGACTGGCGATCGCCAGACGCCAGTGTTGGCGACTACACATTGAATGCGTATCGATTGGAAGTGTGGTAACTTGGTAGCGATCTATACGCGTAGAAGACACAGTCGCCAATATTGGCGACTGGCGATCGCCAGTCGTAGCGATTGGCGATCTCCCGTCGCCATGCTATACACTTCGAGAAGTATAGCGCCTGCCTTACCGGCTCGGTATAGTTGACCGCGAATGTTTGAGTGAGCCGAAAGGATGAGGCATTTGGGGTTGGAACGTCAAAGGCCGCCTCCGCAAGCAGCTGGTTCTCAGACGAAATTCACAGCAATTGCTAAAGGACCAGTATGCTCAGGAGGCGCCCCTTACTGGGCACTTGTGCGTTCTCCATCAGCAACTTCAAAATAAAGAGCTTACTGAAGTTGCAACCAGTGTGGGCGTGTGATCATACGAAATAATCCTGTTTAGCTCGATGAAGCATTATTTTATTCCGTCACTTTGAGTAAGCGAAAACATCAACTCATCCTTAATATAGATTGACGAGGGCGGTCTGTTCATTGGAATTTTCCTTTGCCTTTCCTCTAAGTTAGAGCGAACATGCAGCACATTTCCATTTAACAACTAATACTACCCCAAATCCGTTTGTCGCACATGATTCCTGTGAGTCCTCTCCATTTTGACCATGCTGCAGTTATCCTGGAACTAATCTCGCCTTGGAACATACCATCCGCAGAAAGGCGACTTCCCAGATATTTGAATGTTGTAGTCTTCTCGACTGAGATGTCTCCGATTCGGATGGTCCAGGCGTTTGAGTTCCTATCTCCATGTACTCGGTCTTCGCAGCATTGATCTTCAAGCCGTGCAACTCAAGTTCAGTGTTCCATTTCTGCACTTCCGCCTCCAGTACTCTCTGTCCTTTGCCATCAACAATATGTCATCTGCGTACATCAGAGCCCACGGAGGCTGACGTATGAAACCTTTAACTATAGAGTCCACAACCGTAATGAAGAGAAAAGGCGACATGACGGAACCTTGATGGACTCCGGCGCGTATTGGGAAGTCTCCAGATTGACCGATGCCGATCAAGCTAAAATCCCAGCTGTACCGCACTGTAATTCGCCCAACTGCTCTATATGGCAGCGAAAGTTGGCCGTGTACGCGAAATGATGAACGAAGGATTAGTGTAATGGAGACGCGTATGCTAAGATGGACGGCAGGCATCACGATGATGGACCACGTCACCAACGATACCATAAGAGCAATAATGAACGTTGCCCCGATCGTAAAGAAGGTACAAGAAAGGCGAATCCGATGGTACGGGCATGTTAAAAGAAGAGGAGAAGATCACGTCACTAAATTAGCAATGTCTGTAGATGTCCCCGGAAAGAGACCAAGAGGAAGACCAAAGTCGAGATGGATGGATAAAGTTGAGGCAGACTCAAAAGAGCTCGAAATTGATGAACATCAGGCTGAAGATCGTGAAAAATAGAGAAGACTTATAAAAGTAGTAGAGTAGACATGATGATGCACTGTTACGGTTTATGTTGTTTGTGACGTGATCAACAGTTTTTTCTCTGTTTTTTTTTGTGGAATACCTAGCATATCAAATGATACTGAGAGAGTAGCAGACCCCGTATGCGTATTGTATTGGGGAACAATGCAAGGATGAAAAAAAACTACCCCAAATGCCTTGCGAGTGAAAATTAGTATTCATATGCAAACAATACTCTCTTTTATTACCAATACAAATGTTATAATTCCTTTTCTAGAAAATTTCTGCATAAATTCAAATTATTTTTTTGTTGTCTGATGAGTGTGGGACACACTTTTGCTTAAGCAAGTAAAATATCTATATCTATACGTAATCATTTAGTAGCGCCCTGTGTTAGTATCTCTGAGGGATACTTGCATAGAAATTCTTATTAACACGTTGACGACGGTGTCGCGCAATGGTGCGCGACAGGCAGTCTGTCCCTGTGGACGATGTCGCGCAATGGTGCGCGACACCCTAAACATCAGTTTTAATGTGCACAATGGTTCCAATTTGTGTTCATATAATCAAGTTAGGCTCGAAAGTATTTCATGTTGGGCCCGCCCCCTTTTTGGCAAACTCCGCCCACTCCACTGCCCTCTACAAAAAACTTTTTTCGTTCTCAAATCGCATAGAAAAGTTCACAGATGACAGGGGAACCTTGAATGATCTTGATTTTGACCCCGCCCCCCGTAATGCAGGCTCCACCCCCTCAGTGGCAAGCTCCGCCGACTTTTCAAAAATGCCAGAATTTGCACGAATTCATTGATTTTGAGCGATTTCCAGCATTTTTTAAAAGTGGGCGGGGCTTGCCAAAAGTGGGCGGAGCTGCCCCGCCCACTTGAATTTGTGTATCTCACGTATAGATGCATGCATACATATGTGCAGCCGGCTGTGAAAATGCCCGGAAACGGTTCGTCCACAGGGACAGACCTTCAAAAAATGGCTCGTCGTCAACGTGTTAATAATGAGCAATTATCAAGGCATTGTCTTATAACCTGTATTTATGTATACCAGTGCGTCACCTCCGCTTCGCGGAGGTTCGCACTGGCTCTCCTATCCGTTTGCCTTCCTCATGTTCGCACAATGATGACTTTGAAACCCACCATGCGATGCTGAACATCACAAATGAATAGTAAACAACTGTTCATTCTTGAAGCATCTCTACGTAAGATCGGTAATTTTGAGAGAAAAAAAACTTGTCGCAAAGGAACACCTGCGAATTTGATTAGATTACTGAATTTGTTTTGGTCTGGTAGTCGTCATAAGGATAGTAGTCACTTTGAGCTAAATTTTTGTGCAAAAATCTTTCTAAGTCTGAAGGTAAAACCTTGCCAAATCGACTGTTTAAGCGATCACCACTTCTTGGCGCTGTTGTCGCAGAAAAGCAAACTTTTTGAGCACTTTTTGGGCTAAAATTCATGAGGCGCAGATGTACTTGTCAGGCAAATCATAACTTCGCAAAAAGTCAAATTAATGACCTAGTTGTGCGTGCCAATAGCGGCGTGGGTCCTTTGACGCGCAGTTTTTAAAGGTCCCAAATATCGGATCAGCTTGTGCTTTTGCATTTTTTACCTACATGCTGGTAGGGTGCTATGACCAAAATTTCAGCTCAAGATCTTGCCTACAAAACGTTCTATGAATTTCGCGACAGACAGACATAAACACACAGACAGACAGACAGACACGCGCTTTATTATAAGTCATGATACTTTATTCATATCGTTTTTTCTCATCTTTTGGACTGGACTGTTCGCACTGTAGCTACTATTATCACACTAGTGTTTACATGCAATCTGGAAGGACAGAATCCGCTAGATAGACATGTCGGCTATCTACCCGCTATGTAACATAGCCAGACAACCTCTAATCCTTAATCCTATCAAACCTATTGCTGCAGCAACTGTCCACGCGAAACAAAACAATCATAATTCAACGCTTAAGTGTAAGCAAAGTGATCTGACAACCGAACCGAGATTAATGCTAGCGTCTGCTCAAACTCGGTGACCTTTCTTCCAATATAAGATATGTCTAGGTTACAATCACGACATCTAGGATTAGGCATATGGAATTTATTGCTTACAATATCACACCACTTTTCTGATATTAGCTGTCTAATACAGAATAACAACGAACTTTATTACGACAAGACAGTTATATTAAATAGGGAGGCACAGTTCTAAAGAAAACCTACAGGTTTCTGTATGGCCTATTGGCTGCCTTTAGAGCCCGAATGATTGGATCGAGCCCGGGAAGGTTAACGAAGTAAATGCCTCTGATATTCTCAAGATTGCGCTTGAGCAGCGCAGTCATCCTCGAAGGTATGTACATAAATCCTCCCAGATTTATGATAGTTACATGCCCGAGGTGGAGTTTCATTCCTGGTCGGTCTCCCCTCCATGCGTTGTCGTCATCGACTTCCTGCCAGTTATAGGGTGTCCCGTCGTTGCGCTCCATCAAGCCTAAACGTTAATTTCTTTAGCACCACTCTCTTTAGATTTGAACATTAAAAGAAACAAATAATGTTCTTTTAACTTACCGCTAATGGTATTGCCGACCATATCGAGCGTCAACAACGCTCTACCATCTCGCTGAATTTCAATGGTGGATTTCTCCATCACACTGCGAGATAGGTAGGCCAAGGAGCTCGTGCTCCTGGGACTGCCGGAATACGTTCTGCAGAGGGTCAACCCTCTTAAGAGGCAGAGAGCACCTCGCCCTTCTCAAGTCATCTACCATCCATTCGCCTCCTTCAAGGGAAAAGAGCATCATAAGTAAAATACAATTACAGTTACACTACTTACCTTTCTAAGAAAGACGATGATGTCTTCCCTGGCCTTCAGTCGAGCTTGATACTCCTCCACAGCGCCTTCATGCTTCAGAGCCGTTTCGTACTCTTCCTGAAGGGTCCGCTCCAAACCGCCTCTATGCCAGCTTCGGAATGGGCACGGTTGGAGGCCTCTTCCTCCAGAGCGCATACTGTTTCCTCCAGCGCGCGCAGTTGGTTCGCCTGATTTTCTATCGTAGCCCTCAGGCGCAACGTCTCTTCCATTTCACTCACCTAAAGTATATATATTCAAAAAAAGCGAATTTTTTTCCCTTATTAAAAACACTGAACAATTTGAATTTACACTTACGGTAGAATACTATGAGCCTGGAGATACACTCATCCAGCCCGGTGAGACGATGTTGCTCCAGTTGGGTGATTCCGGCGACCAGTCCGGTGAAGCCGGAGATGGGTATGAAGTTGCGTTGATTTCGCGGCGGATAGGAGACGACATTTGTCTGAAAAAAAGACCATTTTTTCTCATCTCACTCCCCAAACTTTGCCCCATTGTTGAATGAAAAGCAATTCAACATTAAAAAATATCTGAAAACTAACTGAAAACTATCAAGGTCCTATCTGCAATGTCACGTCAGTTTCCTTAAACACAAGACAGTCGCAAATAGGAGTTATTGTGTTGAGCTTTGAAAACTTTTTTACACAGCAAAGTAAAAGTTTACAGGAAAAGTGTTCATATAAAGTGTGTGAAACATTGATAAGTAGAGTTCATTACTGCTGGACATTGTCTGTTGAAAACGATTGAACAACTCTTCACATAACTGAGGGAAGGTTTGAATCCGTTCTCAACTTCTCGAAGATGAAAAATTACTATACAAGCAAGTGCTTGGGATAGCGTAGCGTATCAACTATGTTATAAATTTGCAATGATACTATTTTGTTATATGCGCTAGCATACATATTTATGTGGATACCCACTTACATGTTACACCATTACATTATTTCTAATGATCATATTTCTCACTATTATGCAATATTTCATTACGTATCACCCATATCTGTATCGTTTACACACAGTGGCGTACCGAGGGGGGGGGGGGTCGGGGGCCCCCGCCCCCCCGAGAACGGGTCGCGAAATTTTCCAAAGTTTCTTACATGGGTTACTGAATTGTGCAACAAATGACTTGTCTGCACTTGTAAATAATTAAAATATTTTTTAAAATTTTTTGAAAATTCATTTTGGCGTTATAAAAAAAAATTTTCGGGGGCGTGGCTGACGCCGCGCACTTTCATTAGAAAAAAAATTTTTGTCGCCCCCCCCCCGAGTCGAAATCCTGGGTACGCCACTGTTTACACAGTATATTAAAACAGCCATGCTATTGTAGCTATTATGTCTTGTACACGCCATGAATTATATTCTGCCAACTTTGAACCTTACTTGCTGATACACGGTCCTTCTTAAACGCCTAACAATCCCAAAAGGATATCCTACAATCCTTAGTTCGACGTAACCATCCTGCTTCCCATATCACATACTCTATGCGATTTTCACCATTCCCGACAATTCTCGCTCGAGGACGAGCTTCTTCAATGCTCTGGGAGAAGTCGTAGCCACTCCCATGGTTCACTGATACTGTAACCCCGGAGGTGTATTTGTCGCTCGCGAGTTCGATAGGATTGGCCCCGGGGTTAACTATGCGGCTAGAGGGGCCTAACTACTAGAGATTAATACTAAAGATTTATTAGACAAGCAGAGGTCTACAACCTACAAGACGACTACAAGAAATCTAACCTACAAGATGCATTAGAAAAGGAACAGCTATAGAGGGAGAGAAGAAATCTCATAGAAGAAATGAAATTCAGGAAAAAAAATGAGTCGGCCAACCATCCGTCCGTCCACTGCTTGGTGGCTAAGGTATTTATGTGAGCCCAAAATTAATTAAGCTCCAACTCTCTCGATCAAAGACATTATGCACAATTAATATCGCGGTATCATTTACAAATATGAAACAATTGTGCCTGGCACCAGTTTGCACAGCATCGTGTCAGCGTCGTTGTCGTTGTTGCCGCGTTGTTGACGTTATACAAGTACGATGTTGATAACCTTCTCGATATCCGGCGATAGAATAGTTATTACTGCACGTTGCCATTACATCCTTCGCTTCGGAGAAGATCCGTCTCGGATCTTGAGGAGCCGCTGTGCTTGCGCAACGAACGGCTAGAGTAATGGAGAGGATGTGGAGAGGGTTGGAGCTCTCTTTTTTTTTTTGTTTTGATGTTGTTTTTTTTTTTTTTGAAGCCCACCTAAAGGGCGAACGGATGATTTGTAATACAATCTAAATAATCTACAGCAAATATTGCAGGAAAAAAAATGACAGGGAAATGTTGGACGCGAAGTTACTGTATCGCAGGGATACGGTAGTAAGGCGAGACGAGAATGACGTCATCAGATAGTGGTGGGGCCGGTAAGGCGATGATGACGTCATTATTATAGTGGAGTTGAGTCACTGGTCTTGAAGATGACAAGGCGAAAGGACAAGTTGATGAAATACATCGATCGTTGGATAATCCACTTTGGCATTGATCTTAGAACTAGCCGGCTCTCTGTAGGTCAGTTTTTCTTCTTATCTTCTTTTGTATTCTTCTTTTGTAAATGTATTGTCGGTAAGAGAGGCTTTTCTTTTCCAGCATGATCGTTGACAGGAGCTACTGCCCATTTCGTTGTTTCGACCGTGGAGTGTGTTACCAGGACTCCGGCTCCGTTTTTTGCATCTGTTACGAGGCAACTGAAAATAAATTTTGTGAAGACACCTCTGCTAATCACCCAGCTGAAGCTTCAGCCATTTCGGGTTTTAGCATTGGTGGGTTTTTTTTCTGTTCACGCAAAAAAAAAAAAGGCAGCATTTCCTGTAAAAAGTTAAACTATGAAACCATTCTTTTCTCTTACAGCTGCAACCATCTTTTTCTTGTTGCTGCTGGCATACGCCGTGTGGCGACGTTACAAAGAATGGAATCAGTCGCGAGTGATTAGCCGCCATGCAAGAGGACATGCAACTCCTCCGGCTCCGAGGGAGGAGCCGCAGGCTCCGCCTGCTTATTCTCCTCGCACGGTGGAGCCTTCTGCTCCTCCCTTGGAGACGGCTATTTAACTGTCAATTTTTTTTGATACCTTTTTTTTTCTCTGTAATGGTACCCAAAAGGACAAAAAAACACCTCCCGGCTGATCAGCTTATTGTTTTTTTTAATCACCTCCCGCAATAAAAGAATTGTAGTTTTGTACATGTAAACACTACATGAATAATTACATCAAGCGTCCTTATAAAGCTTTGTCCTATTTACGTGGATAGTGCGGATTCGTTTTCCATCGCGAATTGTAACATTTGGTTTGCTTATCTCCAAAATTTCATAGGGACCCTCGAAACGATCTGCAATTTTTGATCCGACTTCTTTGCGGATTAGAATCAAATCTCCAATTTTATAATCGGCCGGATTAACACGTTTTCGAAGATCGTAGTGATGCTTCTGAGTAGATTGTGATGACTTAAGGTTTTCAGTTACGTGTTTCCATACGTTCTTGAGAATGGAAGTAAGTTGTTCTACATAGCTATCTTCGTCTAGATATCTCCTGGTAGGAAGATGTAGGGCTAGTCGGAAAGGGTTGTTAGACTCATATCCATGAACCAAGAAAAAAGGTGAATATTTGGTTTGCGAGTTCTCATTGCTATTATATGCGTGTGTTATTAAAAACAATAAGTTATCCCAAGTGTCAGTGTATTGCATACTGTCTTGGGATATTATTAGGCGGTCCCCAGTTAGCCCTTTTATTCCAACTAGAGTTGGTACCCAGGGTCAAGTTGTTTAGTTGAGTTTGCAGCTTATCTATCTTATCGTCAGTTATCAAGGAGTTTATAGATCTGAGTACTTCTTGATCTTCCCGTCTTTCTTGTTCTAGTATGCGCGCTTCCTTTTCGGCGCTAGTTACCACGTCTTCAAACTCTTCATGCTTAGGCAAGCGGCGAATGGCCTTCCTAATGTCTGGTCGAAGACCCTTAATAAAGAAGTCTATTGCGAGTTGCGTAACTAGTCCTCTATCTTGCCCTTGGTATGCAAGCTTTGTTTTAGCCATTACTTTACGAGCAAAATCACCGACTGTGTCTTTCCCCTGGGTGAGCCCATGAAGCTCATCCCGAACGTTGCTCAAAAGTGCTTCATTTTTACATCTAGTTGCTAGCTCTGTTACCAGTTGTTCCCAAGTGAGGTCGTTTATATTATCTATGCTGTTATACTTGATTTTCGCTGACCCGGTCAGGAACATAGGGAGCAAGCTCTTTGCAACTGCATGCGTAATCTTGAAGCGACTGACTATATCTCTATATTCCTCTAGGAACTCTTCGAATGTTCTATCAGTAGCCCCAGAGAACTTCTCTACGCGCTCGTTGAGAATCTTAAAAGATCTATAGATAGGATTATCTTCTACAGACATGAGTACAGTCTTGGATTTGGGTGGCTTATGTTCGCTCTTAAAGTGGAATGACTTGTTTTCGTTTCTTACTGCGTTGGCCGCGTTTCTCACTATTTCTTGGAATTCTTCTGAAAGCGTTTTCCTCCTTCCTTCGTCTTTTCTTATCAACCGCGAAGACGATAATCTTGATGTAAGAGATTTTCTTGTTGTTATTCGTTGCGGTGGAGCCAGCTGTAGATAGGATTAGAGAATCTTGTGAATTACGGAACATTTAACGAGATTATCAAAGGAACGTGATATGACATAAAGGAATCACGTTGACGACCTTCCATAAGTGGATTAGCCCTTGTCTATATATATTTCCTTGTCTACACTGAGGAGATTACAAAATTTTACTACAATTCACAGGTAGCTATGGTCGTCAAGGTGAAAACAAATAAACATGTTATTCCTATGCCACATATATCACGCCCACAGAAGGATGAGTCACCAAATACTGTTCAAAAGGCATCATTAGAAGGTGTAAGTGATCTTGGCGCGTTGTTGAGTTCTTGGTTTTCGTCGTCGACCGGTATAATGACGTATGATCTTGAAGTACATAATACCGCAGGGTGATCTACTAGCTGACAGATATTACAACGCAGAGGCGTTGGACAGTTTTCGTATGAGAACTCTCTATGAACTTGCGCACATCTGTGACAAAACTGGTAGTAAATAATGTGGGTGAATTTAAGCCATAATGGTTGTAGGCTCTGGCACTGGTGTAAAAGGTGTTCTGTCGTACGACAGATAGTGCACCGCGTTGATGGATCGATAGGCGGTAAGTCTCTTGGGTGTGGTCGTACTGAACTGTGAAAATTTTCGACAGAATGATATACCCTTATCAGATCGGACCCTCGACGAGTTATTATAGGTCTGAGACAGCTCCAGTAGATGGTTTCAACCCTAGAAGGTTGCATTAAGGCGTTGCCAAAATGATCTCGCGATGTTCTTCTTCTTCTGACACGTCTTACTCGCCTATTTATGGGAAGCATACTAAGATTGGAAATAGGCCGTAGTGGCGAGCGCCACGGTACTGGGCTTGGAGAGCGCGACGATGTTGAGCTGCTCATTATTGGACTTCGCAATACTTCAGATGATCCGTTTACTGTTAAGTCTTCCCATATTATTGGACTAGAGCTAGGAGTTGATTCTGTTGCGGATGGCATCTAAAGAATGGATTTTTTTTTTGGATAATTTACGAAATATTGAAAGGGTGATATATGTGAGAATAGGACAAAACATGAATGCTGAGTTGAGATGAAGTGTTTACAATATCGTGGATGCAAGGCTTACAAATGGGGTGGGGTTGGACGACCGAGTACTAATTACTAACAGATAAACCGCGGATTCCGGCATGATGGCTTCGAGGGGGGGGGGGGGGGGGAAAGGGATCACGAGATAGAATTTATACTAATGACAGCGGGATTCTCTTACAAAATTGAATTACAGCGCGACCTTATTATTGAAACAATTTATGTCCGCGAGCGGACGCGCTGCCCGATCGGGTTTTGTTCTTTACCCCTGTAGAAAAATGGGAGACGTCAGCAATGCTATAGCGCTTTTCTTATCTACTGTAACTACTGTTTATTACTCGCGGGAAAAGGAGGGGTGCTGACAAAAAATGCTGAGATATTAATTAAAGAAGAAGAAGTGGGTAAAGGGAGGGAGGGGGGGGGGGGAAGAAGGAAGGGGACGAAGCCATCTCGCCGGAACCTCCATGTAACCCCGGAGGTGTATTTGTCGCTCGCGAGTTCGATAGGATTGGCCCCGGGGTTAACTATGCGGCTAGAGGGGCCTAACTACTAGAGATTAATACTAAAGATTTATTAGACAAGCAGAGGTCTACAACCTACAAGACGACTACAAGAAATCTAACCTACAAGATGCATTAGAAAAGGAACAGCTATAGAGGGAGAGAAGAAATCTCATAGAAGAAATGAAATTCAGGAAAAAAAAATGAGTCGGCCAACCATCCGTCCGTCCACTGCTTGGTGGCTAAGGTATTTATGTGAGCCCAAAATTAATTAAGCTCCAACTCTCTCGATCAAAGACATTATGCACAATTAATATCGCGGTATCATTTACAAATATGAAACAATTGTGCCTGGCACCAGTTTGCACAGCATCGTGTCAGCGTCGTTGTCGTTGTTGCCGCGTTGTTGACGTTATACAAGTACGATGTTGATAACCTTCTCGATATCCGGCGATAGAATAGTTATTACTGCACGTTGCCATTACAATACACCATCCTCAGCTCACCCTCACGTACACCATCATCATCAAACCATATGCCTATCGTCAATCTTGAAGATGTTCTCGCCGTAAATCGAGTGTCCAACCATCTATGCACGCTATCCAGAAGAACACCGATCCAATCTGACTCGCTGAGGACGAGCTTCTCGAAGGAACGGAGATGTCGGGATGCAGCCGGACTGCATCAGCTGTTTGGAGGCTGGCCGTCGAGAGTCGAGCCGGACAGTGACCCCCGTGGCTCCGACACCACCCGCTCAGACAATCGCTGGAGCAGGCGAGCACCGGAAAAATAGATTGCTGATTTTTCGCGCCTCGCTCGCGGATTTTTTGCAAAGCAATCAGGACTTTTCGGAAGACCGCTGCTGATCGCCTGTTGGATTTTTTTTTCGCTCTTATCTTTTGCAGATATATTGCTGAATCTCTGAGAAATCGAGAACTCAGCAAGCGGTCTTTCGAAAAGTCCTGATTGCTTTCCAAAAAATCCGCGAGCGGGGTGCGAGAGATCAGCAATCTATTTTTCCAGTGCCCGCCTGCCCCCGGCGATTGTCTGAGCGGTTGCCAATCCCCCTTTTCCCTCACTCTTGTATATGCTATGTAAATAATAAATATTTATATAAATCACCGTAACCCGCTACACAGGTTGAAGGAGTAGCTAACCTTTTATACCTCACAACCGCTTCCAGCAGGTTGCACCCTGCAACCACTTCCCCTTTTCCCCCTTTTTCTGTATTTATACTAGATAATAAATATTGATATATTAGTCTTACGTAAATACCGCTACACATCAGGTAAAGGCAAGGCCGGTCTTTATCCTGAAAAATCAATGAAAAAGACCTTTAATCGAGTATTTGTTTAGTGAACGAATCGAACCACTATTCGGAATTTTATTCGAAAATTCGAATAAAATTTCGAATAAGTTGATTTTTTGATACTATTGGGTTATACTGTGCGAGACTCTTGGGTATTGTACCCGAGTAAACTTACTTTTGGTGTCAGTGGATTCTTCGAGGCGGACAAACAGTTAGAGAGCGAGAAGTTTATTAGGGCGTTCTCGCCAAAGGTAGAGTAACAACCGAAGGGGGTCAAAGCCACCAAAACAACATGCGGGGCCGCGCCCCGCCTCCCTGCCTCCCCCCCCCCCCCCGTGAGGAGACATCATCGTCACCGATGATACTCCGGGGAGCAGAGGGACCACAAAATTAGTACAAAATTGTGTAAAACCGCAATATGCATAATATGTAATCTTCCATCGATTTCTTCGTAGAAAGTGGTTGGCGTGGAAACGTTGCGGCTTGACGGTCTGGCTGGTGGCATGATGATCGGCTGGTGACTTGGTGGATGGCGGCTTGGCGTGGATGGGCTTGACGTGGATGGCGGCTGCTTGGCGTGGATGGGCTTTCTCAGTTCCGCGGCCTCTTCTGCCCGTGCGGCTGAGGTCTTCTGCGATTACACAGCAGCGAATTATGGCCGAGGCCACAACCGCTACAGGTGAATTCGCAGTTTTCCTCATGCACGGGCTTGAGGCACTTCAAGTCCCGCACAGTCCGAGATTGGATGCTCCGACTGTGCGGGATACGGGGTCGGGGAAGCGGGTACACCGTCCCGAGACGTGTTGATCGCGACTCTCGTCGAATGTGCAGAATGCACAATTCGACTTTGGTTGAATGCGATCAAGCAGCATCTGGAGGGCTGCTTCCACGGCGTCCAGGCGACACAGGCGACTGTCGATGGCGTCCAGGCTGGGCGTCAGGAAGTGCAACAATGTGGACACATCGCAATGTTGGGTTATACTGTGCGAGACTCTTGGGTATTGTACTCGAGTAAACTTACTTTTGGTGGTTCAGGTGGATTCTTCGAGGCGGACAAACAGGTAGAGAGCGAGAGGTTTATTCGGGCGTTCTCGCCAAAGGTAGAGTAACAACTGAAGGGGGCCAAAGCCACCAAAACAACATGCGGGGCCGCGCCCCGCCCCCCGTGAGGAGACATCATCGTCACCGATGATAGATTCGTCGAACAAACAAATATTCGAATAAAAGTCTCTTTCATTCATTCAACTATTCGAATAATCAAATAAATGCAGTTTCCTGAATATTAAACTTTTCTAGTTCGAATAAATCATTCGAATATAAATATTCGTTATTCGCTCCTAACTGTACTAGCGAGCCATCTTTGAGCAGCGATGCACCGCAGATGATAAGCGCTGCATCTCTAATGGCAGAGAATTCATAATAGTTGCAGCGTTTAGTTCATATTTCTTGACCTTATCTCAGCTGCGTGGAGCTGCAGCAGCTGTTGGTGCTTGACTCAACTTATTTTTACAAGTTTAAGGCTCCAACAAGCTCTTTCAGGTCCATCTTTCTAACATATGCGAATCAGGAAAGCAGTGTGAGATTATCAAAGACTAGAATCTAAGGTAGTTGGATGTGGGAAAGTAATCTGAAAAGATCTCAATTAACATAGATACTTTTGAATTTGAGAAGGTAAATATGGAGTCACACTAATTACAGATGAGCAATGAAAAGCCACTGGCAATGTAATCAATAAGATCTGGCCTCGGATGGACCCCGACCATGATCATTGCCTGAGGTACGCTCACATACAGTCTGCCCCAATCCTAGCCAGGGCCAAAATTGGCTTGGCGGGAGTGCGCATCAGGCATCCGCCATACTTACCCCTCTTGATCCGCTTGATCCGCTTAATCCGCTTGATCTGCTTGATCCGCTTGATCCGCTTGCTCCGCTTCTTGCAGGACGCGTGTAAAACGCGCGCACTCAGCAGTCCGTCATTTGGCGCCGCGTAGGTAAAAAGCAATCTCGTATGGTTGAGCAAATTCGCCGTACGTGGCGCCAAATGACAGACTGCTGTGTGCGCGCGTTTTACACGCGTCCTGCAAGAAGCGGAGCAAGCGGATCAAGCGGATCAAGCAGATCAAGCGGATTAAGCGGATCAAGAGGGGTAAGTATGGGTTGTTTCAGACTCCCGCACTGACTGCAGCAGACTGCAGCAGACTGCAGCAGACTGCAGCAGACTGCAGCTGACTGCAGCTGAAGACACTGACCACACTGACCGCACCGGTCGCAGCCTCTTTTCTTAAAAGAAAATACAACCGCGATTATCAAAACAGCATGATTTGCGCATAAGAAAATCATAAGTTCCATCAGAATTCTTTCCAATCAAATTTTGGCGATAGTTTTCTTTGATATGTTCTTATTTGTTCTAATTCTTCATGTCATTGCATATACCTGTTTTGTAACATTCTAAACCTTGTTGTCTTTTGCTTTTGTTGTTTGTTTAAACCACAACTATTTATCCTCTCCGCCTGCAGGCTTCAGCCGTGCGGTCGTTGCGGTCAGTGCGGTCAGCTGCAGTCTGCTGCAGTCAGTGCAGTCAGCTGCAGTCTGCTGCAGTCGTCTGCGGTCAGTGCAGACTGCTGCAGTCAGTGCGGCAGTATGAAACAACCCTATGGCGGGTGCCTCACGAGGATTTCGCGCCACTTCTGCGTCTAGCTAGTCTGCTTCTCCTCAATCTCTTCGCTCTCTGCGACAGCGCGCGTATGCAGCGCAAACCCCTAGCGCTGCGAGCGCGCAAATTCAGCCGACGGTTCGGCCTGATCCCGATTGGGGCAGACTGTACTGCTGGGACACCTATTACCCTGATAAATAGTCAAACTTAATTATTACATCCAAATCCCCATGTATAAGACCCCATAATCATTATTATTACTCCCTCCTTACAGACTAGATTAGACCATTATAGGAAAATGGGAAAAAATGACAACTTTTCAAAAAAATAGGATATGATTCACAGAGCCATTCTGAACCACCTGAGTTATTTTTTCCTTCTTAACACACTGTAATTTGAGAAGGCTGATTTTGGATGGTTTGCATTCAAATGCAGCTAACAAACAGCCGATTGCAGTGCTAATCAGCTAAGATTCGCTGCTTGCGACTTTCATCCTTGTTTAAGATCTTGGGCCCGCATTCGTCCCGAACAGCTGTGCTGCCTACCCCTCAGTGAAATTGTGGCTTATTCAAATTTCGCGCGCTCTAAGTCCTGCATTGGCTGAAAATTTTCAAAATTCGCTCTGAAAAACAGAAATCAAATTCGTGCCAACTCTGCTGCTTTCATGTGCATGTTTCCTACATTCTGGTTTTAGCATCGAGTTTTGGTTTCAAATAAATTTGCAATAACACACTGTCTGGGAAGTTCACTTGTATGAGCATGCCTTGAGATACTGTCTCAAAAGTGTTTCGAACTCAACCTCAGTTTTCCAGGGTCGCTAGGAAAGACAGGAAAGTCTGGCAATATGAATGAACTGGAATTGGTTCTTGATCGCGTTTCAACCGAATATCCAGCGCTTGTCATGGAAAACTTCCTTTCAAGTATGGATCTCTTTTTCACCGTCACAAAACAGCTTTTACCACTTCTAGTTGGAATGAATGAAATCCCGGAAGACTCTACAACAATGGCAGATGGTTACTGTTGGATGGTGTCAAAGCACAGCATCTTCGTTTGGAGTAGCGGAAAGGTCAGCCTTTCTCTAAAGTCAGCGAAATATCCGTGGGCTGCGTATTCGAAACAAGACAGTTTTACCAATTTTCCACTGCGCTAGTGAAAAAAAATTTTTTTGAATCCAAAATGACTCATATCCTTGCCTCCAAAGTTATAATAACAGGGAAGCGATGCTCAAAAAAGTGCTGTGCAACTGCCGCTTCCTCCCTCAGGATTGCCATACTCGTCGAAATCGGTTGTTGTCTACAAAAACGGTAGTCGTTTCTAAAATTATGGGAATTTTAACTAATACCGCGTATCTCAGGACGGAATAAGCTGCCAGGAGTTCTAGTTGTTTCTGGTGAAGGTGTTGCTCGCCACTTCCCTGCTCTCACTTCTGCTGTTCATTACGAGACAGTCATCGACCTCGTCAGCGAAGTCACCCTTTCAGTGCAGTTCTTGGAGTCTTCAACAAACGGTAAGACTTGTTTTGGACGAAAGCGTTCCGTTTTTATACACCTTCTTCTTATACCAAAAACTATTAACCATAATAAACCATTTTGTCATTGTTTGGCGTTCACTGCATACAGTTTCCCATTTGCATATTCAAAAAGCGTTCAAAAATAGGGTTGATTGTGCTCTTTCCAAAAATTTGTTTGTTTTTCTATCCTTACGGGCTTCCTAGAGCGCATTGAAATAAGCTTTCTCAAACTTGCATTAAAATCTCGCTAAAGAGTGCTTTTTGAGTCCGTTCGCCTCTCTTTTTTTCAAAGGCCTAGGTTCATGCTTATTCAGCGGTAATTTCTGTCTCAAATAAGTCAAATTCCAGACGCTTCGTTCATCCTGACGACTACATCTGGTTCCGTGTACCTTATCCATGCACGTGCGGCTCCGTCACGCGGAGAAATCAAATGGGAAAGAATAGGTACTCGTGAAGCCCGTGGGATTGGTAGACGTCTATCAAACATAATATTCGGGTCTCAAGCTGCTTCTAATGACAAGTGAGTGCTACTGCTACATAAGCTCACAATGCGGGAGTATTCTTATGATTTCAGTTCACGTGTGGTAAATTCTCTGATATATGAGGATGATCTTGACGATTATGAGGCTAGCCATATTTTCTTGTTGCTGTGCAGAGACTCACTAATAGTTTTTGTCTTAGGATTCGGGTATCATTGTCCTCACCATCTCCCCAAGCATGATTTGTTCATTTGATGTGATGAAAAAGAATTCATCAAAGATACTCAACATCCGCTCAGATTTGGAGCATCGTGTCACTAACTATTTTGAGGTTTGCACTTCAATTGATGCTGCATGTGATTTCCCCTTATAGTTTTTTTTGCTCCATGATCTAGTTTACATTTGCACGCGCGAATGAGGTTTACAACAAATCCTCAGTTGTTGATGTTGTTTTAGTTCTTTCTAGCGATTACTTGCGGTTGTTACATCTACAGAGCACCCCTCGAGGACAGTCCGTCGCTGGAGTGAATGTATGGTTTCTCGATGCAGCCAAATTTCGTGCTGGAATCCTCTTGCTGCTTGCTGGAAGTCACGATAACACTACAGATGTGACATTTTTCTTAGGTATTCTACACTTTGAATTGTTACAAATAGAGTATTGTTGAAAAACTTTATCTGCAGCGGTGATTCATTACAAAGGCGAAGATTCGAAAGTAAGATGGTTCTCAGCTATTCCCGTCGATTTGATCTACCGACAGAACTTTGAGGTACGTGGTGGTATTCACAATATCATTGAGTTTCCATAGTTCGATCTATTAAGTCGACTAAAGAGTCATCTTTCGTTGGGCACGTTTTCCTCTGTGTTCCCGATCAGACATCAAATTCGTCTACTTGTGAACGGACAGATGGTGTTGTCATCGTTTATCCCAATTTTGGTGAGTTGTAGCCTTACCATTCCTCTCTTGTCATTTCTCGTGAATGTCGAAAGAATCTTCTAGTACAATCCGTATTCTTGCCGGATGATTTGAGAGGACACAATCCAACTTTATTGAACAAGGTTGTGCCTATTCCTGCGGGCACAAAGTTAGTAGGTCATGGTAAGTCTTGAATAGTCTTTACTGTTGTATTATCAATTTCTACAACAATGCTTCAGCTTGTGATGAGCGATTCTGCTATGTAATGACGTTCGATGGCGCTATCTCATGTGTCCGTCTTTTACCGAGGTGATTCTCATGACTGCTTTCATCCTATAATAAAGCCATACTCTGTAGCACGGTGTTATCTTCTAAAAATTGTGTAATCGCTCTGAGCCAAAATTCCACTTTTGCAGAGGTTTTGAGGACGATCTTGCTGATGACAACGCATTCATAGATGAGCTTTGTGCCTTGAGAGATAGCGTCTCCCAAGACGACGAGCCTCTTTCTATCTTCGTGTCTGCATTCATTCAATTTGCCTCGAAAAATATTGTAAGTCGTTCATGTTGCTTTCTTTCCTCAGTTTCTCAGAAGAATTATTCTGGTCTATTCATTCTTATATGCGTAAATCAGACAAATTTGCGAAATGTAATTCAAAACCAATTTCATGTTTTTTCAATATTAGAAAAAATGCTGAAGAATTACATGAGAGAATGAATAAGAAAACGCTCATTGTTCATAAAGTAGATCATATGTAATCGGTGCTACGGTCTGGTCATGTACCGACATTCATATTTAGGTGAAAGCATGTGAAATCATGAAACCTCTCTTGAGCAAGACGGACAATGAACTCACAGCTTTGGTGTACACTTTTCTGAGTAACATCTTGGATCTATCAGGTATGCTATTCAAGCATGGCTCAATGTCTGATTGTTATAAGGAGTGTTTCAGTCGGATCTCATCCAGACAAAGGGCTCAGCAAAAAACGGATCATTTGCAACCGTACCCTGTTGTTTCTCAAGCACATTAATATTTACGATAGGGTAAGCCGTTGTTTCGTACTAAGGTGTACCAAACCTTTTAGTGTCTCAGGTTGCCCCTACGAAGGTTCTTATATCATCGCTTACAAATTCGCGAACGGGCTCCTCCATTCTAACTGAGGTATTGAACTCTTAATGTTTTTATAATTCTGATGAAAAAATTTGGATTTTACAGAAAATTTCAGTATTAACTCTCACCTTTACATAACCTTTAGAACGTTATAGATGAGCGAACGAGTAGCTGCTGCTATTGCCTTATGGCAGTGGGAGACCATGCGTGAAGATCGGGCTGAATTGATGGATCAAGTCACCAAGAAACTGGAGACTATCGCCGATGCACCTTACGTGTACGAGTCAAATATCTACTCAGCGGTTAGTACCATGATGATTATCTCGTGATGTGAATGTTACCATGTCTCATCTGAATTAGGTACTTTTAGTTATCCATAATACACAAACTGCCTACGGCATGTATCGAGACGGTTCGTGAGCTTATGCGACGTGCTGTTGATAAGGATGCAAAACAGCGATTAATCATTCTATGTGCAGACCTACTGTTAACTTTCATGAATGCCATCAAGGCGCAGAGAAGGTAGAAAAAGAATAGAATTGGGAATTCTTGTATGTACTTGGTGGTCTTTCCAGGACTGCTTCAATAAGGTCAGATGGTGACTTGCAGTGGACATCCGGGGCAATCTCTAATGCATATTTACTTGCGGTAGGTTCAAGCTCATCCCCCATCCTACCAATGTGCTACTGTACCCTTGTTCTGTATTTACAGTGCAAAATTCTTCTTAATGAGCTGCAGGGTCAAGATCTATCTCAAAGTCAGCGACTGCAGTTGAGAGATTACGTTATCAAGTAAATTTATTTTTCTTTATGACTGCTCTCCATAGTTGCTTGAACTTACTCTTATTTTCAGTCTGGCGAGATTTCACCTTAGCGAATGCAATGAGCCCATAGACGGGCATGAAATCATTGTGGCTTTATACGATCTTGGAGAATACGACGTAGCCGTGGATCTGGCAGAGCAGTTCAAGGTTTCATTGCTACACTTCAAAAAGTATCCAACACGGCAGCATCCCTTTCTAGGATTTCAAAGTGTTGATAAAAGTCTGCCTCCAACTTGATGATGCCGATCGCCGCGCTAGATTGGATGAGTACAAACGACGATACTATGCTGACGAATTTGACATGTACCTCTGTAGGTATTTGAAGGAGAAAAGTAGGTGGTCTTCTCTAAAACTGTTTCATTTTCCAATCCCACCTTTCGTTCAGAGTTGAACCATATGCTGCTTGAAGAAAAGGGTGATCGGGTTGACCGCTACCTATTATCCTGCGAGGGCATTCGCTGGAGACGTGAGCTGCAGAATCGTCAGTTTGAGCAGGTTTGTTTTCAATAATACCTAAGTTATCGCATCCCTCCGTTTAGATTTCTTATGGAAGTTCTCCATCGCACTAATTTGGTCATGGTAAGAGATAGAAATCTGAAAAAAAAAACTTATATATGCTCAGACAAACCTTTTCATGTTTTATCTATGACGTTTGAATGCGGTACTCCTTAGGCTTTTTTTCTGAGCTTTTGGGCGTCTGCGATAATGTCGCAAAACCTACAAATGAAATGATTGTACATGAGTGTCAGTGACGTCTCAAGATACCCGTTCGAGGGAGGGAGGGGGGGGGGGGTGCGACAAACAATTTTTTGATTGAAAGTGTATGGCGTTAGGCGCACATTTCGAAAAATTTTTGCGATGTTTCCCAATTTATTGCCAGCCCATAACCTTGAAATTTGGAAAAGGTATACACTCAGCTTTGAAACCTTCCTTTTCATGTTGAGGTCGTCTCTCCATTATGTGTCGACAAAAAATCTGATGTTTTTGAATGTTGTAGTCATTTTGCTCCTCGCAGACGAACTGTGCTAACGCTTGATGAAGCATATTGGTGCTCACGCTGACGCTTACCTCAATTCATTCTTGTAAACAAAAGCGAATAAGTCCTTAGCTCACTGAAGCAGTTTTCAGGCTTCCCGAAGTCTTCTCAGTTTGGCGAACCGTGAAACTTCTGATGCATCCCATCAAAGAGTAAGCTCAAACCGTTTGCTGGTTGACACCATTTCTCTCAAAATCAAATTTAGACCCTTTTTGCCTTCTCTAAATTAGCCGCTGTCTGCAGTGAAAAAACGCCAGAAGATGTGATGGAAGAAACGAATAGAAAACTTGTATTATTGAAGCATCAGTCGTTCATACCTGAGTCACTAATCAAGGTGAGTAAGACAATCATACATCGAATATTATTTAAGCTGGTTTCCAGACAGTTTACCCAGATAACCCGAAACGACCACTTACAGTCACTGAAATGGTGGAGCTGAATATGCTTGATCCAGATATTGTGGAAGGACATAAAAGGTATATAACAACAATCCTTGACTGGATAGCGTCTTTTCATGGCAAATTAGGGAGCGGTTCCCATTCAGGGATCTCTATCTTCTAGCTAGACTGTTCGAGGACGGAGAAACTGCAGAACTTCGGACTTTTCTTCTGAATGTGTGGACATCTGCAGTGAAGCATAGTGACTGGAAGCAGGTTTCTTTTCTCATGATTATTTTTCGTGGGCAGAAATATGAAAGGTCTTTCCATGAGTGGATGACCGTAAGCCTCCTCTTGTAATAAAGCCTGAGCTTAAAAGATGTCCGCTCAAAGGGTGAGCTTCTTATCCCAAAAATAATATGAGTATGATTTATGTCTCAGAGTTCCTCGCATAGCAGAGGCGGTTCGAGAATTTCCAATATTTAGTGGGTCCTCCGAAATTTTTGGGCTGCTTTCGCGTAGTTTTTGTGGGCCTGTAAGCGTTAGCCGCATCTCCGGAAAGAAAATTTACAATAGGCTCTTTTTTGTGAGAGCGGATTTTTTTCCAGTCATCATAAAAGTTGTACATCACTCTTAAATAACCCTCTGTCCATCTTCCTATATGTGAATCTCTGCACAAAAGAGAATCGTTTTTGCGCTTCATTCCTTTCAGTGACATTTATTAATGTCAGACCATTTTTGACTCACTCAATTCTCTTTAGGTCAACAACATTCAAGATCTTTCTGATACCCCTTTTGCTGGAATTTTGAAGCAATTATTGGAAGACGGTATGATGATATACTTGATGTATACTCTTATCTCATAGCTATTTGATCTTTACAGAGTCTTCTGCCGAGACTTTGCTGCGAGTTCTTCCGTCGTATGAAGCACTACTGGATAACTGCCGGAAGGTATGGTCTTTTTATTTGGTTATCTTGCCTGATATACGAAGCATGGACGTACCATTTTTACAGACACTTTCCGTGAATGAAATGGCACCGAAATGGATTCGCGGTGCCATTGAACGAGCTTCATCGGTATTGAGTAACAGTATAAAGAATAAAAAAGAAGAAGAACAAAGAAGAGCTAGAGCTATTTTGGGAGTGCCAGAAACGTGTCCTATTTTTGAAAAGCGACCTCTTGTAAATGCTAAAAATGTCACTGCTGCATAATAATCCGTGCATTTCAATAAGTAATCTGCCTTGGTTTGATCTTGAAATATTATGGGTTTTCTTTATCCGTTGGTTTCTTTATCACATACAGTCGAAAGATAATAAAATCATGAACTATTGTGCTGCTTCGTGACGTTCCTTGAGTGATGGTTTTTCGAGGATTCTTTGTGGTTCACCTTGAATAACGTGTATTTGGGAGCAAGTATCCCTTTTTCAATAGTTTTCCTTGGAAATTCGGGATCTGCAAGCACTCGGTGCACCTCAGCGGTGAACTCTGAAATTTTTTGTGGACCTCACTGTTAGTCTAAAAAAAATTTCTAACCTGCCAAGTTAACCTTTTTGTCTTTATCAGTGTCGGCTTGTGTGAAAGCCTCTCGTATCACGTCCAGCTCAGCTTCATTCATTTTCTTTGTGTATTCGCGCCAGTATTCGAGGACTTCTTCTATCGAGACGTATCCGTTATTGCTGGTATCTACTTTCTGAAAAGAAAACCGTTACCAAGAAAAAATATCTTTTTTCAATGTAATAATAATTAGAGCTTTACGAGATTACCATTAGACATATAATTCTGTCACCTGAAGCCGAAATTTGTAACTTTGATCGCGCTAAATAAATGAATCTTCGCCCCACAAAGACTCTAGCGGCCACCCAAATATACCATTATTTCTAATAAAATTCACATATGCGCTTGCTTTGATCTACACTCGTTTAGAAAGGGGAGAAAACGATTAAAACGGTGAGAAGTTCCAACCATAGCTATCCTAGGATCCTCTTACGTGACGAGAATCTCGATGCGCTTTCTATGCCCATCCAAGTATCACTAGCGCATATAACCGTCTGTGAAAGGTGTCACTTTAATGCTCAGCTCAATCACTTCTAGTAATATCTGCTCCAAGACGAAGGCGGTCGCCCAAATAGGTTGAAAGCATGAAAGGCTGCGGCGCGCGGGCAATTGTCAACCACAGGGCGCGCGCACGCTCGGTCAGCGGTCATCCACGCGAGCGTGCGCGCGACCCGTGGTTGACAATTGCCCGCGCGCCGCGTGCGCGTCAGCCTTGTATGCTCTCAACCTATTTGGGCGACCGCCTTCGTCATGGAGGAGATATTATCTACAAGCTATCATACAGGGTGTGCCAAAAAAATGTACTCACTGTTTGATTGTAAATTACTCTCTTGTAGTGAAGTATTTCGGGAAGCTTTAGGTACCAATCTACAGTATGGAGCGAATCGCCGATTGCTCTTCACTGTAGGATTACGGTAGAAACTCTAAGCATATGGTTTCACTGTGAGAGTGAAAAATTATGTAATTGGGTTTCTATGGACGCAGAGTTCAATACTCAATTATGTACAAGGTTGCGAAGCTTTCTAAACGGTATAATTGCAACTTTCGGGAGCATTGGAAAAACGGCCGGTACTGCTTACCTCGCATAATTTTTTATTGAAGCATTATGGTAAGCTGCAAATTTCACATTTAGAATCAGCAACTCTAACTAGGCTTCGTGTGAAATTTTCCAGGTTGTTCTTTTGCTTTCTGAGGCAAAATATGGCCTTTCATGGCTCAAAACCTTCTTCGAAATTTCTACCGTAATCTTACACTAATGAAGAGCAGTCGGTGATTCGCTCTATACTAAATCTAAGTTGAAGCCAGCTCTACAAAATGGTACCTAAAGCCTCCCGAAACACTTCATTACAAGAGGGTTATTTACAATCAAACAGTGAGTACATTATTTGAGACACCCTATATTATAAAATAACGTTAGAGACAAAAGTTCTGGGAACGAGGTCGGAGAAATTGCGCAGGCGACGAAGTGCAATACAGAATGAGTTATTTTCGTATACCTGATCTAATCTCGTAACCAGCCGTGAAAAAAAAGAGCAACTAAAATTTCTAATGTATTATAAACAGGTAAAGAAATAGGAATTGTTTGGGTATAGTTCCATTTTTGGCTTCAGCTGAAGTGTAACCTTACAGCTTTTCAGAAAATTGGTGACCATAGCAGCGAAGTCATGGAGTAATACAATACAGCAGTAAAAAAAGCGTACGCGAGGGGAGGGTTGGTTTTACGAAAAAGCCCCTAAAAAGCTGGGTTTTGTTTTGGAGATGGGTATATCTCACGCAATAGTTTACATTTTGCTTCACATGCTGCATCGTTTACAAACTCAGACAAATGACCGGAACTTCCGCAGAGTGCTTGCGGAAGTTCGCCGGGTCACCTGCGGAAGTTCCGTAAATGTGCTGCGAAAGTTCCGAAATGAGATCCTGCGGAAGTTCCGAAGAATGCCAACCACAACAGCAAAAGAGAACACTGAAGCGAGATTTGAACCTCACTCTATTGATTGTGAGACCCACCTACTATCCTCTACGCTACGGCTGACATATTCGTTAATGCACTCTAGTTGTTGGCGAGGCCACATCACGAAATAACACATTCAAAGTCCTGCGGAAGTTCTGGCGGTCCAAAGTGCTGCGGAACCTCTGGCATTTTTTGGAATTTCCGCGGGATTTTGGAAAGGGTTCTGCGGAAGTTCCGGTTTTTAACCAGTTTGGCGTGAAAATCCCGCGGAAGTTCCGATTTTCAACGTTTTCATTTTTGCAATAGTGAACAAAATCCTGCAGAACTTCTGCAAATTTGGCTTGTCCTGCGGAAGTTCCGGTGATTTGTCTGAGAAGATGGATCGTTTACTCTCCATAGCACGAATTTGTCCATGCGTCATTCTATAACAAACTTGGTGCTTGCAGTTAAACATGGTGTAAACATTACGCAGGTCAGAGGCTTTTTTGATTTTATACTTGCACTGTAAACCATACCCCACAACACCGTAGAGTGTACGCACTCTTGATTTTGAAAAGCCTTTCCTTTTCCTTGCGTATTTCTATTGCAGTTCTGGTATTTGTATATTCGTGTTGATCAGCAATAGTGCTGACTATAGATAACAAGGTAAGCAGCAACTGTATAGGGTCTTCGATTCACTGAACCAATCTGGACTTATTTCTCAAGGTTACTAGAACTGAAACGAAGAGATTTGCAGTACTCACTTCCAAAGAGTGCGAAATTGTGGAGCGTTCAGCATTTCGTCATAACTCCTTGTTCGGCAAACAACCGATGAGAGAATCTTTTCGCATATGCAAGGTACTCTGTGAACGATTAGATACCCTTACTGTTGAAAAGACAACAAGTTTTTTGATGAAGTAGTTAACGAAATTCTCATCAGCGACTTTGGACCGCAGTTCCTCATTTTGTATGGAAATTGGAAATTTTTTGGGTTATGGTGTGCTTTCCCAAATCGCACTCAACTCAATAAAAGTATCTCTTTCTCCATCGAGTGTTACAACTTTCTATCTCAAAGTAGCATGCAGTTGTACGTCGTCCTATCTACTAAGTGTTCAGTTGATCATTTCAAGAAACACTCCCTTTACCAACCAACCCTGAAACAGAGGGAATTTTCAACAGTAAAGTGAGTGAAAAATGTATTTCAAATCGGGTGAGGTGTCATAAGCTACCTAGAAGAAAATTATTCGAAGCTGCCTATGTATTTTTTTCTACTCCAATTTTTTCGTGTAAGTGACATCCTTATATTATTCGAAAAAGAAATTTGAATTCATAGCTTTTCTGTAGAAAGATCCAAACAAGGATAGGTCACACAGAAAAGTCAAATTGGGAATTGTTGAAACTTCAAGCGTTGAAAAAACAATCTGAGTGCTTGTTTTTATCAGATTTCATTGCTTTGATATAAAACAATAATATGCTCTGAGCACCACTAGAAGCGCACGATGTCTCTAGCATAAATCAAACGATTCAAATCTGAAGAATTTACGGATTTTAAAATATTTTGGTCTGCTTATGCTCCACTAATACAAGTCGCTGCAGACCTCAAGACTTATCTGCTCACCTATCTTCAAATTTTCCAGTAATTTCAATCACTAATAGTCTTAGAATGAGAAAAAATTTTCAACTCACATGAAACTCCTTGACTATTGACCTGTCTAACCGATCATCTTCTTTACCTAACGGCTCAGCAAATGTTAGGATCGCAGAAAAGATTATAGAAAGTAGGTAATGTATAAGCAGCCTATACATTTGATACGGAACTGTTGAAGTATCTTAGACGGACGCTGGGAAAGATGGAATGTGAACATATGCAATCTATCATAACTGCTTACGCTCATCAACCCCTTATTGATCTGTTTCATTAGGTGCGCAACATAACACCTTTAGGAAACAAAAACCATCCCAAACATTACACAGTGAGAAGAACCTACAGAATCACATGCATGTGGAAACCTTGAGAAACTAACACATATCACGCAACAATTAACATTTCATTTTCTTGATCAAACATCAACTAACACATATCACGCAACAATTAACATTTCATTTTCTTGATCAAACATCAAGAACGAAATAATTTCTGGAAATACGATCAGCAATACTGGTTCAGTGCGCATAATGGTACAGGCTCAAGCTGCTAGCCCCTAAAGTAGTCTGAGGAGGCCAAAAAGTTTAGGTTGGCATGACCTTATCTGAATATTGGGTTGTTACATAGGTTTTGTTTACTCGTTGAAAATAAACCCTCATAACATTGTCAGAAGATTTTTCCTTATCTCCAAACTATGCGTAATGTTGCAGATTTCTGATATATACATGTCTCACATGAAAAATCAAATTTTCGAATTTCTTGGAATTTTTCCAGTTCTGGCAAATTTTCAGTTTTGCTCATTGAATCATTTAAACTGCCTCAGTAGCTAACAATGCTCTCAGAATTCCAGAAGAAAACTAAAACGTGGACAAAAAGAATAAGGAATTTTTTAGAAAGTAACAAATGGAGGTTGGAGTGCCTTTAGAGTTGTCTTAATATTCCCTGTAAGTCATGTGGTGAGGGCATAACTGGTGCCAGCGGATAGCCCTTTATCTCTCCTCATATATGCCAATTGCCGAATCTTTTCTCCCCAGGAAGGCAAAGAAAGTGTAACAAATCTTGTTAACAACCTAATAGTCATAGTTGATGCCTTTTATGTAGTATACTTTGTACCTTTTGGACTTTGTTCGGCTCTAGTAATATTATTCCATCATAATACGAGCAGTCGTCATGTTCACACCTAGGGCCGGGATTTGTTGCCCTGTCTGGGCCCCTAGCAGAAAGAATGGCAAATCTCCTCCAATAGATTCATCGTAAACACAATGTTAAAATGAAAATGTTATGAGCTGATAAAACTTTCCGCCTCACGACATGAGATGACATTGCCACTAAATCGGCAAGCTACACATCTACAATGCATGGAGCTTTCTAGAGCTTTTTCATACTCTCTTCCGATCTCACTCGCGTCTGCACACGAGAGATTCGGCCAGTGACATTACATGTGTGCTGTAACCGAGGCAAGGGAACACATCCTCGTTAATGGAGAAGAAATTGGTTTCTTGATGTTCCAACACACCATTTGCGCTAAGAGGGAGGGGAGAGGCGCTGAAAATCAAGAGGGCTAGCACCGGCTAGCAGAAAAAAGTTGCCAAGATTTTTTCTTCTTTGCACATCTCAATTTTTAGTGCATAAATCTGTTCTGTAACTAAAGCTTTGACTCGTGCTCAGAGCCACCCCAAACCTCGTCATTTTCGCCTGGTTTGGAAATCTCTCCCCGCTTGATTATGACTTGGATTGTACAGTCGAACAGAACTCCCGCTCAATATAGTGTGCTTGCACTGTAGGTGAAATGTATTGCGCATGAAGAAATAGCTACGCCTGTGACGCCTTCCATTTGCGTGCGCAGAATGCCGGCATTATTGGCGTGGCTAATTTTGTACGCGCAAATTTAAGCGCATTCCACCTACAATGCAAGCACACTATAATTAAGCGGACAATCTACTCGACTGAACAACAGCGTTTACCGCCTTTTGTTAATTTTCTCTGATTTTCCCCAACTCTTTCTCCCGCCTTGAGAAATTTCAAGAAAATTTCCCCAGGTAATTAAGTCATAGCATCCATCGAAGTCAATTTGAAAGAGGGTCGTTTCTGAGAGATACACGGATGTTCTGTTTATATCATGTAGATTCCAACATCATACAGAGTGCAACAGGCGAACCAAGCAACCCTAAACAGACGCTAGCGAAGTTTTTCTCGCGAGGCTACAGGACTCGTTGTCAATCCTAGGATTCTTATAAAGGGTAAAAAAAATCATCCTCTGCTTCTATTTTGTGCTTGCTTAGAGCGGTCCTACCCCTATATCTACAGTGATGTTGTAGCTCTTTGGTGCCATCGATGGTTTTATCAATGTGGTGAGTACTATGGAGAGATCTTTATGACAATTACTCATTAAATCTACAGAAATTGAGGAATACCTGGTAAGGAAGTCAAGGTGACCTGCTTGAAACTTATACAGCTATCAAGAACAGTTTTTACATTGGAAAATATCTAATTTTAACGGGTTATTTTTATCATATTCAAGGGATCTTTCGCTTTTCAACAATTCACAGAACATTGTCCAGTTTCCTCCGTGATATCGACATTCAAAGAATTAGAGATGAAAGGGCCGTAATTTTCACCTTTTTTCATTCTCGATTGATATCAGATATCCAATGTCTTCTAGAAAATTCTCATGCGCTAAACATTCACCAGCTAGTAGAATCGTTCAGTGACTTGGGATACCGGAAAACTTGGAGGGTCACACTTTCTTTTTTCTATCAATCTTCTTCTATGTTGTTCGCCAATTTCCATGATCCCACACGAGAATCCTGACTTTCTAGTACATTCCAGTGGTATCCAATGAATTCTTGTCAACTTTTGAGTACATTCCAGTGGTATCCAATGAATTCTTGTCAACTTTTGCGTTGTTCTTATAAGGAATTGCTGTCATTTGTAGTTTGTGATAATGCATTCGCGAAAAATAAAAGACTTATTTCCTTATACTTAGCACACATTTTCGACAAACCCTAGTTTGTGCTATTGGCTATACAAAAATGAATTGTTTGACCTTTAGGGCCGCACGCACTAACCTCCCCGCGGGGAGGGGGTCGCAGCTTAAAAGGAAGCTTTATATTTCAAAACTCCAGTACCTGGATTTCACGTTGTGTACCTATCCGTAAGTATTCCTACTACCCTTCACTATGAACATGTTGAACAGGAGCGAGAAGCTGTACGAACCGCATTTTCCAGCTTTTGTATGATCCCTGATGATCCCCGGCGCTTTTCTTTGAAATCATTTTTCTTTCTCCGATGTTAACGAAAAACCTCCAAAGTTGTGCAGATTATCTAAACCGACAGTGCTAAGCATGTTGCTGATAAGAACAAATGATGTTTTGAAGTCATGAAATTTTCGATGATCCACAGGTCGAAATTTGAGGTTTGCCGGAAAATTCGACTTTTTAAAAACTCATTTGTTCTCATCAGCAACATGCTTAGCACTGTTGTGTCAGATGTTCAGTACGACTTTGGAAGGTTTTCGTTAATTTCGGAGTAAGAAAAATGACTTTAAAGAAAAGCGCCGGGGATCATCAGGGATCATACAAAAGCTGGAAAATGCGGTTCGTACAGCTTCTCGCTCCTGTTCAACATGTTCATAGTAAAGGGTAGTAGGAATACTTAAGGATAGGTACACAACGTGAAATCCAGATATCTGGAGTTTCGAAATATAAAGCTTTCTTTTAAGCTGCGATCCCCTCCCCGCGGGGAGGTTAGTGCATGCGGCCCTTAGAAAAACATTCCCTAATGTCAAGATCAGTGGGGACATGAAGGAGGAGGGGAGTGCAGTGAAGAGAGTAGAAGGGGAAGGCGGGGGGGGGGGGGGAGTATGACGATTTGTGATCAGTTCTGGTACAGTTCCGACATTTGTGAAATTAAGCTTTATTGCGTAGTTTTGAAAGTAACCAGCCGAAACATTTTGAGTATTCTCACCTCATATTCTCCCTTCAGTAAAGAATGAACTAAAGTACGACATTATTCACACAGGAAGAATTTCCATGACTAACTTTCCCTTCTGATATATGAAACAGCAAAATAGGAGCAGCATATGTCCAGAGAGGGTTTGGCGAACGTTTTCATTGATGAGGCCTTATGTTTTGACTTTCCTTAATTTTAGAACCCTTCTGCGGTGCCATTGGCGCAGTGGTGAATTGTGCAACTAGTCTTTCAACAGAAGTGCCAACGGGAGAGACAGAGCAGGAAAACCAGCTAGACTGCAGGGAATGGATGACTATCATGCTAGATACGATCTCATATGCTCAACTAAAATTTACTATGCTGCTTTGTCGCGCCTTCAGCCAGCCACAGAAATCAGAGATGTTGTTTGTGTCTTTGGATTCAGACAACTTCACGGCAGTGGCGTACCCAGGATTTCGGCTCGGAGGGGGGGGGGGGCGACAAAAAAAAATTTTAATGAAGGCACGTGGCGTTAGCCACGCACCCAGAAAAAATTTTTGATACGCCTCTCAAAATCTTGCGGGCCCACAACCCCAAAATTTCAGAAAAACGGGGCGCGGCGTCAGCCACGCCCGCGAAAAAATTTTTTCATAAGGCTAAATTGAATTTTTAAAAATTTTCAAAAATTATTTTAATTATTTACAAGTGCAGACAAGTCGTTTGCACAATTTTATCTATATTTTATTTTATTTTATATCTATATCTATGTTTTATTTTATTTTATTTTAATTTCGCGACCCGTTCTCGGGGGGCGCCCCCCCAACGGGTCGCGAAATTTTTGAGACTTACTTACATGAGTTATAAAATTGTGCAAAACGCCACTGCTTCACGGGTAGGGTTGCCTTTCATGCGTCAGCTTCGTTACCATATTTATTGCGCTAACTGGAAAAAAGAAAAAAACACCCATGATTCATATCACATTACTAAGGGATTGCACGGAAAAAGTTACGATGATTACGGATTATACCAGTCCAGAAACAAAAGAGTGAACGTTATCACAATGATGCAGAATAAGACCACTACGCGACGTCCAGCTGAGTTGCTAATCGCCTAAGATAAAAAGAAAATACAAGAGACATTCACGAAATCAATTATGAGAGGCATTAATTTACCTGACGTATCCATTCATTACCATCTTTCAAGTTTTCAGAGGTGTGCAAGGCTTGCTCATTAATGATTTCGATATCTTTTTCTTGATCCATAACCTATAGCAAAAATCAACTGGGTTGTCAGATGAAAGGGCAGGCATACCTTTTCAGAAAATGCCTCCTGTAGCCGTTGGATTTCAGCAATCTGCGTTTCCAGGCCTTCTATCTGAGCGTGAACATGCGAAAATCGGTCGAACATCCTTTCATTCTCAACCATCAGCTGCGTGCGATCTTGAGGTGATAGATTCGACAGTTCTGAAATACGGCTGAATCTTATGACACGGAAGTTGGTATTCTCAACAAGAGATACTAAAATATCCTTGTAAGTATAGTATTGTTCCTGCGTTGCCAACAACATGTGCGCGACAACGGCTATGGCCACACTTGATTCGCTTGATCCACTTTATTCACTGCTATCAGTAAAATCAGTGATCTGACCAACAGCGAAGCGGATATTCCACTTAATCCGCCTGATTCGCTTCACCATGGCCAGTTTGCTGATTTGACCAATCGTGAACGGATTAAGTGAATCAAACTATCAAATGTCGTTCCGCAAGCGCCATATCAACTGTTAAATCTACTAGATGTACCTGTATCTAGATGTACCTACCACTTTCATCAGGCAGTGCATCTTCGGGAGCCGCACTGCCCAAATCCCAACCGCTTTGTGCATCGGTACCAGATTTCACCTCACTTTCTTCATTCGGACCGTGTTTCTCCTCTTTCTCAGGCTTATCTGGAACTCGAATCGACGATGTGTTCATAATGTCACAAAGAACAATACTTACTACGCCTATAACGCAGGTTCGTTGCTTCAGCTGATGAACGTCTTATGTTGTTGTCACCCACGAATCCATCTCGCCCTTGACTTCTGCGCTGCTTTGCTTCTACTAAGCAGTACAAACGCTGCATCCTCTGTTGATTTGCGGTATTGTGCACACGAATGGTCCTGAACGATTGAGTCAGTGTAGATTCTAACATCGGAGATCTTATGTTCTACCCTTAAAGGCAGCGGCTCGACAGAATGACAACCTTGGGATATCCATCGTTCTCGGCTCCCCTGGAAACTCCAGACTTGAAAAGTGTATTTGGGCGGACCGCGTAAGCCCGCGCTCTAAAGGGCATTGGTTCATGAATACGGTGAGTACGGTATCTCCACTCACGAACCAATGGCGCTCTAGAGTGCAGGCTTACGCGTCCGCCCAAATAACGCTTTACACGTCTGGAAAACCGGGTTACTGACATCTTTCAAAGCTGCAAAGCACAGTCTTGGACTTAGCTCATCCCGGGGAACCGGGAACGTTGGATATCCCAAGATTGTCGATCTGCCGAGCCGCTGCCTTTAAAAATCGAAAAATATGCACTGTGGTACAAAAACCTCGCAGCACACAAATTTTCACAAAAATTTCTTGAACAAAGTGGTCACTTAGATTGGAATGTACATGCAGATGAGACACTGTTGCTTGTAGCTAAAACCATTCTATAAGGTTTTGTGTTGTTTCTTTCCTGGGGAAAAAAATGGGGAGATTGAAGTTTCGGCTTGTGTAAAACACATTCACTGATATAGCACTCATACGTCTCAAACTGGTTAATCCCAGCAATTTCGTGAAGATTTTTCGAAGTCATATGCATGAATTGGTAAAATTTCAAAAAAAAAAGAATTATGATTTTTTTCGTGCTAGCGGAAAACAATGGGCTTATGGCCAAGACATAAGCCAAACAAGGAAAACATGCAAACTTAAAAACTTACTCACGACAAATGCTTTTATTCGGTCGCGAAAATAACAAATAACTGCCGATATCGACAGAAAAACGGGTTTAACACTTCCTAACAAAAAGGAATATCTGCTGCTCGTACATGGTTTGATTGAGCTTTTGCGCATTCAGACTCATTCCAATAGAGTCTGTCTACATTATATACTAATTACGACATGTATAACCATGTAAAATATACAGTTGATATGAAGCTAGACGTCTTAAACATTCTTAAGACATGTTTTTCAGGTATTTTAATGTAAGACTGCTACAGCATCCAACTAAAACAGATGGGGACTCCGAACGGACTCTTTCCTCTAGATCGGCTTGTGCAATTTTCCATTGATATGATATGACTACGCTGTGCGGACTTTGTCGGCACCTTCCTTTCAACCACCTCATTACTCTTGCCTGAGTACCATAAAGGCCATGCCATAAGCATGACCTGCAGTGACATAAGTATCTTATCGCCCAGACGTATGTGACATTACTTCGCCACGTCTGTATTCGCCAGCATTCTACCACTGCACGAATGGGTGCATGTCGTCTGTTCAATAAAGCTCTAACAGCTTACGTGTTCTAATAACACATCAGGAGCCACCATACTCCACTACAGGCGCCACCCATTCGCCTAAGGCTACAATAAAGCCAGCACCACATACGCCAAAGGCTTATGGGATAAGGACTAATGTGTACAAACTTCACCCTTCAAGAGCTTTACTATCTACACTCAATGCAAGATCTAAACAAAGAAAAAGCAACTTGGTATTTTATCTCGTTTAGGATTCTGTCATTATATAATAAATGAATTTTTTACCTCATGTCCGTCACTATCTTTGCAGTGCGCTTTAGATAACTCTGGAGAGAGTCCACTACTAATAAAAGAAGTTTTTTCTCGTCAGTCAGCAGCGTATTCCCATCGACATATCCTTTTAGCCGACGTATTGCAGCTTCAAGCTGCGACAGTGCCTACAAACATCCTTGATGAGTAAGGTTCATTCACAATTCTTATACGGAAAGAACGCAAACTTTTTGAGTATCCTTGTCAAAAGCGTCTCTTTCGGACTCGCCCATAACGCGCATTGGTGAATTGAAAGACAAGTACCCGCGTCGTCTACTGAGCACTACCTGCAAGAAAGCAGTGCTAAAGAGTGGAGTACTTTTCAGTAGGAGATAGAAATAGGGTATACACCTGTTGAAGTTCAGTCAGATCTCTTCCAATAGAGAATGCGTCAGTGATCAGCTTCTTGTACATCGAGGTAACTCCAAGTCCTGACGACAACAACGTTGATGTGATTGCAGAGACGCTAGTGCACTAACTTAGTCACTATGATACAGATCATGGAGATGAAGCTCACGCGAAGGTACTCTACTATATTTGTTGCTGCTTCCTCAATTTCACCCTAGACTTTCAAAAACACCAGCATGACTTGATTTTAATACTATCTCAACAACAAACGCTGTTGATATGGAGGCTCTCATATAAATCTTAAAAACACTGGAAAGTTTCCAAGAGGGAAAGTTAAAGTAAAATATCATCCTGGTTCAATAAATGCCAGACACTGTTCCTCTGAAACCTTCCGTTGAAAAAAAACTTCGAGTCAATCATGTCAATTTTCGCCCGTACCCAATCATCAGATTATGATTTTGCATATAAATGAACATCCAGATTATCCAAGTCTAAAATCAGGAGTATCTAAATGACGCGCAAGAGCCCGATCATCAAAAATATTAAATATCGTTTTTGGAGTTGTGATTCGGATATCCTAGACAGCGCACTTAACCTAATTCTCTCGGCTAACCTATACCTTGGAAGAACAAAAAAAAAGTCAGACGATTAAATTCAGATGACTCCACCAAACATATATAATACAGTTGAATAAAGATTTCTAAAGAAGCGCCGTCAAAACGGACTTGATTTCGAGATATCGTACAAAATATCTTCGATATTTCCCCAGAGCTTATTCTCCTCCTATGGTAAAGAACATAAACACTAACAGTAATGAAAATTTCGAAATATTAAGTTCCATATTTGATGTTGATCAATTACAGTAAGCATCAAAAGTAATCATAAGAAAAAAAACCTGACTACTAGGAAAAACTGAATGACATACCCATACTCAATATCCAAATTCAAAAAAAAAACAGCATCCCGAAACTATGTGCTACCAACCTCGTTTACTCGTCTCATCCTCAGCTGGGTTTTCAGCTTGACTTGCAAGCGTTCTCGCATGTGCTTTGAAAACGGCAGTATGATCAACAGACATTCTCTAGAAACACTTTTTTCCAGCTGGTACGTTCGCCTTACTTATCAGGTATTCGAAATATACACCGATGTTGGAAGAATGCACAGCGAAAGGAGATAAATTTATTGAACAAGTGCACCGTCACAACTACCGACTACCACTGTGTAAAAACAGTTATAACATAGCACATTATCTGAACATAAACATGATGCATCCACTATGGTATTTATGTGGTGACATGGTTCGATAAAACATTATGTAAATCTGGTATTCATGTCAGACGGTATTCGACTTGGAGAGCGTTCGCTCACAGTTCAGTAAAAAAATAAGCAGCAAGTAGCTCTCTTCTTTTCACAATTGAATACACATGAGGAAACGGTTTTTTAGTAAGAAAATTTGGAATAAATAGTATTTAGACAAAGACTACCTAAATGATAATGTATACATCATAAACTCATATTTGCCTACAGGAAGATAAGCGATGAACACAACCAATAAAAGATTCAATTCGGTCGGCGAAACTGAGGCTTTTGGGGGGAAGTGGTGAATTACGAGTGTGCAGATTTATACGATGCGGCCCACTGGCAGCAAACCTCTTTGACATCAATGCTTTCACTTTCCGCCAGCCCAGAGCACAATGATGATGATCAGAATCACAGTGATTGCGCACATGATAATCATCATCTTGATGTTCTTCCACCAGTATTTCCTCTTCAGCGTCGCAGCCGACTTTTCGAATTGCGAAGCTCCTTCCTAAAGTGAGCACATAAGTTCAAGTTTATACGATGCTTTGTCAAGTAAAGCTATGCTGCAAATCACGTAGTCTCTCAAACACTCCATGCTTTTGACTATGAAATTGAAAAATCAACCATTCTACTCTGACAAAGTCATCATAGACTCTCCTTTCATGCCCATGACGACTATAGGAATGGTTGATCTACGAGAGCAGGGGTGCACTAGATGCAGCCGATTTCCTTCTTAATTTTACAGATGTTCTACGCATATAAATGCCGGTGCTTTTGACATATGGTAGACAGTGTCAAACCCAATGTGAATCAAAGATACGTTCACCTCTTGCAACCACAAAAGCTACTACATATAAAACACCTAAGACGGATGAGTAAGAACAAATATATCTTATCCATTATTTGATAAAAGAAAAACTGCACTGCACTGTGCACTAATTCATTACCTGTAAAGCATCGGCACGATCGTCAAGTTGCGATAGCTTCTGATCACGTTCGAGAACTTTCTCAACGTTCACCTGAGATTTAAATTTTTAGCAATCGCATTGAAATAGTTGACGGAAAATGAAAAAAGACAAATGTTTAGGTCTCACTTTCATGATTCCTACGACTTCATCGACTTGTGCCTGTGTCTGCTGTAGACGCTTGTTCGATGGTCTTGGTCCTTGACTACCTCCTGCGCCTGCAGCAGCTGCATCTCCTTGACCTACAACCAACGAATTTATAAGCAGGACACATGGCAAAATCCTCGTGGATTTGTTCACATGCTGCTTCTTATAGAAACTGAGATATGCTGCCATATAAGATCCCATGTAAGCAAACCCAGTTCTATTCCTGAGTCTGACTGCCGCAATTCTACACGATGCTCTACAATGGTGAACGTTCGAAAGCAATCTGTAGCCAAACAAGTTTTCAATCGCAACTCATAACGCAATCAACATGACGATATGACACTTTGGGAACGGCCATAGGTTGTCGGTCTTGTCGGTGTTGTCGGTGTTCGGGGTTGCCGAGGTTGCCGGTCGTTGTAGGACCTCATGATAGCCTCCACGTTTCGCGCGCTCTCTTGACTGTCTCTGACCCCGACAACATCGACAACACCGACAACCTATGGCCGTTCCCTTTGACGCAGTCCCTATAACTATTGGAAAACTTTCTACCTTTGCTTCTTTTTTTTCTTTATAAAGATTGCACCTGCGACGAACAAACTTCGCCCTCTAACTTTCTGGTTATAGCAAAAGATAAAGGTGATAAGAGCGATCTTTCAACATCCAGCACAAATCACGCGCTTGCTTTCTTTTCACTAGCATTTCGCTGAGGATTAGAATCATCACACTAACATTCAAATAAATGGCATTATATATGTCACGACAAAAAAGGCCGACTAAACCGCAGCGTGAATCGAACACACTCGTAAAGTTAAAACGCTGATAAAATCAACGAGAACTAAGAACTAGCAATGAAAACAATTAAAAAGCCGATGCACAAATCCATCTCGCTTATACTTTAGAAATAATGGATTTTTGAACAGTATGTTATGAAATAATCGATGCAAACTTAATACACAATGTGAAAAGACCATAGCATAATGGACCATTCCTCTCCTCCTCTCTACATTCTATACCTATTGCAGGCACGATGATGTGTCTCCAACAACATAACCAGCCCGCTACCCACAAAATTTTTTAAGAGGAGGAAAATTGGAAAGAACAGAATTTAGAACAAACCTTCCATTATTTCCGAGTAGATGGAAGTGAGGGATAAACCTGCAACAACGACAAATTAATCTCAACGTGATGAGACTCCTTGGCTTCGCCGCCCGTACTATATGGCACATAATCCAGCCGATGAAGCCGGTCGAAACGGTGTCATACAAACACGAACACAATTCCGCATATGATGAGAAAGAAGAAACTATGCATCAAAGAGATTTGCTTTTTGACCAGCGATGACAGAAGCGATATTTGTAATTCATGGCTGACATAATCAAACCACGCACTAAGCACCTATTTGCACTCGCTAATTGAGCTCATTAACCGATCCTCTACGTAGTCAACGCGATAGGAAAGAAAAGTCCATAAACGATAAAAGCATGCCTGACTCCCTGAAAGACGTCGCGAAAGCTTACTAAGGATGGAAATGTAGAGGAAGTTACAGCAAAAATATGGCAGACTTCCACAACTCGGTGGGAACCGGTGCTGCTTTGAAAAAACAGAGACAGTACAAAATGAAATGAGGAACTTGCACCAATCACTCAGAGTTGCAGTGATTTAGTAGCTGAACTAAGCAAAGAGAAACTGCATGATCTCTGCCAGTGAAGCATGTATAAATTCTGGATTCAATCAATGGATGCCAGGAGCTTCGAGTCAGTTTCACAATTCTGCGAAGTGCACGATTGATCCGCTGTGATACAAATAAGAGGAAAAAAACATGATTGAAAAAAACATGATTAAGTGCAAGAGACTGACCTATGATCAGTGAGGTCCTATAAATCTAAAAGCGACATTGACGTACGGCTTGGTGCATAAGAACAAATCCATGATGAATGCTGTTAGATGCCTAGTGCCTAGTGCATTTGGGCTTACGCATCGGGAAGAAGGCAAGGTTCGATCGGAACTATGGACAGCATCAGCTACTTCAGGGTCTTATAAAAGAGGGTAGCTTTTTCCTCAAAAGAATGAAGCATTCCAAAAATGCGTCATAAAAAACAAAAAAAAATACATAACGCTAACTCGCTAAAACCCTGCCAGCCACGTGGGAAAAAATTTTTATGATATTTTGGCATATGCCGTACTTGATCCACTTGATCCACTTCACTAATGTTCAAATCGATGAAGCTTTTCACAAAATTAATACTCTAATTTCACGGGTGTACGCACCTTTTTCAGTAGCATCACTCGAAATGGTCGCTCTTCCACAAGATTCATTTAGAATAGGGAACAAAACGGTAGGCGATCTTTGGTCTCCAAATTTTGGTGTAAACAGGATAGAAGCTGGGGAGTGCCCAGTGGTCAAAAATTATTGAGTGTTGCTAGTCAAGTTTAGGAAAAAAGGGTGATTATGAGGTGATTAGGGTGATTATACCTGTCAAAACATATGAGAGAACTGCCACAATGGCTAATACGCTAAAAAGCGCTTTGTGAGGAAATCCCTTCAACGGTGATTTGTGAAAACTGAGTTACTGATGAATAATCAAGAGTTTTCACCCAACGCATTACTAGCTAACTTTATCCAGTTCTTCTCAGATGAGCATGCAAAAAAAATCAACGAAATAACCACTCAGGAGAGAGCGAGAGGCTCTCGAGAAGATCGCTTGATGAGGGGAGTACCTAAAAAGATGGGTGTGAATGTAACCGCCCACATTGACGATGTGGTTGGGGTGCGTCCGGGGTGACTGGCAGCCAGTCCAGCCGCCTCCAGGAAGAATAATCGATGCCAACGCAGTTAGGCACCATCGCTCTACACCTCCTCTGCTTTGTGAGCAGAAGAGCTGGAGTGCGTCGATGCGGAAATGGAGGCTCTCCTCATAAGGAAGCATGTGCGATCCAATATGCCCTTTCCATTCGGTTGGGTCACACTTCCGCGATAACGATTCCACATTTTTTTCTTTTTCGATGAGACAATTTGTTGACTATATGACGTGAGAACTGAGCTTTGGTCTCTACTGCAAAGCAGAACTCTCGTATGCTGCCATTGGCACTGAGAACTATGGGAACGCAAAAACAATAAGCAGAGGAACCGCCTGTCCTACTAACAACTATTGCAAGCATTCAAATGTGCAAACCATCGGAGGCGGTTCAGGACATGTTTTTGGAAGAGGATGTGCGAAAAAATTTCTTCAAATTAAAGCGTAGCGTCAGCCAAGCGTTCCGAAATTTTTAAAATGCTTCATGATTTTTTTGCGGCCCAGCGGCGGTCACGCCCATTTTTCAGAGTTGATTCGAACTTCTCAATCAAAACAATTCCAGTTATTCGCAGGTAGAAACAAATCTCTTACCCATGTAAGCCACTTCAAAATTTTGGCGCAATACTACGTTGAATTCTCCCCTTATTTCTTGATGTATAAGGGCGACTAACTAGCACATAACCCGTAAAATATCCAGTGCGCAAACTGAAAAACAATAACAAAGTAAATGTAAGAGATTCAACCATGGTGTCCCAAGAAAAAAGCGCCGTAATGATAGAAAATCTGTCAATAACCAGTGATGATCACTCCAAAGACCTCTTTGATAGTAGTAAGTGTCAGTCAATGTCAGACGGGAATGAATGAGAATGCCTACCAAACAAATGGAGTTTCTGTGGTTACGAAACTCAGCGCTTTTTGAATCTGCGCAAGATGCAAAATCTATCACAGTGTCGCACTGCTATTGAGCGTGATGCTGAGAGTGCACTTCTCGATAGAGCGAGGAAGAGAAACAAAAGAGGTGAGATGATAATGCGAACGCTTTGAAGTGTTGTGTGTAAGTGCAATCAACCGTCTGATTGCATCGATTCAGATGTTCATCAACAACATCTGTCACGCATAGTACAACACAAGTGTGACTTTGATCCCGTGTTATAGTGAAAAACAAAACTGTAGTAGTAATTTTTCTAAATCCATTGAACATGGTTATAAAATGACCAAAAGATTCGTTCTCTTAACGGTAGCTTCGGAATGCAAAGTAGCCGGCGAAATTCCCAATGAGTCACCAGTCAGGCGTATATCGCAAAGAATCTATCATTTTACAACTGTGCTGTCTGCGTCTATCACAGCAAACCGATCGAGAAATGCTATAGGAGCCGCATATTCTCATAGGCTGTATAAAAAGTAGAGACCCGCGCCGTGCCTCGTACTGCGCGCGCTTGGTTGAAACTGTTTTTTACACCTTTCCTTTGAGGAGTTGAACGATTCCCAGTTTTTGGTCTATTATGTGAGCTTTGTATATGTGCTGATTAGCCCGAATGGTGCTAGCTTTGCCGACTTTGAAAAGAAGAAACTTTTTTGGATACGAGGGACGCAAGTAGTTTTAGCGCGTGGCCAACTCTTCCACAAGCGATCTCTGCCATCAAAATCCGCAAGTAACTTATTTCTAATTGTGCATAATCAAAAAAATAATTCTCAGAATCTTCCAGATATTCACGTAGACTTGAAAAATTCCAAGAGAACGGCTACTGCCAAGTCGTTAAAGGCAGCGTCCAGGCAGATCTCGACCTATGGGGATTTTACGTGGAAAGTACTTTTGGGGCCCTAACTAAGGCACTGTCCAAGCGGCAGCGCAGTTCTCGCGCCAGGATCCACGCTTTCCGCCATGAATCCATGCGAAATACGATCGCGGGGTCCAGTTTCGAGGGGAATATCCCAACCATTAGAGCACTACCTTACCTGCCGGTTGTGCAGTGGCTTAGTTAGCCCCAAAATTACTATCCACGTGATATCCCCATGTGCCCAGACTTGCCTGGACACTGCCTTTAAGGACTCAAAGAATGGAGACATTCCAATCTGGGAGACGGTCAAGAGGCGCGATTTTCCCCGGCTGTCAGCAACTCAAAATTCCAATTTAGTGATACGCGAGTCTTCAAAAGTATCAAATAAACTGTACCGGCTTACAATATGTCTGAGCCTACCACTTGCTGGTTTTAGCGGCTTTTGCCGGAAGATGGGCCAAAATATTTTGGAATTTGTTCTTAACTGCAGTTTCATGATTTTTGACCTTTAAAATTGCTGTTTTAGATTGCTTCCAAAGTAGCAAGATTGAGCAAGCATGCATTTTAGAATGCTATAAAACACTTATCATATGCTATTTGGTGTCCAAAAGCAATAAAAATCGCGCCTCTTGACATACACCCCAATTTTCTATCCCTTGAGGGAATATCTCAGAAACGGGCGGAGATTTTCGATGTCCACACTACCTACGCAAGGTCCACGTCGGTAACTCACCTACACACACGCAGTCTGTGTCAGACCATCTTCTTCGCGGTTTAGACGGAACAAATGATTCGCATTCAAAGCTCTTTGATGTTTCGGTTGTTTGGTCTTTTGCCCTGTGTTTTATTTATCCATTCGCCAATGCAAGGACTGTGTGCGCCAATTTCGAGCAAAATTGCGACAATTGCAAAATGTAAAACCTATGCAAATTATCTTACCATCACCGATATTTTACATGGCGCAAGGATAAAATGAGCTCAGTGGACAAAGCAAGGGAGAAGCTCAAAAGTAGCAAGGAGCTTATTTTCCGAGAAATCTTGCATTTTGCATCGAATCGAGGTCGATGTACTATGGTGCTGGTAAGGAGCGACTCATTTCGTTAGCATGTACTTGTGCAGCTTACATCAATGACCATAGTTACCAACAACATCTCGGACGCAAAAAGTGCTCAGAGAGTCACGAAATCCAATTCCAGAAGCTAGGTAACTGTTAGAGGCATTGTCCACGCCCAAAAAATACTTGGACTCCTTTCAGTGAATGAGAACATGGCCAAGAAACTGCTCCAGCGGCAGCTTATACGACTCATTCGTGCCGACAATTTCAACTTTTAACTCCACCCTACATCACGATTTTTCCCAGTGGACCAATCAACGTTAAGTGGAGTTTAGAACAGAATTATTCGGTCACAATGGCCTTACAACTTCCCGATGATTTTTCAAAGAAGCATCCAGTGGCCGTATTCAGCATTAATACCTTGAGGTAAATTCTACCTCCAGTAGTTTTACCACTCATTATTAGCAAGTACCCGTATTCACAAAGTATCTTGAGCTAAAATCTCAATGTAATTTTGCTTAATTAGGATAAAACTACTTGGAGATAGAACTTAAGGTATCAATGATATCAATGATGAATACGGCCCAGGATCCAAATCCCAATGCACCGTTCAACTTCACAAAAGGACACTTATTTCATAGAATGAAACAATGTCCTTCCGCATCGCAATAACATCGTATCGTGCGCGAGGTCTAAAAAAAGAATCATACCTGAATGTGCACAAAAACCGTAGCTAGCGCTCATGCACTTACACTAACCAACGATCCACTTTACTGCCACTAGTGCACATCGGGAACAAAACTGTTTCAATTGTAGGAATAGCAAGATAATAGCCCTACTGAGCTTGACATAGAATAGTAGATCTGGTGGCCAGCACAGTGGCATTCCTTTGTCAGCAACAATTGCTAGTATACAAAGGCGCGCTGCAAGGCCGTTTTTTACGCAATTAGTAAGCAATTTGTCAGCAGTCACAAGCCTAGCACTTCTTTCCGTCAAGTCCTCCTCAACGAAAAAGCGCCGACTATATTAACCATCAGATCTACAACAATGTGAACTGAGCAGAGAAAGCGCGCGCAATAAAAACGGCAACAAAACCGCAGGTTTTGGGAGATCAAAGCAGGGATGCACGTATGTTTTCATATGAGGCCTCGGACAGAGTTCAGGACAGAGACCTTGTAGCGATTTGATCGATTTGATCGTCGCGATTCAATCGCTACAAGACAACTGTTATGAGTTCATTGCATGGCGACCAGCTTGCATTTCGGTTGTGATTCTTTTCCAGCTCGAAACTTTTGAATGTAAAATGAAAATAAATGAAAATCGCGGCGATTAAATCGCGACTATCAAATCTGAACTCTGTTCGGAGCCTAAGATGATCAAATCGTGCGAAGGATGTACGAGTAGAACAAGAAAGTGAACTACTATTGTCTATTGCCTAACTACACAATATCCACCCACAAGCAAATGAACAAGGGGTGTGTATGAAACATTCAATTTCTATGATAGCCATCATCCTTCACAGTATGCTCGGTTTTTCTCAACCAAGCATTAACTGCCTAAACCATTGCACAAAGTTCAAAGTTATAAACTAATAGCTTACAGCTTATGACAGAAAAAGCTCAACAAGGAAATCCCAGCGCAAAGAGGAAGAAAGAGGCAAGACTGAATACAGATGCAGGAATATTTCGTAATCCACCGCACGACTTTTTGTGTGGTTTTGCGCCGGTTACCAAGCACAAAGGCGAACAGTCACTTTTTTGATCACATGTTAGTCTATTCTTTTGTGGAGGAAGTTCTGCAGCTACTGAAATTCAACAAAAGAGCCAAACTCTTGGTGAAGAATGAGCGATGGGAGAGAAGCAAGAATGAATTCGCAGCGCTAAGTCAGAATGCGAAGGCTGTACTAAGTATTGCGGACAAAGGCCCTATTTCGCCATTGAAGTGGAAACAGTCAGCTTTGTTGCTGTCGTTTCTACTCGCAGAAGAAAAAAGACCAAGTTTTCGGGGCTGTGACGGGAAGTGAGCCAAAAGCAACCAGAAACACAAAGAAATTCGATACATTTCGGAGATTTTAAAGAAGAAACGTGGAGGAGACGATCGATGTCAGCGCGAGGCGAAATGCAGCCCGCAGGCGATCGATACGGCGGCGTGTCGACCCGACAAGGACTCAGCTGCCCCCGATAGCGAAAAAACGATAGCTTTTCTGTAAAAAGTGTCTTTTCGTGTTAGGACACTATCGTACAAGCTAGAACTAGAATGTAGTATAGCTGACCAAGCCTAGCAAGGTTGAGTTTTGCTTTGAAGTAGCGCATTTTTCACCTTTGACTCCAAAACCCCAACCCAGTGCTACAGTAGCCTCCAGAAGAGTTTTTGACCTTCTTTCATACCTTAAGAGATCAAAAGATGATGGCAGATAAGCTCTGCATTCTAGAAATTCGCGACATTGTAGAACCTATCGCTAGATATTTAGAACTTGATGTCCATTTGGCAGTCTGATAAGAACCTGACAATAATCTGACATTCTGACAAGAATCTGATTAACACACATAAGTCTGATTGTAAGAATGCTTATCTTTTTCTTTCCAGACTGACGTGGGAAAAGAAGCATAGAAGTTGTAACTACCGAGTTCATTTACCGTTTCGACTTTTGATTTGTGCGCATGCTCGTCGTCAAATTTAGACCACTTGTAGTGCAAATGCACTATTCAGGAACATAAAGGTTGCTGCATGACGAAGGCGCACACCTTCGTCATGCAGCAGCTTATATGTGTCTTTGCTTCTTGCTGGATTTGCTCAATTTGCTGACCACTCCCCGGCATCACTACATTTCATATGCATAAAAGAATTGCGAAGACGACGGCTAGTCATCGAAACACATTTTGAGACAAGAGTGGAGAAGAATCAAACTTCTACTCTCTAGGACTTCTGTCGGTTTTGAGCTTACCTAGGAGGGAACATATGGCAGATTTGAAAGGAGCACAATGAATCCGAATTCTAAAAAGAGTTCAAGGACCCTAAAAATGTCAAAAGGGACCACTTCTTAGACGCTTCGTTTTCCAAAAAAAATTGTAAAAACCGTGGAGTTGGGTAGATGACAATATTCGGGTGTCCAACCGACCAAATAGTTCATATGGCATCTCAAAGGTTCATCCAGGTTACCATGTTTTTCTCCGCTTCCGTTATAAATAAAACGCCCTTAGACCACCGATTTGTGGCTGGCACCAGACGGCACTTATCCTGATGTTTTTTGATTAGTTTACATCATCTATTCCTGAATTATAACACACCAGAGATCTAAATATGCGCACGCAAGCTCAACAAATCGCTCCGTTTTACATCATTTCTTATCAAAGTTTTTGCACTTGGATGAAGAATGGAAATTTTGAAATTTGTATAATTTTTTTTCGCATAGATTGTCGAAGTCTTATTATGGTGATGACATTTTCCTGCATCGCATCGCTCCAGTAATAATATTGCTTATTGCGAAATGAACCGATGTACTACGATGTTTATTTTCGCGAACACATCACCGTACGCACAGGTGACAAAACAGATTTTTTCTTCGGCGTATCCAATAGCCATGGTAGCAAAAATGCACTAATGGGCTAGTATAGTCCTCATACACAAGAAGTGTCAGTAGCAGTGCCTTTGCGGTTCCCACAAAACTTGGGCGTAGAAAATGGTCATAGAGCGCACATGTTCGATATTGCGCTCCCAGGCAGTTTTTCCACGCTAATGTGTGGCAAACGAGCACTATATTAACTAGAGAATATTCTAAACTGGACTGACAGTCTTCTCCGAGAGAAGACCGTAGACCAATTCATTTTTAGTACAAAAAACAGACCGCGATAGCAGAAACTACCCATTAGCGTTATCGCTACCCAAAACGACTGCCGCTTTCAAATTTCAGTCGCGAAAGATAAGAATCGTCGATTGTGTTCAAGTTCAGAGAATTTGACTTTTCTAGTGGATATCGGTAAACAAGTTTAAAACAAAGAAATAATTTCTTTTCGTTATCAAAATGATTGATGCATACATTCTATGTAATAAATGAATCAACGGAAATATGGGGAAGACATAAATTCATAAAAAGGCACTTTGCTATATTATTCTGATTGATAGTGCGCTCTTCATTGGATCAGAAAATGCGGAATCCACTCCCATAATGCCATAAGGAGATTTGCAGTATCATTGAAAATTCTTCTGGGAGAAATCAACTATTACTCATGGAAACGGTTGCAGAATGCGAAAAAATGCAAATTTTCAACTGCGTCCAGAGTTGCCCATGTGCTCGCGTCGTGCTAGCGCCGTGCCAGAGCCCGCGTATACTCGCCGTGCATCGATCGATCGATGGGCTGGCAGAAGGATGGACGCAACCTTATTAAATGGGATATATCACTCTCGATAATATGGCTCACTTATAAAACACTCTTTGTAGACAAATATATTTCGAATTTTTCAAATGGAGATTGTCTTCTCGATTATTATCTTACATCATTGTTAGATCAGTGATTACTGCCTGAAAGTCGTGATTCGAGTGGATGTCAAGTTTTTCGATCGTCTGTAATTCAAAGGTAAATGCGTTTCAGTGTAGTGCAAAGACCAACTTTTGGTAAGCATACTTATCTTAAGTCAATGAAGTTCGTCGGAGGAGCTTAATAACCCAAATAAATCCAAAAATGCCTTTGTTTGAGGATCGCGTTTGGCGGCAACAATTTAGATGATTGCTTCCCACACATATATTACTTTGCGTGTTAAAAAGATCCAGTTTCCTGAGAATCGTGAGATAGATGTGTAAGCATAATGAATGAATATGAAGGAATGGCAGAGGAAGCTCCAAGTTGCATCTGCATATCTAGCAAAGAGTTACATCAATCATTATACACGTGTGACCAGTTGGATGTTTTGGTATTGTTGGGATAACAATTTGATGTGAGAGGAAAAAAACCCATTGTCAAAACCGCATACATCACTTCAAATATTAAAAGATATTGGGATTTGACCAAAAGATCCGCAAAAAACTTGTAAGTCTACCTTCCCCGTAACAAAAAGAGAGAGATGCACGCTCGCACTGAATATTGTAGATATCTATTAGATTGGAAAATACCTTGCATTGAATTTTTTTGAAATTACATATTCTCTTTCAGGTTCTATGAATCTGTTTGGAATAATATAGATTAGAACGAGACAACCTTAGGCCCTGGCCATACTTCGCTCAAAAGCGCCCGAAAGCGCCCAAAAGCGCCCAAACTTCTCTAACCTCTCCTCACTCTCTCTCATCTCTCCTCACACGAGAAAGTGAAGAGACACCAGAGAAATTTGAGCGCTTTTGCGCGCTTTTGAGCGCTTTTGCGCGCTTTTCCGCGCTTTTGAGCGCTTTTGCGCGCTTTTCCGCGCTTTTGAGCGCTTTTGCGCGCTTTTCCGCGCTTTTGAGCGCTTTTGGGCGCTTTTGAGCGAAGTCTGGCCAGGGCCTTATTCTTTCTAAAATTTCTAATTCAATAATCACCATTGTTACATCGCCGTAACAGAATCTTTTGAACACACTGACACTCAATAACGCTCAATAGCACATCTCTACAAGAAGTCCTGTCCCGAATTTATATCTACGAGTTTCAATGATGTTTTGAAATAAAATTATCAACCCAAACGTTAAAATAGTGCATAAATTATAGGCAATGAAAAACTACTATACAGATAAACACTATTTTGAGCATTTCTTGAATTTTTGAAATTTTTGTTGTAAGACTTATTCCAACCTAGTAAAAAGAAGAAAGATATTTTCACATGTTTTACTCCGTTTCTTCCCTTTTCTTAGACGGAGTTCTGAAATCTAGACCCTCCCCGGGAGAATTCGACAAATCGATGCACTACATCCATTCTCTAGTTACATGAACTTTGACCGACCTCAGAATTTTATGCTACCTTGTTTACTTAGTCCTTGGGCACGAACTGATAGATACCTGAAAGTACATAAGAACTGTCTTGTCATAAGGGTGAGAAGTCAACAGGGGTGGTTGTCATTAGTCATCTTCCTAGTTGAGCATAGATTCTATGCAATTTCTATCTGCGCTGTTCGATAATGTTACACACGATATTTTCTAGTCTCTTTCCCCGCCATTTTACACCCGTTTCACCCAAGTTCTTTGATGCTGTAAACTATGGATGATTTTATGGATCTAGCACATGTCTTGATGGATTCTAGAATAGATTATTGCAGCATTACACGGTTCTTCATCGCACAAAGCGCGAGCACTTCCTTTCCACCGACTATTGCTACACTTAGATTTTTGTTACCAGCTTAGTCCGCAACTTTCCCGAGACTGGCTTCGCATTACTCTCCAGCCTTGGGACTAAATGAAAAGTGATATGAATCACACAAAACATTTCAAAAGTTGAGAGTATTCGTGAATATGCTGAGGTAACGCAAAGAAATGATCAAGATATGAAATCCAAATATGAACCAAAGATGAAATCTACACAATCTGGTTTCGAGGACTAGACCAGAAGTGTGGCCAACCTGCCGCCCTCATCAGTAGTTCACAGGAAGCCTCTTCAAAATTGATATGAAATAGCAAAGATGAGAAGTCTTATGAAACAATTTTGTAGTAAAACGAGTCTGGGGATAAAAATAAAGAATTTGCAGAGTAGAAGGTGTAGTGTCTATAGCGAAGCTCAATAGGGGATTAGGGTCACAAGAAAAATGGAAGAAAAACAGGGAAGGATGGAACAAATAGAAAACTTGAAGTGAGTCGCAAGATTGATGTTTCAACTGCCTATTTTGAAGGGCCATATCAAACAAAAAGTCAACTCTCCAATATTCTCCGATACTTTTATCATGTAACTTACAATTTTCCTCTACGCACTAGTCAAGAGGTGCTGCAAATAGCAGCTGGAGTTGATAATTGGAATTGATGAAGAATTCTGATACTGTGCACCACTTAGCGAACAGCAACTTTTGAAATTTTGTGCAAAATTCAAACTACATACGCGGTGAATTGGAATCTATCCCACGTTTTGCTGTAGTTATCTCGACAAATGCAACGACGCATACGTATAGAATGGATGAATGGAGCGCATCAATAAAATACGGAAAACAGTGCACTGGTGCCTTTTTGGTTGGGCAAATGTTTTCTGTTTTGTGCACATCATTGTATAAAAGCTTTAGTTATAAAAACCTCAAGTTTCATTGATTCCGAAAACACAAATTATATCAAAATTCTCTTTCTTCCACTTCACTACAACTTCCTGTTTCTCTGAGTCCTTCGGCTGAAAAGGAAATCGTTTTATTTCGTTTACTATGTACTCTACAAAGAAAGAACTACGGCGAAGCAAACTTTGAGGCCGCTAAATGAGAACAATTACTATCAAAGAGTTACTACAATACATATTTGATCTACAACAAGAAAAATTATAAAAAGTTGCCTTGAAAACCTTCTGACCCCTTTTTTGTAAATGAATAGCCATGATTTTGAGATGAGGATACTTATACAGTTTTAATGTTGATTTTTTCGTGTCAAAATGCGAAGCTGTTTTTGATAATAAATTCTAGACTGACCCGAAGAAAGATGGTTGCATGGCTCTCATGCTCTTAAAAATTCCAGCAAGGCAGATTAAAAGGTTAAAGCCTAACTCTTAAACCAATTTTTACTTTAAGTTGCACATGGTTGATTTTGTTTCGTAAAGGTAGCTGTGTTACCAGCAGGCTCCTCTGCAGGGATGGATCAAATTTATTCCCTCAGCACTATATTACCTACTACTTTGGCGCTGCGTATCGTATTGCACAGCTTTTCGCGACTATTAGTAGAGCAGTGAAGTAAACAAACGAAATAGCGTAAAAAGCGTAATCGTGGAAGAGCGGCGATTCGATGGAGTGAAGGGAGTTGCCATTTACCTTACTGTTGGAAGGAATATGTAGGATACGAGAATGCTTATAAAAGAACATTAGCTCCCTCCTCGAGCAATGCATAACAAAGAAAACCAGTGATGCATGCGAACGCTAGAGGGCCATTGTCGACACAAAATGAGATGTAATTAGAAATCCAAGAACTCGTTTTTTCTCGTCGCTTTTCGGTGTTCGCACTCATGCATGAGGAACACGACTTGCATTAGCGACTCTGCTCTCATGAAATTTGTAGTGTTGGAGACGAAACTTGAGGGGAGGGCGCTAATGACCATGTCAGATGACACTTAGGCACGAGATAGCCGAAAATACTGAAACAAAAGAGAAAACAGCTCTTATATGTGTTTGCAGGGAAAGGGGACAAGCCCATGTTGGAAGTGACAAAAAACTAGTATTATACAAGTATAGTTCCTTGAGTGTCTGCACTAAAGAGTCGCGTTCAATTTATTTTAGTCACTATCTATTTTGTAATTTCACTATGGTTGTCCAGATCAATATTTTAGTTCTCTGGATTATACAATGCGCAGCTTGCATTTCGTGAAAATAAAACGACTTCACAAGTAAAACGCACCCATTTTAATCAGAAAAGATAAGAATGCCTTAAAATCTTGGTGAGTCCATTTTCAGAAAGCCAGAATTCCTGGGTTCGATAGATTCCAATTTCAGCAAATCTGCGGAAAATGAGGTCGTTGCGTATCATTAGAAAAATCACCAAGTCTTCTTCTGCACATTCCATTCTATTGGAAAAATTCTATTTTTCAACAATTTTTTTCTAATCTGATTTTATTGTTAGCACTTCGTAACACGGTGACGCAGCCCTGTTTTTTTTTCACTCTTTTTCAAGTAGTGAGGATTGTATATGATCGCTCTTTCGGGCACTTTTCGTAAGAGCTTATTAGGGGCTTCCAAATGCTGCATGACAAGCCCTGCGCTTTTGTATAAGAACTAGAAGTCAAAATCTCAAGCACTGTAGGCGATTTTGGGTTGATACGAAGAGTTATTCTAAGTCGCTCGCACACTTTGAGCTTTTCTTTCCTGAATGTGGAAAAAATATAGCAATTTCTAGGCGACCTTGAGCGGAGGAATTTTTATATATAGGCTTTGCAATCAGTACATACTTCCTAACTTACCATATTTGCAGAGTATATATGAGCTGTGCAGCTCCGCTCTGTTAGTTGTACATTTGGCTGTCTTTTAGAATGATTAGGTGTTCAAGAGTGGTACCCTTTGCTCGTTGATTATCCCATTTTGCAATTTATCTGGGCTTTTGAAGTGCACTTAACCTTGAGTCATTTGTAACTTAATATGTGAGATTGCACACTAAGCCTTATTAACGACGGCACCCATACTAGTAACTTCCCAGTAAAACATTTTCTAGCGTAGCAAAGTGTAGAAATGTGTTCTACTGACTAACATGTAACCAATAAAAACAAGGGAATCAAGGAAAGAAGAAGAAATTACAGGAAATGAGGATGTTCCAGTTTTGTAGTTCGTCAGTTAGCGTGTAGAGTGTGCACTACGCATATTAAGTTACAAATGACTCAACGATACAAGCTCACACACTGTTGAGCTCAGTTTTTTTTCAGGAGGGGAGCGTCTTTTTTATAGTGCCCTAATGTGAGGAACTCGCGACCTTTTCTTTCCATGTTCGGGATAGGAGAACAAAAGAAGTAACCGCTGAGACAGGAAGCTGCAGACAAAGAGAAAAAATTGGAAGCGCTGAGACAGGAAGCTGCAGGAAAAGAGAAAAAATTGGAAGCGCCAAAAAATTAAGAAGTTTTCCGTCCGCTTGTCCGTAGATGAATTAATACCCTTCATTTTTTACGCAAACTTCATACCATTGCTTGCCTGAGTAGAAGAAAATTTTTGATTTTGACTACAACTTGAAGTATGGAGACTCGAACAAAAGTGCCTTTGAGATAAGGGCCACTACATGCTAAAACCTTATTGCGTCTCCTCTGACGTTATACAATAGTTCCTTTCCTACAGAGATGCACAAGCTTACTCAACTACTAGTTACCGTAACTCAGCACACACTGCAGAAGAGCACAACTGCAAAGCCTGGCTTCAGCTCAAAAGATCAAGCTGTAGTTAAGCTTTTTGGCTCAGCTGAACGAAGAGGTTTTGTCTGTGGAATTACTATAAGTATCTGCTGGGTTTGCGCTCATTTATATAGCGTTGAGATTACAGTTACCCTGGCACTTTGTTGTGTGATTGATGCTGTACGTAACATACTCAAATTCTACGATATCTTTTTATCTCTATAATCTTTCGAATGAAGATCAAATCGTAGCAAAGACTTTAACAAATGCGAATTGAGACATTTAAGATAGCTTTCAATCTGTTCCTCTCAGGTAGCCGACGGTATCCAATACAAAGTGCAGCACACTGTTACGAGCTGGATACTGCCATAGATGAGTGGCCTCGAACTAAAATGTACAATTTGTTTTGCCTTCTGCAGATAGTAACTTACTTCCTCGACTGATATTTTTCTCAGACCATCGGCGGTGGTTCCAGAGCAGAAGTACAGGCTGGAAGGGCATTCGTGACGAATATTCCTATAAAAGTGACGTTCAGATAATCTATGCATGAGCTTTCTCGGCTATTCTCGAAGCTGAAGTTTCATACACTCCACTCCTTTGATGGCCAATAATGCAAGAACATTGGCAAGAAATCTATTTCATCAAAGCTATAAGATTCTTACTAAATGCAGTCAGCAAGAAAATGAGAAAAAGAATATTGAGAAAGTGCAAAAAAGTGTAATGGGGACTTGTGACATACAGAATATCCATAAGTCAATGATGAAAACGGTTTGCCATGCGGCTGATCAGTCTTGCGCTGAAATTTTGTGCCTTCTCATAATCCTTGCAAGACACCCCTGCAAATTCTGTTTTTGCAAAAATGGTTGGCACCAGGTCCAATGCGGAACGCAAGAAGGGAGGGGGCGGCCACCCAGCAAAATGTTTGCGTGATTTTTTGAAGTGATTCAAAATTATACATTAGAGATTCCTACAGATAAACTGTGCATTCATGCAAATAATTGCTCCTGTTAGTAGGTTAGTTGAGAAGATGATTTCATGATTTTGTATGCATTAGATTAACTTTGTGAATTTTTTCGTTACCATAAGTTTGCAAGCAATTATGAAACTTTGCAAAAAAATTTTCTTGGAAGGCGTGTACTATCATATTTCTCTACTCAAAAACAATTTGTGTCTTGCCAACATTAAGAAATTTTTGCCAGGGCCACCGCCGGATATGGCAACCTAAGGGCGTTGATGACAATCTCTTTTGATTTTAACAGGTTACGGAGACTGCCCACTGAATTCATAAGATGCTAGACTTATGGTGCGCAGCAAAAGCACTAGAATACTATCGCTTTCTCACTAGAAACTCTTAGTTTTTTTTTAACACGTTGACGACAGTGCCGCGCAATGGTGCGCGGCAGGCAGTCTGTCCCTGTGGACGACGCCGCGCAATGGTGCGCGGCGGCCTTAATCTCAATACTATCTGTCCAATCCTCTCAGTTTTTGTTCATATAATCAAAATAGGCTTAGATATACTTCATGTATTAGCTCCACCCCTTTTGGCAAACTCCGCCCACTCATATGCCTCCCACAAGAGCCATTTTTGTTCATAAAAAGCATGGATGAGGCCGTAAATGAACGCAAAGAGTAAATGAACGCAAAGACCTCAAACAACTTTCAGCCAGGCCCCGCACACCTTCAGGCAAGCTCCGCCCCCTGAGTGGCAAGCCCCGCCCACTTTTCAGAAATGCCGGAATTTGCACGAATTCATTGATTTTCGGCAATTTCCAGCATTTTTGAAAAGTGGGCGGGACTTGCCAAAAGTGGGCGGAGCCGTCCCGCCCACCTGAATTTTTGTATCTCACGCATAGATGCATGCATACATACATGCAGCCAGCTGTGAAAGTGCCGGGAAACGGTTCGTCCACAGAGACAGACCTTCAAAAAATGGCTCGTCGTCAACGTGTTAAGAAAGAGTCAATCACCCATTTCTCCTGTCCATCAACTCATCGATAGCTTCTTTCACCGTCAATGCAGCCGACATTTCTCTGCTTATGTGGACACTAAAATTAGGTTTCTTAAGTCCTACTATTGGAAAGATTGCTAGTGATGCTATACGTCACCGTTTAATAGTTTTGAAAGGTCCAGGCTCAAAAATCATGAGACGGATATTCAGGAGTTCAAATTCGCTTGTGGGTCCCTCCACCTGCAACGGTTTTGGATCAAAGGAAAAAAAACAATACGTTCAAATAATGTCTCTTCGTTAAATTTTATCTCTTAAATTTTGAATAAATTTTTATAACTCACATTACTGGACGTCAAGGTCATGTCGGAAAAGATCTCATCCAAGACTCGTCTCCTGCGAATGGATGGTTCCGAAATGGGTGAGCGCGCATAGGAGCTGCAAAATACACAGCAATGAATGGAGAACTAATTGCTGTTTAAATGCGGAAACAAAATCTTCGAATCATTCGTACCTCCTAGATCTTTGATAGTTTTCGTCCCCGATCGCTGTTCTAAGATCAGCTTCCAGTCTGGGAAAATTTAAGAGGCCTATGAAGCTGAGCAAAGGTGTAAATTCAAACCTGCTTGATGATCGTGATTTGCGAGCACGAATGTAACGTGGAGTACGAGACCGTCGACCGTGGCTAAAAAGAATGAATTATGGCAGTAATTTGTTGGAATATCAAGATTCTCTTATTCAGTTATTGATGCTGATATTGTCGATTAGGCTAGAATTCTAGACTTATAGATTGCATTAGAACTTTTCATAATGATATTGTGCAGTTGATAACGCAAACGCTGCTCGTACCTAACAAGGGGAGGAGAAGCCGAATTTGGCTTTCCACGTGAAATGCAGGGTTTCCCAAAAAGATATGAGCACTGTTTGATCGTTAGTAACTCTCTTGCTTTCATGTCTTTCGCCGAGCTTGGGTACCATTCTGTAGAGCGAGGTTCAACTTACAATTAGATTTACTGAAGGAATCTGCGATCTTTTTTCGTTACGTAGGATTACGGTAGGAGCTCTAAGCATACAGCGTAAATGTGGAGTAGGTCTTTTGACGAAAAAAATCAAAAAAGTTAGGGAATGTGTGCAGCAAGGCGTGCTGACTTCGAAACACAACTTTCTACCAGTTTTTCTAGCTTTTTGGTGATACTTCTGACAAACATTAGAAAAACAGTTGTTATCCTAAACCTGGGATAACTTATGAAAGAAGCATTACAGTGAAATGCAACTTTTATATTCAGAATCAGCGACTTCGATTAGTCCAATACAAGAATTTAGTTTGTTTAGTTTTCCGTCTGAGGCAAAAATCGCTTTTAATCTATCAAATTCCTTCTCGTTCCCTCGTAATCCATTGTAACGAAGGAAAATCGGGGATTCGTCCCATGTTCCAAATCTAAGTTGAACCTCACTCTAAAGAATGACACCTCAATCTCGGCGAGACATGAAAGAGCGAGTGAGTTAACGATCAAACAGTTTCACATCTTATTGGGACACCCAGTAGGTATATACCACTCTGAAGAGCATCAAATCCTGATTCCAAAACTGTCATTGTTATCTGCCTAACGCCTTCAGACGCTGAATTAAAAGCGTTTTGCCCCCCTCCCTTCCCCCTCCCCCCCAAAAAACTGGGGTAAACCTGTCCAAGATTGCGCAGATGGTCCAGCGTGGGATATCAGGGCACTTTATGCATGAACCTTTTTGTCTAATATATTTCTACACACTTCTTTATTTGAACCATGTAACTACCATAAGAATTGATTTTTGCTACCATTTTACACTCCAAAGAACACTCAGTAACTCAGCGTTTGAAGGCTTTTGGCGAAAATCAGAGACACTTTCGATCATCATTCGGAATCAGTGCTTGAGGCTCTTTAGATTGGATGTATTCCACCTGAAAAGCCGGTTTCGAATTTAAGCTCCCCTAAGTGCTTCTTGAGTGGAGCCAACATAGTTTTCAGTTGGAGAGATCAGTTGCTGGAACGGTACAATATTTCTTGGGAAACAATGTCAAATCCATTTTTCCAGAAAAAATGTGTCGTAGGGTTACTATACTTCTCGAAATCGCTTGTGACACCACACGAACCTTTGTTGCAAGTGCATATGATACCCGTAACCAGCACATCTCCTCCCCCCCCCCCTCTCCTCTATACTATGGTCATAGCTTATACTCAGGTTTTGACTTTCAGAATATACATCATCTGAGACCTCATGAAGGCAACGTTACACAGCGAGATGAATACTTTCGTAGTTAAAGTTTCCAATAACCTCACAGGTAAAATTAAAAACTTTGAGATCAGGGTCAAGCGTGTGATGCGACTGTCGCAACGGGGGTCGTAAAGGAGGCCTATGGTGAGGGGGGGGGGGTCGTAAGAGGGGGTAGTTTGGATAAAAAACCGTACGACTGAAGCAAATCAAGTAGCAAGTAATTATTACATGTTCTTAACAATAAATTCATGGAATGCCGTGTACCAATATACCAAATAAAAACGTGAACATTAATTTGAAAACATTTGCAAGCGTAGAAATTCGCTTCATTTGCTGCACTTTTGAAAGATTATGATTTAGCTCTTTTTTTATGGGAATCGCTATTTCTCCCGCGAAATATTGTCTCAAACGGGGATCGAACCCTGCTGGCATGACTAAAATCCAAAAAAACACTTTCAGAAGCTCAAATGCTACTAAAGGCATGTACGTGTGATAAAGATGTTGGATGTACCGATTGGTGTAGACATCCTGCTTCCGAAGGCTCACTGAAGACTCGCACACTCGACAAAAGCGCACACGCAGATCAACGATGACAATCAATAATTCGTAAATCTTTTTGTAATGCCATTTATGCGGCCCTTACAATTTATATGTACTTTAGATAAGCCCTGCTACTGCTGTGCGAAATCTGGTGTTATTTTATAAACTGCGGATTTTCTTATGATTTTATGTATGGTAGCAAAAAATGAGAAAAGGGGGGTCGTATCTGCGCCTGATCTAAATTTCTCCGGAACTATTGAAGCTTGTTAGCTGCAAACTTGCTGTAATACGAGGCTATCCCTCTAGTTTTTATCATAAGAATTTCAGGCTGTTTTATAACTTCTCTGGTAAGTTACAAAATTTTAAGCTCAAAAATCCCAGTTTTTGCTTTTTAGGATCGCATCTAAATTTGCGAGAGCCTGATCTAAATTTTTTCGAACTCACTCCTCCCTCCTCAAGGGCTGAAACTTTTTCTATGAATAGCCTGGGCACTATGCTACAGAACCTGTTCAATGCAGCCTCTCAGTCTTTTTCTGGCCTTAGTTACGAATTTTCAAACTACCGTGCTCATGCACGTTTTTAACATCGTTCTGCACGGCGCTACAGCGGTTTTCTTCGCAGGAAAAACTGTGCAAGCGGTAGAAAGTAAGCTTCTTAGCCGAAAACATCTTTTGTAGTTCAAGAATGTCATTTTTTTTCTCTTTGCAAAAATTTGTGTCGCATACGGGAACCGAATTTGCTGGCCTGAAGTATGCCTGAAAATTCAAAAGTAGACTTGCAGAATCTCAAACATTATTGAAGGTGTGTGTATATGTGCTAGAGATGCTGGCGCACCCATTGGCCTAGAAATTCTGCTTCCGAAACCTCACTGAAGTTCTCACGCAGGTGTTTTTTGAGATTGACATTCGTTTATGCAGGTTACCGCGAGAAATGTGGGCAGGGGAGGTAAGAGGGATAGATGGGAGAGGGGGAGGAAGGGAGGGGGGGGAGGGGTCGTACGGATGGGTACCTTCAAGGGGAGGGGGTCGTAAATGAGGGTCCAGGATCGCATCAACACGCTTGACCCTTTGAGATATAGGTTGGGTTGCTTGAAAAATTTGGTACTTTTCCGTTATTCGGACCCATTTTCAAAGAAAGATATTGCTTCTATTCTTGTAACATATTTTGTCCCAGCTTCGCAGGAAGAGTGTCAACCTTCTGCCACATGTCAAAAAAATTTGACTTGTCATCTACATGTTTCAGGTTTTGACAAGAGTTTGTGTTAACCCACCTAGCCATGTAAGTTCAATCTGTTTTCTAAATAATTTGACCTCATTTCGTTCAAACAGTTTCAAAGTGACCACTGTCATGATAATAACGACATACTATCATCGATGAACAGATTAGACTTGCTTAGGATAGGGAAATGCGCTAGGATCCCGTCATTTAAAAGACGAAATGAACAGCAGCAAGGAACTTCAAGCTATCAGTTTCTGTCTTTTCGGCTAAATACGTATGGCGAAAAGGGTTTTGAGAGAAATAATTTTTGAATCACTGTTAAAAGCAAGAAAGATTTTCTAAAATATGTTCGTGACCAGTGCTTCACCTCTGCTTCGCAGAGGTTCGCACTGGCTATCATGAACCGTGGTAAACTCACTGTCTCAGAGCTTGTCCCTCAAATCATTGTTCGATTGACTGCAACGTGGGAGCCGTAGTTAAAAATGAACCATACTCGCTATCTCAACCTCACATGCTGTTTATTATTGTAAATCATTCCTCACTGTAATTTCGTAACGGACAAACTCCACACAACTTCAGATTAAGCCGCTTATTATAAGTCATGATTGTTTTGCGTTTATGTAAAACACTTAAACAGCTTTGAAATGACCACAAATTCTCTTTTATCTCACTGGAAATGATATCGAAAAAACAAGTCAAAATGGACTAAAACGTGTCAATTTTTTCATGACACGTGGCAAGGAGGCAGTCCTCGTGGAATCTATGAATAATTATTCTTGGACTAAAGAACGTATAATATGAGAGCCTTTTGAAAAAAGGGTCCGGATAACGGAAAAGAACCAAAAATTTTACCAACTTCACATTGGCCCGGAGACACCGGGGTAGGGATCTACATGCCGGCAATAGGCTTCACCCGGCGCGGACAGCACTAATTTATACTATCTGTGTCATGGCTACCTGGTCTATTGCGGATGTCTGCTTGGACCAACATCTTTCGGCGACATATAGTCCTCCACCCGGCCACTAATAACAATTTGTATAACATACCTACGCCCGCCTCTCGGACAGGGGTGCAAACATTTCATTCCTTGTTTACGTCTACAGGGGGTACCACACATTGGTGACCGAGCTTTACGCGGCGGCGTTTCAAAGCCATAGTGAAGAGCCGATTCCCGAGCCTTCTGGCGCGCGATTATCTGAAGTATCGAAAAAGCTGAAATGAGGAGACCACATAATAAGGCAAAGCAGAAAACACAAACATGATTTTCATACGCTTTTCGAGCATAGTCTTCCGGAAGATAATCGTATAAGGTAGCAAACACACAATCAAAGTTGCTACAGCCTTTTGTACCTGAAAGGAAAGTGTTTCATATGTAGACTTTAAAGTCCATACATGTTATCCGGGGAAGATGGTGGAAGGATTAGCGAAATGGGGACTGTCTGTAAAAGATTATCTCTTCCCCATATGCTTAACTGTAGAGGTTTTCTGGGCAGAAAGCCCCAATTTTTTCTTATCCGCCGCTTCACGGCGATTTTTCAAATATAAAACCAAAAAAGCCGTCAAAATGTTGCCCCTTTTCTAATATCCTGGAGAAGTGCGCTTGCTTTGTCGAAATTAAGCATGAATCAGGGCCCGGCGCAGATGTATTGAAGTCAGGCCCAATCTCGCTTGTAAATAATAAAAAAATCTTTGGAAGTTTCAAAATTTCAAAATAGCATTGCAAAAAAGTTTTCCCCCCTCTTACGGGCCCGCAAAAATTTTCGGAAGCATCCCAAAAACATTCTTCGGAGGCGTGGCTGACACCACGCATCCTAATCAAAAAAATTTCATCGCCTTCCCCCCCCTTCCTTCCCTTCCCCTATCGGGAATTTTGTGCACGCCGCTGCGTCTCTTGCTTTACCATCAAGTAGGTGCATGGCTGCCTTGGTCCGACGTGTTCCTTATCCCTGCATGAAGTATATGTCGAGTAGAAATCTTTGTGAATATGTAATGTCCGCCAAACTCTGCACACATATCTTTACAACACTTGCGCACACAACAGGCTACTTTTTGCGGCGATTCGCCCAGCCCTTCTAAGGCCTTGGGCAAAGTTCACGCGATTTCATTGTCGCGATACTCGCGAAAAGACAATTCCTACGAGGTTCATTGCATGCCGATCTTCTTGTATATCGGTTGTAATGGTTAGTCACAATTAGTGTTGGAAAACTGTCGCAACCATGCAAGTAGATTAGCATGCAGTGATATTGTTATGCTTGGCTTGTCGCGATGAATCGCGACGATGAAATCGTGTGAACTCCGCCCGAGTGCTAACGATTTATTCATTTTTGGCACTTGGCATCAAAAAAGAGCCTTAACAACCGCCAACATGTCATCTGTTCTCAAGCAAACAGTGGGGGACGGAACTTAGGAACCCGAGCCTAATTAGCTCGATTCGGGAGTGCCTGCAGTGATGTCGCTCTCTCCGGTTACTCACTAGGACATAGCAACAATCCAAGCCCCGCACCCATGATAGCCTGTTTGGAACCTAGCCAAGGAATGCTGAAAATCTCAGTTGAATTTCAGAGCTGGCTCTAAGCCAAAAACCTTCAAAGTGATCGTACAAAGGTGAAATTAGGCTCAAACAAAAGAGAAAAACCGTGCCATCATCACAAAGTATCCACTAATTGAAACTAATTGAACACAACATTCTCTTGGTTCAAAACTTTACTTAAGTGTCAAATTACTGGGAAATTACTCAAAAAGTTTCAGAAAAAATTTATTTGAGTGCTAAATCCGGGCAAAAGACTGGAATATCATTCGAGAATTGACAGTTTAAACACTTCTCAAGATTGATAGTTATTCAAACGCTTAAATTTGGGCGAAAGACTAGAAAATGAATCGCAGAACGAAAGTTTATAAAATTCTCAAAAATAAAAGTTTGTTTGAGTGCGAAAGTTTGGGCAAAAGACTAGAATATCAAGAAATGACAAATCAAGTCTGCGTATCAGATAAAGATAAAGATAAAAGAACTTTTCAGAAATAATATTTTTTGAGTGCTGAATTTCGAGCAAAACACATCAAGAAATGCCACTCAGTAGTCAAAACTACCACAGTTGCTACCAGAATCACCTGAGACTCCCAATTTAGTGCAGGAACAGAATTGGGGTCTGCCGATGAATAAAATTCTTGCAGCAGATGCTGCTTGTGGGAATAAAAATAATCGTCGTAAGACATGGGAAGTTGCGATATAAGCAGTAACGATAAATGGTTTTCACCCTTTATGCTACTATTTATAAGGAAAATTTCGCCTCAAACTGTTATTGCAACCTTCCCTTGCGTAGGTTGAGGCCATTGCTTCCAGCATATTAGCAGGTGTTCTTCGCACATCAGAATCGTCTGTCGTTGGGACTCAGCAATATCATTAGTGAAGTTTTTGAACTGTCATTTCTCTAATGTTGTTCTAGTCTTTTGCTAAAAAAAGCACTCGAATAAAATCTTTTTTGAAAAACTTGACGGTTTTTTGAATAATTTCTCAGTAATTTGACACTTAAATAAAGTTTTGAACCAAGAAGATGTTGTGTTCAATTAGTTTAAATCAGCAGATACTTTATGATGATGGCACGGTTATTCTCTTTCGTTTGAGCCTAATTTCACCTTCGTACGATCACTTTGAAGGTTTTCGGCTTAGAGCCAGTCCTGGAATTCAATTGAGATTTTTAGTATTCCTTCGCTAGGTTCCAAACAGGCTCTTATGGGGGCGGGGCTTAGATTGTTGCTATGTCCTAGTGAGTAATCAGAGACAGCGAGCATGACTGTAACCTGCAGGCACTCCCTGAATCGGCTAAATTAGGCTCGGGTTCCTAAGTTCCCTCACCCGCAAACAGTGTGTGTTTCAATATGATTCTCGAAAAAAATAATTCAAATAAAAAATTTCAATAAGAAAATTATAGAAATTCAAATACAACTTTTTCACATCACAGTTGTATTGACTGTTATAGCAGGTGAGCCTCTTGGTGACATAATACTAGCAGTTATGACGATTAATCGTGTTGATATAGCGAAGATGGACACATGTCATCGTTACACATGTAAAGTGCGCGTACGACTGTAAAAGCCGTTGTTGCAGAGCAAGAAAACCCTACGAAAGTTTGCGCTTACAAAACAACACAACTTGAAACTAAATATCGCTTGGATATTCAAACAATCTCTTTCGGTCGTCTAACAGGTTCTATAGCAACATAACAAAAACTCCTGATTCGCTGACCAAAAACAAAGCTGCTATGTATTGCGCCACGGATGGTGACTACATCGCAAAGCACAGTTCCCGTTCGAAAATTACGATTTGAAGAGTGCTTATACTCAAGCAGGGCTTCCCTCACCGAGCTTGCTGGTAGAGAATCACATTGAAACACACACTGTTTGCTCGAGAACAGATGACATGTTGGTGGTTGTTAAGGCTCTTTTTTGATGCAAAGTGCCAAAAATCAAATCGTTAGCACTCGGGCGGACTTCACACGATTTCATCGTCGCGATTTATCGCGACAAGCCAAGCATAACAATATCACTGCATGCTAATCTACTTGCATGGTTGCGACAGTTTTCCAACACTAATTGTGACTAACCATTACAACCGATATACAAGAAGATCGGCATGCAATGAACTTCGTAGGAATTGTCTTGTCGCGATTATCGCGACAATGAAATCGCGTGAACTCTGGCCTTACAATGGCTGGGGGGATCGCCGCAAAAAGTAGCCTATTGTGTGCGCAGGTGTTGAAAAGATATGTGTGCAAAGTTTGGCGGACATAAATTACCTCACAAAGATTTCTACTCGGCATATACTTCATGCAAGCATACTAACAAGGGAAGGATACTTGGTGACCGTGGCCTTTTGCAATGAGATGTATACCAGTAGGTGCGCCTTGAAACGCTGACTCCAAATTTATGTTTACTATCTGCTGTGCGACACTCTGAACGAAATTATGGACTTTTTCCATATTGATTTTACGAGATTTAGGCGGTCAGAAGCGTCAGAATCCAAGCATTTTAGACTCCGATATATCAGAGTCAGTTTTTCTAAGTTTAACGCAAAACTTTACTTTATTCGGACGCTCTTTTGCATTGCGTAAGCAAACATTTTAACGATATTGGTGAATCCTGCATCAAAAACAGTGCAAATTTTGGTGTAAAGAAATGTTCATAACTTCTTTCGGAAGAGCGCACAGCAGATACCGAAAGCAGATTTGGAATCAGCGCTTTAAGATACATTTAATGGTATACGTTTCATTTCAAAAGGCCACGGTCACTAAGTATCCTTCCCTTGTAAGTCACAAACTTTCAATTTTGTATTCCTAATCTCCATGAAGCAGAGCCATTTATCCTTTGCCTACATTATTCTGCGACTGCAAATGAGCAGTTATCAAACTGAACGATTTTGTTGGTGTTGACGAGCCAAGGAACGAAGCCGCGATTCTGGATGGCAACACTCTTCATCTGCACTTTCGATAGTGATGTATCTGCGCACGTCATAGACAGCAAAAAAGCAGCACAGTTTGTTGTTCACTTGTTGAGAAACAACTTTCATAAAAAGCCAGAAAACTTTTTCTCATACCATCATCATTGTATACTAATCCGTTGCAAACGTTACACAACATGTGCCCACATCTTCCTAGAAGAATCATCGATTCTGGCGGGTACCTATGCCCGCAAGGTCCGTCACATCGAATGAGTTTTGCTGGAACCGAAATTGTGAGAATAGAATTCCAAATCTGTGTAGTTATACCTGAAGGTCTGCGTTTCCTGGCTTCCCTCAAGTCGCTGAGATATTGCGATGCCTCATCTACAGGTCTAAAATGCGAGTTGCAGATTTATCTGCGATCAGATGCAAGTCTGTTTTAGAGAAGAAATTTAAACGAAACTGCTAAAGCAGGCGTTTGTTTAAAAATCAAACATTTCATCGTTCTGTCATACTGGAAGCTACTGGGAGGTAGACGTGAGCGTTCGTCAAATCCTTCTTTCTATTAAAATTACGAGAAAAGTCTTAGATGTAGTAACCATGTGGAATCGAATTCAAAGAGAAGCTAGTGCTAAAGCTCCTCTAAAATATGCGTGGGTCCCAAACAAAATGCGAGAAAGCTGTGAAAAAGACTGGATTTGCCTCCTATCCACCCGAGCATAGTTGCGATAGGGGAAGTGATGGATCTTACCCCTTTCACTTTGAGGCCAAACTCCCGATGATCCCCTTCACCTGGGCCGAGATTGGTATTGTACTCTGAAAATATGATGAAAATCGTCATTAAAAGGTTTTGCAGACTAAGTACCTCAAGCAACAAGTACACTCATAAATTTACAAAAGAAACGGTATTTATGTTTATTTATATTATTTATTTATCCTCGTACCGTTCATTTGGAGAGCAGAATGTGAGGACAAAAAAGCAGTTAATTTTTGAAGCATATAAAATCCCTCATATCTCGCGGCACAGAAGACCTAGAAAAAAGTCGACGGCCTACGTCAATCTTGATGATCTCAGCTTTCGAATGGTATACAGCATGTTAGGGCTTCTTTGCTTCCCGGCTCTAAAAATCATTTGCTCCGGTAACAGATAAAAGCCAATACATTGGTGGAGCTGGGTGGAGCAAGCTAATAGTAAATATCTCCACCCCATTTTTGAAAACTGGTTAGTCCTTTCACCCAGCAACCTATATACCATTCGAAAGCTCAGGAAAGGATTCGACCTAGACCGTCGACTTCTTTCTAGCCCCCCTCTACCGAGAGATACACCGCATTTTATCTGAAAACATGGTCATTTTCAACAGCAGATTTCTACCAAATGAAGATCTAATCACTGCAGATTATCTATCTGTGTTAAAGAGCAAGTCTTCATTAACAAACGTAGACCGTCGACTTTCTCGTAGCATTCATTTGGAGGGCAGAAAGTGAGGACACAAAATCAGCTAATTTTTGAAACACATAAAATCCCTCATATCTCGCGGCACAAAAGACCTAGAAAAAAGTCGACGGCCCACGTCAATTCTCCATGATCTCAGCTTTCGAATGGTATACAGCATGTTAGGGCTTCCTTGCTTCCCGGCTCTAAAAATCATTTGCTCCGGTGACCCATGAAAGCCAACACATTGTATAGGTCGTCCCGAAAGTTCTTGCGCACGATTTTCAAAAATTCATAACTTTGGATATTTCCAACCGATTTGACTGCTTTTACTTTTATGTGAAAGGGTAAGTCATGCTCTTTATAATGACATCTCAGTGCTTACTAATGGTCATCTGTTGCATAGATAAGAGCGATAGAAGAATATTGGTCAGAATTTGAATTTTTCGTGTAGGGTCATAAAAAATCGGAAACTTGCAACAAAAATCGGAGCAGTCGGAATTGTAGGTTCTTTCACCAGCTCTTTCTACAGTGCAAAGTTTGCGCTGATTGATGGTCTCTATGAAAAGTTATGATTTTTGAGCAAGCAATACAAAAGGGCGAATTTGGTTTATTTTGGCATTTTTCAGGGAAATCATAACTTTCCATAGAAACGCTCAATTGGCGCAAACTTTGCACGGTTAGAGAGAGCTGGTGAAAGAACCTACAATACTGACTGCTCCGATTTTTGTTGCAAATCTCCGATTTTTTATGACCCTACACAGAAAATTCAAATTTTGACCATTTTTCTTCTATCGCTTCTATCTATGCAACAGATGATCATTACTAAGCACTGAGATGTCATTATAAAGAGCATGACTTACCCTTTCACATAAATGTGAAAGCAGTCAAATCGGTTGAAAATCAGAAGTTATGAATTTTTGAAAATCGTGTATAGTTAGCACCGAATATTCGTGTTCGAATAATTTATTCGAAATATTCGACTTTTCGAATATTCGAATAGTCGAATATTTAAGAAAGTCCATTTATTCGATTATTCGAATAGTCGAATAAATGAGAAAGAATGAATGAGAAATATATTCGAATAATTCGTTTATTCGACGAGTTTTAAATAAAGGTTATTCGAATGTTCATTCATTCGAGTAGTTTTGAAAGATAGTTATTCGAATATTCGAATATTCGAATATTGCATCCAAATATTCGAATAATATTCGAACATTTATTCGAAATTAGTCGAATATTCGATCAAGTTCGGTTGTTCAAGTATTCGTTCATTCGATTTTTGGAATGTGCCAATATTCGAATATTCAAATTCGAATAAAATGAAAATCGAAAGTCGAATAGTATTCGTTCATTCGAAGAATTTTTGAAAATCAAATATTCGATATTCATTCGTTCGAAAAATTTTCGAAAACCAATTACTCGATATTCATTCGTTCGAAAAAAATTTAAAAATTGATTATTCGATATTCGTTCATTCGGCGAAAATTTTTGTTCGTTACAACTATAAAATCGTGCGCAAAAACTTTCGGGACGACCTAATAAGAGCGAGGTGGAGCAAGTTAATAGTAAAAATGTGCTATGGATTGACATTGTTATCAGCACTAACGGGAACGTGAGCTAACGCATTTAAGCGTGCTTATCGTTGTTGTATGTTTATGTTTTTTTGGTTGAAAATGCGCTTTTGATTGACAGTTATGTCATCATTATTAGCACACACTCAAAAAACTATGGGAGATTGGTGAATTTCCACACCTTCACAAAAAAACCCGCACATTTCTGGAATCTATACTCTGTAAACCTAGTACTGAAGAAGGTCACTTTCGTGAAAACGCTCTAGACTCACCTTACCTAAGCAGAGAATGCTTGGTTTCAACGAATCAAAAACTTTAAGACATTCAGAAGAATAACATGTTATGAAAATATCCCTCAATATTTTGGAAAGGTTGGCAGTTTGAAGAGGAAACGGCAGGCAGAATACTTTACTAAATCGCAGATGACTCGCATGTGTTCCAGTTCAACAGCGAGGCAGAAGGAGAATCTTACGCCGGCGAAAATGTTGTCGACATTAATACAGAGTTGACAATTGAGCGAAACTCTCTGATTTCTTACATAAGGAATCCAAGCAGATTGCCTAGTTTCAATGAGGAAATGTCCAGGAAGTCCATTGCTGATCTTCAGGTTGCTGAAGATTTCAAAGCTGCTAAATTCACATACATGGATATGAACAAAAGGAAGGTATTAGTACAAAGCATAGCTACTGCTCTTAGATCCCGACTGGAGTGCGAACCCAACTCTGTGCTTTATGCTTTGGAAGTTATTCGCCTTGTGACATTATGACCTATGATATTGAAAAAAAACCAACGCGCAGCATAGCACCTATTTTTTTCGGCTATTCCGCAGATGCTGTTAAAGAAGAAGTTGAGCAGCTTTCTCATCAGTTAACAGGGCGTATGCCAGAGGAGGTGAAGCCAGAGTTCGACAAGGCCCAAAAAAGTATGCAATATTTCCTTCTTGTGCTGCGAAAGCATATGCGATCTCGCTTTTTCCCCATTACTTACCGCAAAAATCTGATAGACTTACTAGCAAAGCTAGTTTCCATTCCGACTAGCCTGCAGAGGTGGAGAGGGAATTTTATATCTACTCTGTTATCAGAACACAACGCAGATGTCGTACAACGGTGGAGCATCTGAGCAATTACCTAAGGTTTGTCAACCTTCTACTAAACATATTGTTATCTAAAAACTTCATTTAAAGGATTGGTATAAGTGGTGCATACAGGCTGTTACCGTATGACTTTTTGAAATATCCTAAAAGATGGTATGAAGAAACTGGTCACCTACCTGCTGACTTTCCTGGTACTACCAGAGGGCCAGGAAAATAATCACAAAAGCGCTTAGAAAAAGAAGAAAGTTTCAAATCCATTTTCGACTCAGAACGCTTTTGCACGCAATTCTACTTCTACTCCGATGACCTTTTGGAGGAAGAAGAAGATTTTTCAGGCAGCGAACTTGTTGTCTCTGACGTTAGCGATAGTGATATTGTTGATGATGATGTGCAGGAAATGAAGTTGTTCCTAACTTGTACATCTTTTGGGATAAACCTTATTGCTTTCGTTTTTTGTTGATGCAATGAAACAGGAGCACAGATCTTCATAGAGTCAATTTTTCTAAATTTTTAATTTCTTTCAAAATTTTTAAATTTTTTTTTCAATTTGTGCCTAAATAAGGTGCAAATTAGAGCTCTTTATACCACGCTTTTTTACCTTTTCTCTCTCCCTCCCCCCCCCCCCCTAGACTCACATACCCCCTTCACCCTGGAAGGTCGGGAACAGCCGAGACCCCCTTCACCTGGGGAGAGCCCGGCTCTCCCTATCGCACCTATGCACCCGAGCCTCTGTGCGATAGGAGAGAAACCCATACTGCACCATTTATCTTTGGAGCCTCGCTGCCATATCTAGTAGGACTTGTACTTTTGCAAAAAAACGTTGTGTAGACAAGATTGACTGGTTACGAAATCAGCATTTATTGGCCCAAGCCATTTCTTGTGAGATTGCCTGGGAAGCACATCCGGACTTGCTACCACGACACAGCAAGCTCCGCTTCCTAAACCGATCACCTTGGCACGTGTCCGAAACGATCTGATGAAATCACATATCTTTAGTTCTCACTGCCAGAAAACTTCACGACAGATCTGAGGGTTGGGCCAGACTGCGCGGCGTCATGGCTTGTGCAGCGTAAGCATACGTGCATGAAAGTATGAAACGTACGCCGCGCAGTCTGTCTAGTATACTTTGAGATATTCGAAATTTTTTTCGAATAATCGAGTACCTAATCGAATATATTCGGAAATCAAAAATATCGAATAGACTACTTTTTATTTTCAAAAACAAAAAACTCCGAATATTCGAATATCGAATATTTTCGAAAAACAAAAGTGCCGATTAATCGAATATCGAACATTTTGAAAAAAGAAAATCGTCGAACAATCGAATATCGAATATTTTCGAAATGAAAGAATTCCGAATAATCGAGTACATTCGAGAAAAAAATTCGAATAAACGAATACTTTGCATCGACTATGTCAAATATTGAAACAAATTTCGATTAGTACAATGAAGGACTCCATGTAGTGGCAGCTTGAACAACAGATATTTGCTGATATAGCAATCAAAAAGGTGACGGTATCAAGCTGTTGTTCGATTATTACACGAAAATGTCGAATAATCGAATAACTATTGAAAGTGAATGTTCAAATGTTCCAATATATTCGAAAATCAAAAATTTCGAATGACCGAATAATCGAATAGATTCGAACTTGACAACTTTCGAATAAGCGAATATCGAATATATTCGAGGTTTTGAAATTTTCAAACAATCGAATTCCGAATAAATTTTATTCGAATACTTTGATTGAATACTCTGATATATATTCGAGTATTCAATCAAAGTATTCGGTCCAAAGTATACTGTCTAGCCCAACTCTCAGACTTTGCAGCCGGCCGAGCACAAATCTGAAAGGAGCTTGATGCCGGCCAGCGAACGCTAGAAGGTCACCGGCTGACAGTCGCTCCACTAAGCCAAAGCGCGGAAATTGCAAGGAATTCAGCTCGTAAACGGTTGAGAATTGTAAAAAAGGCTCGCTCCGCTTATTCTTCGCTATTCTTATTGAACGACTGCAGTCTTTTCTTTCTTGAATTTGTTCACACTGCTTGTCTTGATTGGCGAAAAGGAAAACATAAGCGAGTAGCAACATGATATCTGCGGAGTAGAAAGACTATGTTTTACGTCCAATGCTTAAATAAGAACAACAATGATCAAGACTTGCTCAGCATCTCATGCTTGAAGACAGGTGCAATATGCATGGTATTTGAAATTGGTTTGACTCATTCGATCTAGATGGTTGTGCGAGTATTCAACACTCTTATTCATGATACACTAACACTTTTCGTAACCCCTTACATATTCTTAGCGACATGTACTGCTCATAAATTACTTTTTTTGTTGAATTCTAAAACTTTACAATTCATAGTTAAGAGTGCTGGGTTGAATTTTTGTGTTCTTGCATTTCTGGTATACGCTGATGGCTGATGCAGCCACTTCGACAAGTGAATGCGTACTATTAGTCATTTAATCAAAGATAGTCTTGCTGATTTCGTAATGGATATTCACTAAGCGTCTGAATTTTTATGCTTTTGGTTTTGCTTCTTTTAAAGAAATACGATAAGTAAGTTCTGGTATTAGTGGTTTACTTGCCAGCAGCTCATCTCATTTGCAGTACTCCGCCTTGTGGAATTTTCCCATAAAAGGATAGACAAGAGCGCTGCACGGCAATAATTTTTTTAGCTTCTGATACACAGTGCATAAAATTCGACACCAATGTTTACGAATATTCCCTCGCACTGTAGATCGTAGTTACAATAAATTTCATGCGGACCTGTGACCTTTCATTTTATCGAGGAGAGTAGAGTGAATAAATTGCGGGGAAATAAAGAGCACCTTATAGCAATTGGTGCGCTACTCTTTCATACTAGCGCGGCCGAAAACCACTGGCTGGCTACTAGCGCGTCTTTTCCGGCTGACGGCCGTTATTCTCAACTGTGTAGAATTGGCAGCGTTTTGCCAGCCGCTTTTCGTGCAACCGCTAGCAGGTGCGAGTGTCTGAGCACCCACCATAGCAGCGCCGGGTACGTCTCTCCTGGATACGCAATCTGGCTCAACCTCTAAAAAGGCGTGGTGTCAAATAATGGAAAAGTTCTGTGTAATAAGAAGCGGATAAACTAAGCCCATCAACCAGAGCTGCTTCCCCTGTTACGTCATACATGCATATATAAACTCAAAATCAATGAGATAAATAAATGCGTGAAGTGAATGTGCTCTATCAGACTGAGCGGCCTATTTGACAAAGTATTCTGAAAGACTTACGCAAGGATAGAGAGGAGTAAAGCGTCATCTTCTTCATCTTTTGATATCTTTGCACTCGTTTTACCGCTTGTCCAAGAGATGGAGTATGTGAATCTGGTTCTAAAAGCACTTATATTAAAACGTACTGCCTTAAAATCATTTGACAAAATTAAAAGTAAAAGTGATGATTAAATTCTAGCAACTTCAGACCATTGTAACAGTCAGTATATGAATTTTTTGGGGTTGAGACTTATATCGTTTGCTCGTTTGCCATACGGTAGGTGGATCATTACAGACATTCAAACACGTCGATAAGCCCTCGATTCAGAACATTGCTTTTCCTATTCTCTCGCAACGTCTGCTATGCTCTGCCTATTCTATGGCAGAACGAAACCATATTGTACATGAATAATAGATTTCTTGATGTTTCAAAGAAATTACTGTCATTGTAGTAGCTTAGGCAATGAAAAAATTGCTCCACGACAAAGAGAAAGAACTTTACAGGGGTGCTTTAGTTATGTCGTACACATTATATAGATATGTAGTAAGTTTCAACTCAGCTTAGGCGAAAACTGGACTGGCGAGAGTCCGCTTCGCAACGATTCGCGCCGCTTTGCAGTCTGCGTCTCTTCATTCTAACGCATCTGGCTGAGCCAGCGGTATGCGGACGCGCTGCTCCATCGGGAATGTTTCGCTTTCTCTGGGTTGAAAAAGACTACATTGAGTGGTGAAAGAAGTATTTCTTTCTCCTTCTTAGCGATAAATCACAAACCGCGACATCAAAGGAAGCTCGCCGATCTTCACTTCCGACTTCTTTGCATTTCTAGGCCTTCTCGTAGCTTCAAATTCGAACATGAGTTATGAAGAGTGCGAGAAGGATTAACTTAGTAAGTTTTCGCAGCCAGAAGTTTGCGCGAGAGTAGTTCAAATGGTAATTACGATGATGTTGTCACGATGAACCTGTGATTGTAATTGCCGCACTGACTAGTATGCGTATAGTGCGCGAGTTGTGATGGTGGTCTCGCGTAGACGACGGGTGCCAAACGGGCGCCTGCCTATCCAGATGCAGTCCTCTGGCGGAACAAGACATGTAATCTGATGGGTATTGGTCGGCAGGACAGAAGTAAAAGTCCTTTTTACCATCAACCAAATTTGGAGAAAAAACGGGCATTGCGTTCAAGAAAATCAATCTACTGCCACACAAAGGCGCAGAGCTCAGGGACGCGAACGCGGCCGTTGCATAGGGCGTAGAAAACGCAGGGTTCAAAACGAGATATAGGGGTCTGCAGGATCGCGAGAGTCGGACGTGCGTACGGCCATTGCGCCGCGCACGTCAGAACTGCGTGCGACGGCCCAGGTAAGTGCCAGACTTATCCTGTTGAACAGGTTCATTCGGTTCACCACCTTTGCTGTTGGACAGTGTAGTGATTTGACCTATGAACGGAACGAACGGCTGAAGTGGATAAGTCTGGCACTTGCCTTAGTGACATCGGACGTGCGCGGCGCAATGGCCGTACGCACGTCCGACTCTCGCGATCCTGCAGGCCCCTATAACTGCCCGCTGCCACGTTCGCGCCCATTCAGTCAAATTTGCTTTTACGCCCTGACCGGCGGTAGAAGGGTGATAATTTATGGCGCACTTCATATAATTTACGCTCCATACTTCCTCTTCCGGAATGAGCATAGAACGGTAAGTCTCAGTCGTCTAAGATTGCCATTATCGAGCAGATATTATAGATCTAGCGAGGAAATCTGAAGGTAAGGAAAAATTAATAAGTCAATTTGTAGTGGATATATATGCAATGGAGGATCTAGGGTTCTGTTAGATTGGAGGTATGTTGATAGTACATAATGAGTGATTTCTTCGACTGATACATACTTTGGGGACATGGCTAATCCTATCAAGATCTAATATTCAACCCTAATTGTTGAAAAGGGTCAGTGGTTGCCCTCAGTTCACTCAGTTCACCCAATCTTCACCCGAAAGATACGAGATAGGTGAGGAAGGTGCGAAAAGGTAAGAACCACATCAAGATACGCTTATTTATGATGTTAATCTCATCATCACCTGTTGACTACTATTGAACATCTGGTCGCGCCGAAATGTCCTTACGTTATGAGGTGGCTTCATACCATACTAACAGCCGCGGTTAGCCGTTTGTAGACGGCTGTAGACTATACTTGGGTAATTCGATAATTTTTCATCGAATGAATGAATATCGAATAAATTCGAAAAGGAAAAATTTCGAATAAACGAATATCGAATAAATTCGGAAAATCAAAAATATCGAATGAATGAATTTCGAATAAATTCGGAAAATCAAAAATGTCGAATGAATGAATTTCGAATAAATTCGGAAAATCAAAAATATCGAATGAATGAATATCGAATATATTCGAACATTGGAAATCGAATTTCGAATAAATATTCGAATGATTTATCGAATAACTAAAGCAATCACAAAACTTGTTGACATATCTGGCTATAGCCGATCCAATCATAATCAGCCCCCTAGTATCCCCTAT